AACCTGCAAGTCTGGTGTTATCAGCACCATGCTCTAACCAGCTCCTGGCATCCTTGATCATTCTGGCTGGGGCTGAATGGAGTCCGACATCAGGCGAGGCCACACGTTTCCCACCCCCTTTCTAACAGAAGCAAAGTGGCAGGAAAGAATGGTCTTGGGTGATCTTAAAAGTAATTTTTAACTCTGTGATGGAATTCTGCAGCGCCTCTTCCGCCCCAAGGGGGAAAACCTTTGGGGTTTAGAGCACAGGAAAAACGCTAAAAATAGATCTGATGGCACTGTGTTCTGGGGAAAAGTGTTTTTCCACTGTAGCTCGAGGCATTTTGTGTGTGTGTCAAGAGTCCCATTTCTGGCTAACGAAGCAATAACAGGAACAAATAAATAAATAACCATGATGACCAAAGTTCACCTTCCTGTGCCATAAGACTTGCTATGGAAGATTTTAAAAAATAAAGCAAATGCATAATTAGCAGAAGGTATCAGAGGGAGAAAAGAATGTGCAATTAAACCAGGTTTCTTACGCAAACCAAGAGGACCAAAGCAGAAGCTGAAAAGCATAGACATTTTGAAGCCACACTGCCACCAGGTGGCAACCAGGCGCCACTACATAAGCTAATTTAAAAAAAAATTCACCGCAAGCTTTATATACCGTATACTGCACATTTTGTAAATTTTGTAGATCTCCAGGCATAGGGCAGTATATCAATTCAAATGATGATGATGGTGATAAATCAGTTGCTTACCTGTAATTGAGGTTGAGCAGGCTTGAATGATGGAAAATTCTCAAGGTTTGACCAAAAGCCTATATACTTATAGGCTGCCCCTGCCCTGTTGTCTGCCAAGAGAGACTTACTCACGTGTCACAGGACAGGACAAAAAAACACCTTTTCACCTTGTCTCCTGGCAGCTGCAAAGTACACCCAAGAGCAGCGGTAGGCAAGGTGGTGCCCTCCAAGTGTCAGTGAACCCCCCCTAGTCCCAGTCAGCACACCAAATGGCAAGGGAAGATGGGAGCTGTACTTTTAACATCTGGGGAGCAGCAGTGTGGGCTATCCCTGCATTAGAGGCATTCTGTGGTAGGAGAACTTGGACCAGGTTTGTGACTGCAGCAATGCAAAAAACTGCTAGGAGCTGCTTAATTAATCCTGGCTATGGAATACCCAAACCAACAACAACAAAAGGCCATTGCGGGTGGCGCTGTGGGTTAAACCATAGAGCCTAGGACTTGCCAATCAGAAGGTCGGCAGTTCAAATCCCCGCGATGGGGTGAGCTCCCATTGCTCGGTCCCTGCTCCTGCCAACCTAGCAGTTCGAAAGCACGTCAAAATGCAAGTAGATAAATAGGTACCGCTCCGGTGGGAAGGTAAATGGCGTTTCCGTGCGCTGCTCTGGTTCGCCAGAAGCGGCTTAGTCATGCTGGCCACGTGACCCGGAAGGTGTACGCTGGCTCCCTCGGCCAATAAAGCGAGATGAGCGCCGCAACCCCAGAGTTGTCCGCGACTGGACCTAATGGTCAGGGGTCCCTTTACCTTTATGGAATACCCAAACCAACAACAACAAAAGGCCATTTGGGTGGTCATCTGAGAGAGTGGGATTTGGGATAGCTGTCAGCCAAGAGAGCATTTTGATTCTGAAGTTGATGGGTAAAGAGATGTCTCAACGGAGAGTCAAGGTCACGATCCAAGACCATGAAGGGCCAACTCATCAAGAACAAGGCAGGTCAAAAACGGTACCTATTGTTGTGTGTAGAAAGCAAGGAACCAATGCAAGCAGCAGAAGAGGCAGGCAGTGATGCTCTGCAGCAGCTGAAATCATCAAGGACCACCCAATGGTGGGCCATGCGTAGTAGCCCGTTGCCAAGTTTCAAAACCCTATCCATATCCGGCATTAAATCTGGACCGCTAAAGCATTAAGTGGCCTCTCTCCTTAGGTGAAACTCCAACAGGGATGTTCATTCTCAATTTCAACACCTGAAGCAGAAACGGTGCAGGTGGTTTCAAGGCAAAACGTCAGAGCATCATGTGGGCTTGTGGTGATTTGCTGTCATTGCATCCCTGTCTCTTTCTGAGAAACTCGTCATGCCAGATCAGCAGGGGGGCACAGCCCAGGGCACTCTGCCAGGTTTCTCTAGGTAGCTGGTATAAGGTAGAGAGGGGAGAGAAAATGCAAGACGGAAGGAGGTTGCATTGCCAGTGTGAAATGGACATGGTACCAAGAACCAGGTTTCACACTACAGTAACTTACATCCCTAAGAGCCAGTTCTATTCGTATTCTTGCTTAATTGCAAGTAATCTATACTTCATCTTGCTACTCTAACATGCTGTGGCATCGTCCTTAAAGCCCAAATACGATACCAATTAGGGGAAATGTTTACAGAGCTCCAGAAGGAACGTGAACCTATATTTGGAAGTCTGTTCCACCTAATGGGTAGACCTGCATGTTCTGCTTGCTACGTACTGTCTTTCGGCTGGCTCCTTCACACCGTCTTTCTCGAGCACCAATCAGCTACTGCATTCCCATCTGCGAAAAACCAGATATAGCAACTGGGTGATGTGAAAAGCTATTTTCACACATTGCCATGGCAATATCTGCATCCTATCTCGATTCTTGTTGAAAGCAAAGCCAGCCGACACCAAGCGTACAAAATCGCAGCAAATGTTTTAAGCAGAGAAGCAAGAAAAACAGTTGGTGGGGTTTTTTTAATGGAAAAAGTAGAAAACCTGATGGGGAAACACATCTATCCAGATGGGTACATGGCATTTTCCCATGTTGACTAAAAACAGATGTAGCAAGGCCACTCACATTCAGCTTGTACTTTTGCACTTATTTATACAGTTGTACCTTGGAAGCTGAACAGCCTAGTTCTCTAACGTTTTGGCTCCTGAACAATAAAAACCTGGAAGTGAGTGTTCCGGTTTTCAAACTTTTTTGGGAGCTTTCTGCAGCCAACCAGAAGCTGCGATTTGGTTTTTGAACGTTTTGGAAGTCAAACAGACTCCTGGAACAGATTCTGTTAGACTTCCAAGGTATGACTGTATTATAATAATAATAATAATAATAATAATAATTTTTATTTATATCCCGCCCTTCCACAGCCAAAGCCGGCCTCAGAGCGGCTAACAACAATAAATTGTTCATAGTATATTGATCATAGATATCTTACCAGGTGTTATTCTCACCACCACCACCCCCGCAAACCCCATGAACAAATGTTTCTATTCTCATGGTACTTGAAACTGCATGGGAAATGATTTTATAACACGGCAACTGAGGTAGTAAGGAAGCTTCCAGTGCAAGATTAGCAAGTTCCCCACAAGATAAATGTAACAGGTTTGGCATGGGAATCGACATGGAGGCAAGGCCCAGCTAGACCCCAGATCTTAACAGAGTTTGAGATTTTCAGCTGATGATTTTATTAACACTGAAACCCTATTTTAAATTCATTTCCCAGCACCTGCAGTAGGCCTAGGAAGGACCTCTACTTTTCAGAGCAGACCATGCTTGAGTTGGAACCAGTGTAAGGCATTTGCTGCAAAGGATATTTGTGTGTCTCACTGTGGGAACAGAATCGTATTAATTCCTCTTGCGCCATGTTCCCCACACCTCATGGCAGGAAACCTACTTATCATTCTGCCTTCCACAAGCAGAATTCACATGGCTCCTTGCAAAAGCATTTGCATATATGCAGAACTCAGCTGCTTCCCATTCCTTTATGCAAAAGAATGATTCCATCCCCAGGATAGCAGCCACTAGTCATACAAGCACAGTATTACAGTAGGGGATATATATATATCCCCTCATGTTCAAGTTGTCCAATGCTCAGCAATCTGCAATTAGGATGTACAGCTAGAATCCTCATTGCTAATGTCTAGTGCTTTTTCTTCCTTCCTGGCAACCAAACTTTCCTCCTATAAGCCAGCTTCAACAATTCTGTGGAAATCCTACCGATCCATTTGTACCCATAATGAAAAGACATGAAAGGGGAACTCCCACGTTTTACAAAACCAAGTTCTCCAAAAAGCAGCAGCTTCCTGGTAATTATGGTAATGGTTTAGAAATCCGAGCTAAGTCTTAAACGATGTTTTCTGAGTGTCCGCCTCAAAATCTCATGGCATTCCTAACAGCTGATATGTGGGAAGACACAATCCAACCTAAGCTGTAGGAGCAAAGTAGTGCTTAATTGGCTTTCTGAAACCATGCTGTTCACTGTGAACAAAATGGAAGCTGAAAGGGGTCCCCAAAACCACCTTTTCCAACACTCTGAACTAAGGTAATGGCAGTGGTGCCCACCTTTTCAAGGAGCCAGCTGCCTGAAACATTAGCTGCAAGTTGTCCATTTACATATTTTGAAATGGAACCACAGCCACATGATATGGGGAGGGGGTAAAACAGATAAAAGGCCGAGAGTTCTTCACAAGGGTCTTCCAGTTCTCATGTGTGCCTAGCAAGCATTCTGGGGGTTTCTAATGCCTGAAAGCCCAGGCCAGTCACTGCGCTGCTAGAACTGTGTTCTTCTCAATTCACACAGTATGGCCAAAACTCCTCTATCGTTCATGGGGAGTTTCCCAGTGGAAACTGTGTAATGCATGAACAGGAACACAGAAAGTTGCCTTTTACAGAGTCAGATCATCCGTCTGCCTAGCTCAGTACCGTCTGGCAGTAGCTTTCCAGGTGGAGCCCTACCTAGCAATGCCAGGGACTGATATCTACCCACTGAGCTCTACTGCCGGTAACTGTTCTAGGCCTACAAGCAGTTCTGCTCTTCCTCCTGGGCCCTCTCAAATTTTCCCCATTTTTATGTTAACAGCCCTAGTGGTGATTAGCCAACATCACCCAGTGAGAGTTGTGACTGAGCAGAGATTTGAACTAAGCGAGAGTTCAGCATTTCTTAGACAGGTTTAAACATTTCTTTTAAGCCTCTGGATTGTGCTATAGTGCCGGGGAACCGTGATCATTGCTGTGCACAGTGAATCAATACCGCTTAGAAAAGTACAAGAATGAGCGTTCAAAACACAGCACAGTAGAGTTATTTATTGAAATACTTGAAAAGGCCAGTGATGGGGGGGGGGGGAATAGGTTTGACAGTGAGGAATTTCCGCTTATGAGGTTTCCTGACCTTCTTTTTTGTTCAAAAATGCCACCTACAGGTAATTCCAGCGAAGTATAGGACGCAGTGCAAACCATGCAACTAATCTACCAAGTAGAGAGTAAAGCACTGTGTAATATTTCGGCTCTACCCCATACGCCCAGCTTTTGGGAGAATGGCTTGCGGAAGTGAGGATGAAACAAAACACTTTGGAATTATAAACAGTTGTAATATACAAATTGATTGCCGCCCCCGCCCCCCTGAAAAGTCTGCAAAACACAACAGAGTGGGAAACGAGAGAGTTGCGGAATGGCACACAAGAGTCAAGATTCTGACAAACACACGGCTGCTGCTTGCTGCTCTTCTATCGGAGGGAATGCACAGCTCTCCTTCTCTCCCCTCTCCCCCCCCCAATCCTTGACCTGCGGCACATTTTGCTGCTTAACCTAGGATGTAAAAATAATCAATCCAAGTCCAATAAAAGCTGCAGTGGGAATGAAACACTTGTGAAAGAAGATCTGTGGGGTAAAGTTCAGTTACTGAAAGAGGAGGGAACTCAGCCCTCCCCCAAGCACTGTGAGCCCAAAGAGAGAACGTCATACACCTGTGAAATAAATAAATGAATGGTGATCCTGGACTTGAACCTACATTGCTTAAAACAAATTCTAATTACACTCTCGCTCACTCCATTTGAAACATCTATTAATGCCAATTATAATAACTTTGGGGGACATTACGGCTCGCTGCCTTAATATATACAAGTTATATTTACAATAATTCCCTTTGGGCCTTAACAAATGTAGCCATTTTCAGTTAGCCACTGTAATGCAAAAACATCTTCCACAACCATCGCAATACTGCAAGTTTAGAGCTATCATTTAAAATAATCTTATCCATGAATTACAAGTAATAAAGTAACTTGCATATATAAATATTTCTAGCGGATTTAGAATGTACATAAAAGTTTCTTTTTCTTTCCCTTTTGGTAGGCCCCTCCCCTGCGAGAAACGTGCTTTTCTTCCAGATCATCGCTGCTTTAGTAATGCTCTGTACATGGCAAAGCCCAAAACGGCAAAGACTGTAGCACCAAAACTCGCTCGAAGCCAAAAGGTGGAGCTCTTGAGGTCTGCTTGCGTCACATGCCTGCAATACGAAGAGCATAAAAAAATATGTAACTGATTTTGCGGTGGCAACACCAGAAAGAAGACACACAGATAAGCCTGCTTTTGGAAATCTATTACACGAGTCAGTTTCAATCTAGTTACACAAACTCAATTATTTCTTGTAAAATCTTAGGAGTCAATGCTTTTGTTCCAACTTTTCAAAGCACTGCTCAGTTACAGGAAAACCCGATTTGATGTAATTCAAATTATCGTTTGATGAATCAAACTTATTGCATGGAGACAGTAAAGGGCTCAACGAGGGTGAGTAAACGGAGACTGAATACTGATAAGGTGGAAGAACTTATGAGTAGTTCCTGTGTCCAGGAAATGTGGAGATGAACTGCCTGGACAAAATCATGATCCCTCCCAAGGAGCAGGTATGTAGCTTGGAGGTACTTGTGGATCCAATAGTGTCACTGGAAGATCAGCTGGCCTCGGTGGCAATAAGTGGCTGTTTCCTGCTCCAGCTATTCCAGGAAGAGGTAAAGGTAAAAGTAAAGGACCCGTGGACGGTTAAGTCCACTCAAAGGGGACTATGGGGTTGCGGTGCTCTTCTTGCTTTCAGGCCGAGGGAGCTGGTGCTTGTCCACAGACAACTTTCCGGGTCATGCGGCCAGAATGACTAAACCGCTTCTGGCGCAACGGAACACCATGACGGAAACCAGAGTGCACAGAAATGCCTTTTACCTTCCTGTCGCAGAGGTACCTATTTATCTACTTGCACTGGTGTGCTTTCAAACTGCTAGGTTGGCAGGAGCTGGGACAGAGCAACGGGAGCTCACTCCATCGTGGGGATTCGAACCGCCGACCTTCTGATTGGCAAGCCCAAGAGGCTCAGTGGTTTAGACCACAGCGCCACCGGCATCCAGCTATTCCAGGAGCAGGACCGTCTTGCCACAGTGACCCATGCTTTGGTAGCCTCATGCCTGGATGTGTGTAGGACTTCCATTGAAAATGGTCTAGAAGCTTCAGCTAGAGTTCTAGGTGGAATAATATTACACCTATTCTCAAATTTGGCTCAATTCAGAGTGTTGATATCAACTTATAAAGCCCTGAACAACTTAGTGCCCAAATACAGGAAGGACCTGCCCCTCTATCTGTTGGCCCAGGCCTTAAGATCTACAGGGGAGGCTGTTTTTGCAGTCCTGCCAATGAGCACTGCTTGTTGCACTGTGACATGGGACAGGGTCTTGTCTGTGGTGGTGCTCCATCTGTGGAACTCCCTTTCCTTGGAGGAGTGCCAGTCACCCTCACTGCTGAGTTTTCACAGAAAACTTTGGATATATTTCTAGAAAGAAGTGATAATCAAACGTAAGATCGTAAGATTCATGCATTCATTTGAGAGGCCAATGTATGGCACAGGCTCTAATCCAGCAGAAGCTATTGCTGGCTGAAAGGGGTGGAGCTGGAAATATTTTTGCAGACTGCCCCCACTGAGCCTTAGAAATCTGTTCTGAAGGGTCGAGAGACCCTCTGGAACAGTGCAAGTGGCTGGGGGCTTCAAGAGGAGAACTGGCAGTGGCTGCTTGCCCCTCCACCACTGGCGAAAGCCTCCGCTGATTGGGGCCACAAGACAATTCTCAAAACGGGATGAAGTCTGGGAAAACCAGACTCGCAGAAATACTTTGGCTATAGAAAGTTGGTGCAGAATTACACACTAAGATAGAACCAATAATTATCTCCTGGTACACTGGGCTCAAGAGGATCAGAGTTGCAGTCGATGTGTTAAAATTGTCTTGCCATCATTTCAAATGCTTGAACTCCCATTTTGGGGGGACTTTTGACAATTTAACCTGTTATTTTCTCATGCAATGAAATGAGCCATTTTGAACTGACAAGTGTATTACTTTCCAAAAGCTAGAGCAGCAAAATGCCTATAAATGTATTTATCATATCAAAACAACACACAATCAGGGCCGGCTATAGGTATTTTAACCTCCTAGGTCTACCCACTTCTCCCTAGCGCCCACCCCTTCCCCTTTGGAGCTGTCTCTATGGATACCACGGAGTGGTTTAGGTAACATAAGCACAAACCCACGCTGGCGATTCCCAGGCTACAGTAATCATCAGCTTTGCAAAACACCTAGAGAGGGGTGCTGGAAAAGTGCTCTTGGGTGGCTTTCATGTGGTTGTTGTTGAGAGAATTTTTTTTATTTTCTTTGTCCTATGTTATAACTGCAATATTCCCATTTGCTTCCTGGTTTGCTGGGACTGCATTATGTTTTTATGTTCTTGCATGTTTCCTTAAAACTTCAATCCAAGTCGTCTTTCAAAAAAAATTGTTAACAGCATTTTCTTAGTACAGTAGACAACTACAAAATTATCGCCCTCCCTCCTCCTCCCGAATCATCTTCATTTTTGGCCCATGTGTAGTAATGGCACAACTGGAGGACTCATAATGCTGTAAAAACAGTAATGTGAGCTAAGAGGTTAGTGAGCCAGGCCTTGATATCAAACGAGGAAAACAAAATGCAACAGAAGAGCATGGGTATGGTAGATGAAAGGAAGCCACAATGAGCTTGACAAGACCAAAGGAAAACACACAACCAGTGACCTGGAAGCTCCCAACACGCACCATTTTGTGAGCATGCTCAGCTAGCCTGGCTAAAATAAGGTGGCTTACCACAATGCGACAGACACGGTCTCAAGCAAAAAGGTCATTGCAGCGACCTTAGTTCAAGGCACAGCGATTCTCAAATTGAGTGTTACGGAACTGATTTAGGACTGCCCTATAGAACAAAAGGCTAGAAAGAATTTTCTAGCCTAGGCGTTTTAAAATCAAAATTAGAAATAATGGGGAAACTTCTAAAGTACACGAGGCAGACATCCAAGTGCACGTACACCCTAACAGACAGAGCAGGTTTCGGAGGGCAAATTCAAAAATGACCAGGGCTCCTTCAATAAAAGCAGGGATTATACAACTACTACACACTGTTACACAAGGAGGCCAAACCAGATTCTCCAGGGACCTAGGCAGCACTTCAAGCACATCTCGAAATCCCATGCAAATTAAGTGCTTTGACTATTTATTGCGGGCGATCAGTGAAGCGAGGTACAAAACCACCTACAGACAAACTCCAAATCTTTTTTTTTGGGGGGGGGGGTGAACTTCAAACGGATTAATGGCAATTGTTTCTAGCATGGGGTTAGTTCTAAGTATTTTAGAGTAAGGCATTGTCTGAGTTTCTCCTCTAGGGAGAGATTAAGTTAAGATTGTGTTACCTGTCTTCAAGTAACTGAGGATCAAGGGATGACTCCATGAAGATGGAATCCTCTACAGAGCGGACGGCGTGAACCTGGTGAACAATACTGCTCTCCTTGTCTGATAACAGCATGGCACCCAATTCAGCTACAGCGGCTCTTAACCTTTTTTACACACATGCACACAGTGGGCAGTTCATAGCATGGCGAGAAACAGTCAAGTTACGCACCAACACAGCTTACAAGTCAGCTATCAGTCTGTTTTTTAACAAGGAGAGCCTTTGCTTTGTGTGCAGGTTATTAAAGTGGCACATAAAAATTAATTATCAAAGTGGAAGGAAAGGAAAGTATTTTTAATTTTTTTTTACAGCCATCCCAAGCAAAAGAATTGCCAGGTGACACCGAAATTCATCCTGCATTCTTGCCAAAGAACAGGTGATATTCCTCAGAGATATTTAACTCACGAAAAAACTTTTTGTTTGTTATCTCTGAAATGTGCCTTAATTTTACAGAAGGGCTGTTGGGAAAATTTGAAGTTAGATCACATGGATTGTTTTTTGCTTCCAAACTCGAATGTTCCGTATTTTATTTGTTTTCCTTCCGCTTGTGTAGAGATTTAAGTTTTTCAAATGCATGATCCAGTGTTAAAAGGATCCACACTCACTCATTATTCCTGATTTTGTGTTGTGCTTCTGTATGCTTGCTTTGTTTAGTTTTACAGTATGCATGGAAACACTGCTTTTTTGAATAAAGCATAGAATTACTGTGCAAGGTCAAGTGGTGCCATCATAAGGGCAGAACGTTACGCCACAAAACAGGTTTCCGAAATGTGCCTGCCACTAAATGAAAATGAGAAGAGGGCATTTGGATGGAGATGTGTGGTGTTCCCTTGGCCAACTAATTCTCACCCTACAAATGCTCCCAGGGTCTTCTAGCCTAGCTGGAGTGACAAAGCAAAAATAGCAATTGGGACATGCACAGAGGAGAATCAGCTGTTAACCAAATGTCCCCTTGGTCCCTCATTAGCATTAAGAGGGGTAAATGAGCCTGGGAACTGCCTGTTTTCCTCACAAAACCTGGTTTTATTCTAAGTGTACCACTGTCTATTATGTGAGTGTGCCACTGTCTATTCTAAGGTAAAGGTAAAGGGACCCCTGACCATTAGGTCCAGTCGTGGCCGACTCTGGGGTTGCGGCGCTCATCTCGCTTTATTGGCCGAGGGAGCCGGCGTACAGCTTCCGGGTCATGTGGCCAGCATGACTAAGCCGCTTCTGGCAAACCAGAGCAGTGCACGGAAACGCTGTTTACTGGAGCGGTACATATTTATCTACTTGCACTTTGACATGCTTTCGAACTGCTAGGTTGGCAGGAGCAGGGACCGAGCAACGGGAGCTCACCCCGTCGCGGGGATTCGAACCGCCGACCTTCTGATCGGCAAGTCCTAGGCTCTGTGGTTTAACCCACAGCGCCACCAGCATCCCTACTATCTATTCTACTGTGGTTTAAATATACAGGAAGCTACCTTAAGATCCCCATTCGCTAGGCAAGGCAAACATACTCTGTTCATACGAAATATTCATAAAGAAAAAGAAAGAAAGCAAATAGCTTTCTTACAGTGTGTTGGGAGCAGATTCTCACCGTTTACTTCTTATATTCAGAAACATGCCCCATAAAGTCACACACAGAATTAAGGTGCGTCTAAAACACCTCAGAAGCAGCAGCTGGCAAAGGATTTCCTCCCGTTTTTAAAAAGGTGTTAATCTAATTCTACACATTGCTGTGCACTTCATGTGTATAATATCTGTATTCAGGTATTCGTGCCCTCAAAGTACAAAATGAAAGAAGGGAAGAATAGCCACTCCCAGCCAGCTAAATGCCATCCATAAGCAAAGCTCTTTATTTTGAAACGTATTTGAGAACTGGGGGTGGTGATGTAGGAAAACAGCCAAGAAAGCATCTGTTTACCCAAAGATAGAAGTTTCACCAAATGCATTTTCTAAAAACTTAAGTTTGGGCCACTTCAAACATATTTTCCTAAGACCAGAATATATCTGTGCTGACTTCGATGGGTGCTTAGTGCACTTCTGCACTACTTAACTGTTGGAACAGCCAGTCTCAAATTTAGTTTTAGCCTCTAAGAACTGAACCCTAACAATTTCATCCAAAAAATTCCCGTGCTAGCAGAGATGCTCCGAGAACAAGCACACAGCATGTGCCAGCACAAGCAGATATATTCCATTTATCTTATTTATTTCACAAAATTTATATACTGCTTGATAGTAACTATATTAAAATGATCAATAAGAGTTAAAGAACAAGTAATTGAAAACGTATCAACGCGGTCGAGGAAGGCAATCCTGCAAGTACACAAGGTGTCAAGGGCTTTATATACCCATTGTAACTTGGCCTAGTAACAAATCAGCAACCACTGCATATCTCTAAGCACAGGCGTTATCTGCTGACAGGATCTCTCTCCTATCAGCTGCTGTACTAACTGTGGTTTCTGGATCAAGCACAAGGGAAGCCCCACATAGAGTGCATTGCAGTAATCCAATTTTTAAGTCACTGATGCCCAAACTGCTGTGGTCAGGGTCCCTTGGTCCAGAACAGTTGTGCAGTTGTACCTTGGAAGTCGAAGGGAATCCATTCCGGAAGTCTGTTCAACTACCAAAACGTTTGCAAACCAAACTGCGGCTTCTGATTGGCTGAAGCTCCTGCAGCCAATTGGAAGCCACGGAAGCCCCGTCAGACGTTTGGGTTCCAAAAGAACGTTTGCAAACCGGAACAATCACTTCCGGGTTTGCAGCATTCAGGAGCCAAAACATCCGAGTTCCAGGATGGTCTGGATCCAAGGTATGACTGTATATGTTGTACCAGGCACACCTGGTAAAAGGTGCTTCTAGCTACTGAGGCTCCCTGGGCCTCCAGTGACAAAACAGGGTCCAGAAGCCCCTCAAGGCCATGTATCTGCTCTTAAAAAGGAAGTGCAGCCCCATCCAGGGCAGGTAATCAACCAATTTCTCAAAACATGGGAGTCACTCGCATACAGTGCCTCCAGGATTAAAGCACAGATTTTCCCCCTTCATTTCTAAAGATTTCAAGGGAGGGGGATGTAAAGCAATAGCTGGATTATGTATTAGTATCCTATGTGATTATGGAACAGTGGCTTCAACTTGTTTAGGATAAGCAGGAAAGTTTTACAAAGCCATTTACAGTGCAACTTTAATACCCTATAAAATCTCTTTAGATCATACAGGTAAAGTATTAATTAGGCTTTTACATTCCTTTTTTAAAAGCACATGCACAAGGGTTTACCAATGTTTCAGAAAGATCATTTTTATTTAATCAACAAAACAAGCATTTTATGTTAATAAATGCAGCCTGTGCTTTCCAAACAAAAGCAACAGATATTCTATTTTGTAAGCAGAGTGTACACTGTCAATTCAACACAGTAACTGGGCTAACTAGCAGTCATAAGACAAGTTAACAAACCAGCAGCATTAACTGAGCAGAACCATTAGTTTTGCCTGGGAATGTGATGCTATTCAACAAGCCAGGAACATGCAGAAGCCAAGATGACTAAGCCATGAGTAAGCAAACTAAGGCCCAGGGGCTGGATCCGGCCCAATCACCTTCTAAATCTAACCCGCGGAAGGTCCAGGAATCAGCATGTTTTTACATGAGTAGAATGTGTCCTTTTATTTAAAATGCATCTCTGGGTTATTTGTGAGGCATAGGAATTCGTTCATATTTTTTTCCAAGATATAGTCTTCAAGGTCTGAGGGACAGTGGACTGGCCCCCTGCTGAAAAAGTTTGCTGACCCCTGGTCTAACGCACTGTTCAATCCTCGCTCCCTCAAAGTTTTAGTAGCCTTAACTAGAAAACTGGGAAGAGTTATGACAAGACTCCAGACTTCCTGCACGCTAAATATGAGGAAAGCTTTATATCACTAACCTGCCTTTAAACGCCCAGATAAGTCATACACATAACAGTAAATTAAGCAGCAGTTCACACTAGGCAGAATTCTACAACCATTTCTTTCCTTGATTGTGACTGCACACAGCTAAGTTATCTGACGGATTTTGCCACACATTCATGTCACAATGCAGAGATAAAGGTAAAGGTAAAGGGACCCCTGACCATTAGGTCCAATCGTGACCGACTCTGGGGTTGCGGCGCTCATCTCGCTTTATTGGCCAAGGGAGCCAGCGTACAGCTTCCGGGTCATGTGGCCAGCATGACTAAGCCGCTTCTGGCGAACCAGAGCAGCGCACAGAAACACCGTTTACCTTCCCGCCAGAGCGGTACCTATTTATCTACTTGCACTTTGACGTGCTTTTGAACTGCTAAGTTGGCAGGAGCAGGGACCGAGCAATGGGAGCTCATCCCATAACGGGGATTCGAACCACCGACCTTCTGATCAGCAAGTCCTAGGCTCTGTGGTTTAACCCACAGCGCCACCCACATCCCTAATGCAGAGATACACATCCACTATTTTCTCTTCCTAGATTCCTTTTCAAAAGCCTACCCTAACCTGTTGCACTTTTGAAACTCTGTCAAGCAGACATTCTCCTCAACCACATTCTCCTCAACCACACTTTCCCATAATTCTCTGAATTCAAGAGAGTTTAAAAAGAAATTTGGGAGCTTGTTGGCAACAAGACGGGGGAGATCCTCCTGAATAAAAGGAAAACAAAATAGACGGCAAGTATTTGATTTGGCCTAATTATTTATTTTACCTGCCTACAGTTGTATGTCTACTACTGAGTTGTAATGGGCCTGCCAGGATAAAGAGTAAGCACAATATTGACAAGCTTCTTCCAAAGACAAACCAAATGAATAATCAGGATCAGGATTGCACAGACTTAAATCTACTCTTAAGAACTCAGGAGGACATACAGTAAAGCTTATAAAATGTGGGGAGGCTTCATAAGCCCCCAGTTACACATTACTTCATACAAAGAAGGATACAGCTCATCTTGCCATCAATACTGAGTGCTGAATTGATAATCCAACCTCTTGTTCAATCAAGCGTCACACTTGCACATACCAATTGGCCATTCATGAAGATGGAGGGAGGATGAATCAAGCACATCAAAGACAACCCTCAAATGAAGGCAACATTGTGGGTCGAGAGGTATAGGAGCTTGGAGAGAAGAAATAAGGGCCCTGCCACACACAACAATGACAGGTACTTGTAAATTAAAATGCCATGTGTGGCAGGGCTAGCCACTATGGTTCCTGGACTACAATTCCTATGATCCCAGACCAGCTGGGAGTTGGAGTCCGACAATATGTGAAGGGCACCATGTTGGGTTTGTTCCTGATCTTTGTAGTCCCAATGACACACCTTTGGAAGGGGGCAAAGAAATTGGGAAGCATAATCATTTCCCACAGCATCAGAAATAATAATAATAATAATAATAATAATAATAATAATAATAATTTATTATTTATACCCCGCCCATCTGGCTGAGTTTCCCCAGCCACTCTGGGTGGCTCCGAATCAAGTATTAAAAACAATACAGCGTTAAATATTAAAAACTTCCCTGAACAGGGCTGCCTTCAGATGTCTTTTTTAAAAAAGAAAGGGAAACAAGCCAAATAATTGTGACTTCAGGGTGGTAGAGAATATAAAGTGAGGATATGCCCTATTTTCCCGTGTATAAGACAGCCCCATGTATTTTTGGGGACTCCAAATTAAGAAAACACCCCTCAGCACTACCCGTGTATAAGGCGAGCCCCAATTTCAAACTTTTTTTTTTTGTAAAAAAAAAAGCCATAAGTTCTATACACAGGAAAATACGGTAATTTAAAGTGAGAGATAAAGATGGCTCACCAACACTAGTTGGAATCATTCTTGGCTCAGCGCATAATCAACGCAACACACCAAGATATTGATTCCATGTAACAGGAGATGCGTAGCTCTTTTCCATTTATGAAACTCACAAAAATGAAAACACTTGGGTTTTTGCTTCTTCTTTTTTTAACACAATGGCCAATCTCTATTTATTTTAAGAAAAAGCCTTTCCAATAGGCTTTCAGCTTCAAAGAATCAAGATTGAGGGGGGGGGTGACCTCTCAGATGGAAATTCCTACCATCATATTGAGCTTCAACTTTACCCATGAAGGGATTCCGGCCAGAGTAAAACACTAATCATGCCAGAGGAATAAGGCAACAAGGCAGACACAGAATATCAGCCTCCAATATATACAAGACATGCAGACAACCAAATGGAAACAGCCAAGCTGATGGATCAGAAACACACACACGGAATTAGAAGGCACACGCAGAAACGTCCTTTTCAAAGAGAGGCACAAGAATGCAGCAAGAGGAGAGTAAATGCCAGCCAGACAAATGAAAATGAACACCTAAAAGGAGAAAATGAATGAAACAAAAATAATCCAGCATGGCTCAACTGTTTTATCGAAGGCATGTGGTGTACAGTATTTGTTCCTAATCAGTCATGTTCCTAATTAACGATTTAAAGTCAGAATTCCTGGAAAGCTCAAACCAAGACTACTGCATTCAACTGTGCCAGGGGTGGTGAACCTACAGCCAAATAACAGGCCCTTTATTTTGCCCCAAAAACTTTCCCCAGGCCACACAGTCTGCTTTATACCTTGGGCATTTTTGCCTTCCTGGAATCTGTCCTTTGAATATGTCAATGTTTCTTGCTTGTTCAGAAGAAACAATAAAGAATAGACGATTATATAAAGGTAATCATTAGTTCCTCCTCCCACTTTTGCCTCTGGCCCCGCCCACCAATGGCAAAAGTCCTCAAAAGGGGCCCCAGAAAAGAGTGCAGCCTTTCGGCTGATAAAGACTCCACACCCCTGCACGACAGGATATACTTCAGCATTGCAGTGATTTTCCATTTTTATAATTTCTTTTTAAAAGGTCTGTGGATCCAGAGCACTTGCTAAAAGTTCCTGTGAAGCATACTGTAGGCTTTTTGCCTCTGCCCCCCACACAGCTGCCCACTCCACCCCCAAGGGTGACATGAGGCTTACAACTTCAGTCTTGCAGCTCCCCGCTTACCAGCTAGAATAAAGTATCATCAAACTTCCAGGCTTATGGTCCAGAAATTCATTTTCATAAGACCTCAATTAATGGAATGTACTTTCTTTTTGGGAACAGTTCCATCACAAAGATTAGAAGTGTGTCTAAAAGTGTGTCTGCTCTAATTCAAGGCTGCAATGCTCTCCTCCTTTACCTTGAAGAGTCCCACTGAGATCAGTGAGATATATAGAGGAGAGGGACGAATACTCTGAAGTTTCCTGAGAAGAGAACTATTGGTGTTCTCTGAAACTACAGAACCACTTATCACACTGTTCTTTCTATGGGACTCACTCATAAACCTCCCATAGATGTGCCACCTAGTAAAATGGAGGCAGTGGGGGAAATAGCAAAACCCAGATAGGCTATGCTCACATCCTGAAAACCTGCAGGCAGTTTTGCATATGCACTCAAGAGGTGACAGATCCCCCTTTTTTTGCTCTGAGTGCATATACGCAAAGCAGTTACTGCACACAAATAAGGAGCCAAAGAAGTGGAGGTTTAGAACACAGGCGTACCTTGGAAGTCAAACGGAATCCATTTTGGAAGTCCGTTCGACTTCTAAAACGTTCGAAAACCAAATCACAGCTTCTGATTGGCTGCAGGAAGCTCCTGCAGCCAATTAGAGCCATGGAAGCCCCATTGGACGTTCGGGTTCCAAAAGAACATTCGCAAACCGAAACAATCTCTTCCGGGTTTGTGGCATTTGGGAGCCAAAATGTCCAAGTTCCAGGGCGTTTGACAACCAAGGTATGACTGTACTCTGTTCTTATTCTGAACCAGATTTTAACAAAGTTAGATGACATTGCCTGTAGCCTTCCCAAATTTCAGGTGCAGGTTTCTCTCAGCCAAAGTACCTAAGATTCTCGTAGTTCCGGTGTGGCTATCATCCATAACAATCGGTCATGCTGTCTGGGGCTGATGGGAGCTGGAGTTCAACAACTTCTCAAGCCAAGGTTCTCATAAACAGTGGCCGAGGTGAAAAACTGTATGTCTGCACTGTGCCACTTCAGTCTATGGGTGGGAGCTCACATGACTGATGCTGTTCCGTGCAAACACACCCACACCCAAAACATCTGAAAGATTAGGTTCAGAATGAAATCATCTAGCCAAGCCTTCTCCCTGACTTGCTAATGTCTATGTGTAGCAATGCTTATTTTGTGGAAGAGCCGTGGGTACAAAAAAAGGAGCCCGACAGGCCCAGGTCTCAAACAATGATGACAGAAAGTTATCTGGGGATTGAGGGGAAAGATCCTTATCCTCTTGCTCCGAGATCAGATTCTGCCTACCCAGCTCCGGCTGAACAACCGCCCCCCAACCTTTCCGTCCCCTCTTGCCCTCAAGAGGAGATTGTATTTTCTTTTGAGTGCCCATCTTGATGAATGAGGAGAACTGTAAGATTTGAGACCTGTTGCTGGCACAGTACCAGCTCTAATCTAAACAGAGGTCAGGGTAATGACCTCATTCTTCTTGCCTGGGTTGCAGGGAGGCTGGGTATGAGCACTTGAGCTATCCAGGAGTCTTCTGAAAAACAACTGAGAGACTGGCTTCCTATTTAAGTTTTCCAGCTGCAGTTAATAGCTAGCTCTGCAGCTGGAAGGAACAAGCGGCATAGGTATGGGGTGAGGGGTTCAGACTATGGAAGACCCCCCCCCCCGCACGAATACTTTCATGTTCCTTACAGATCTTCCTAATAGACAGTTAATGAAAAGCTGTAGTGAAATGTTCGTTGGAAAACAGAACTGCCTTCATGCACCCAGTGTGTGTTGCTAGCCGACGTTCTACAAATCAAGCTACATAATGCATTTTAAACTTTGCTTTCCAACCACAGGCAACTAAAACAAGGCTACCAGCTAAGGGAGTACACAGGTATACCTCGAGATGTTGCGAGTTCTGTTCCAGACCACCGCAATAAAGCGAATGTCACAGTAAAGCAATTCACGATTTTTTTTGGGGGGGGGTGTGTTTCCCAGTGCATATAAGAATTATAATTATCCTATACTGTTGTCTGTTAAACAAGTTCCCCCTAGCTGCGGGGGGGGGGGGGACCGGGGACCCAGCTCCAGCCCCAGCAACTCCAACCCTGTACTACGCCATGGAGATATACTTTGATTTTTAACTCCCATTCATCTGCTGGGTCTGATCTGATACTAGTGAACGCTGGCAAATCCTGTTCTATGTTCGCAAAAAGAAAAAAAGGATTTAGCAGACACAAGGAGCATAGTAGGTAAGCTGCGGGACTGTTTGTAATACAGTAGGCCTGCAACTCACGTTCCAAGGATCGTGCCCCAAAAGCCAAAATCACGTATAGTCTAAAGCCATTGGGTTTAATGACAGGTGAGATTGCCAAAGACCTTTTTTCTGGAACCTTTCCGCCCCTTTATTATTATTATTATTATTAGTTTTTTTGCCACGCGCATAAAGCTGAATGCATCCAAGTTGCGGGCTTACTGTACTAAAAAAGTATTCAGCCAGTGTTAGTTTGTTGCTAGTAACTTTCTAAAGAAAATATATGAATGTCTTGAACAGAGAACGATTCGCCCCAGCTGCATTCGTAAAACTTATGTAAGTAGGGATTATTTTCTAAAGGAGGAATTTGTTGTTAATGCCACAGATCTCGTCGCACCATATCCATTTGCAGGGACTGAGCATTTGTGCTCTAAACTCTGGAAGTGATTTTGACTCATATCGATAAACCAAAATATACACATATTTAGACTGTACGGTGGGCATGGAGGTCAGCAACCAGAAGCTCTCGGTCAAATCTAGCCCCCTAAAAGATGTTAATTAGCCACCTGGTTGCTGAACAAGAGGCAAAACCATGGTGAAAATGGTTTCAGAGGTAACAGAACCCAACGGCAAGTCACTTTTATGGTCAAGGGTACCACTGGTCCACTCCCTTGTCCAAATTGCCTTGTGGGAAACTTAGTTGCTGACCAGGGCTGTACAGTGTTTCTCATGTCTTAACTTGCCTGCACATAGAAATTTTAAAATCTACATCAAAGCTGCATATTTTGTATGAAATGACTAGCGAGGGCTTGTCCCCCCCCCCAGCTCTCTAGCAAGCTACATTAAGCTACTTTTGTACTTGCTAAATGGCTGAGATTCAATATGCCAATTAGGATAAGCACTACCTGAAGAGAAAAGCTTGTATATCGGGTACATTTGCCTGCTCAGTGGATATGGAGCAAAGTGCCTGTGTCTCAGTTACAAAGTTCAACCATTTCTTTTAATAAAAGTACTTTTAAAGCACGCCTGGTACCTAGTAAATAAAAATCAAAGACCTGTTAAGAACTGCGGTGAAGAGTTTGTTCTTTACAGATTGCAGCAAGTCTGAGTTGAGGAGGTTCTGACAGATGCAAAATGTACACCTGTTGCAGGTGCACATACAGCGTAATCGGGCATGGCTGCAAAAACACACAGAAGGATAGGAATTGAGATCTCAGGCAGAAACCAGGGCTGAGCCAAAACCAAGAGCGGTGAGGATAAAACTGGTTACATTCCGGGGAAAAGTGAGGCAAGGGTAGGCTAAAGTTGTACAGATTTCCAGGAGGAGACTATTTTAGAAAAGTGCGTTGTGCCCACATGCCTGTATCCCCAACAAGAGGAAGAGAGAGAGAAGGGAGGGAGATTCAACTTTTATTTTATACAGAGCTTAGAAAGAGAAGCAGAATGTAATATGCTCTTGTTTAACAAGAGGCAACTCCTCCACAATCCATAGAAAGAATGGAATTCAGTTCCTTTCTCCTGCTACTGAAACTGAACAACTTCATGAAGCCAACAGCTACCCTTACCTCTTCCATCCCAACCAACACACACATGCTTAAGAATTGGGGAAAGAGAAAGGGAAGGTAAGAAGGTCAAATACACTGTTGCATATATTTCTCAAAACATTTGACTATTCCAGCTGGGCCAAATGCATTGAAGAAGACTTTTTTAAAAAGGAGCCTGAACTTAAGATGTCCTCTGCACCCCACCCCCCAAAAATCTGGACTTCCTGGTGAAAGCAATCAAATTAACCCATTTGAACAAGTGACAGCCATAACCCTTCAGCAATGATGTTCAAGTGCACAGCAGCACAGGAAAATTAAAAGTGGTTTGGGGGGGGAGAATTAATTGATTCGGTCTCCAAGACCGAAAAATGGAAAATGAATGTTTGAAGGTATTCTACATTTGATTACTAGATGTGAGGACAAGGTTATTGCCAACTTTATTGAAAGATTTACAGGGCATGTAGTTAGCCCTGGAGGGTCAGTCCCTGTGGCAAACACATGGTCCCTCACAGAAAAAAATGAAAAATAAAACTAAAACAAAAAGTTCCTGTTCCAGTGAAGTCTTGGATTGCACTGAATATCCACTATTGTACTATAATGAACCTGTCATTTTAAGCGATGTCTAAACCAACAACGCAGAGAAGGTTAGACCTACCAGACTCACAAAGTCTGCAGACTGAACTTGTTTGGCAACAGAGCAAGATGCTTAGTTCAAGAAACAGCAACTCTGAGAAGCATTCAATCTCTGGGCTCACAAGCATCTACATGAAATGTAGGATAGCTATTAAATTTGAGTAGCAACAAGTGTGGTCCAAAAGAGAGATAAACAAAAGCAAGAGAACTCCTATGGTGCTGCTAGAGAAAATATGGTGCAAGAATCGCAGAAAACAATGACAGTATTAACAGTGACTGTAGGCCAGCTTGCTTTAGCAAATGTGCAGCTTGAAACCTCCTGAGGGTGTCGCATTTTTTCACATCAATATCTACCTTTCTATAGAGCAGAGCTTTCCAAACTGTGTGTCGCGACATGCTAGTGTGTCGGCTGTCTTGTGTAGGTGTCTCACGCACATGCTCCCCACGCTCCTTGCTAGTAAAACTGAATTACTGTGTTACGAAATGATGCATGTCTAAAAAGTATGTAAAGCTCTGCTATAGAGCTTGAAGGTAAAGGGACCCCTGACCATTAGGTCCACTCGTGGCCGACTCTGGAGTTGTAGCACTCATCTCGCTTTATTGGCCGAGGGAGCCAGCGTACAGCTTCTGGGTCATGTGGCCAGCATGACTAAGCCGCTTCTGGCGAACCAGAGCAGCACACAGAAACGCCGTTTACCTTCCCGCTGGAGCGGTACCTATTTATCTACTTGCACTTTGACGTGCTTTCGAACTGCTAGGTTGGCAGGAGCTGGGACCGAGCAACGGGAGCTCACCCGTCGCGGGGATTCGAACCGCCGACCTTCTGATTGGCAAGTCCTAGGCTCTGTGGTTTAACCCACAGCGCTACCCGTGTCCCAACGCTATAGAGCTTACTACTGCTGTAAATAAGTATTGTAATTAGGATTTGTGTCATGTAACTTGGAGTAGTGTGGCTATTTAAAAAGAGGAGAGTTAAAAATACTTTCAAGTTGCTTTGCTTCCAGCTTGCCAGGAGCTCCAATTCTGAAAGGCAATTGCAATTGCTCCAGTATCCCAAGCTGAAACCATGCACTTCTTATTTGACAAGTCTTTGCTCTGTCCAGTATGTGCACCAATGTCTACACCCCACCCTAGAAAACTGAGCCTTTTTTTTTTTTTAGCAGTAGTCTTCTCTGTAGTTCTTCTCTGTACAATGGGCCTTCTCTGTAGTGGTTCCCCATTATATCACAGTCGTACCTTGGATCCCGAATGCCTTATGAGTCGAACGTTTTGGCTCCCAAACCCTGCAAACCCGGAAGTGACTGTTCCAGTTTGCAAACTTTCTTTGGAACCTAAACGTCTGACGCAGCTTCTGATTGGCTGCAGGAGCTTCCTGCAGCCAATCGGAAGCTGCGCCTTGGTTTCCAAACATTTTTGAAGTCGAACAGATTTCCGGAACGGATTCCGTTCGACTTCCGAGGTACAACTGTATATCTAATATGTTTATGTTTGTGTGTATTTTATATATTTCTAGGTGCCAGGCAAACATTCCTCTTCAACCAAGCCTTTGGCTGATTAATATTCTACAGCCTTTTTAATGTGTCTGTGGGAAGGTGCGGTTACTGCTTTGCCGTTTCGTTTTACTTATTTCCATGTTTTTATCCTGTATTTTACTCTGTGAACCGCCCTGACATCTTATGATGAAGGGAGGTATATAAATCTAATAAATAAATAAAAAGGATTCGAGAAACATGCTGCCCCCCGCAACACTGTGGTGAAACATAACTGTGATCCAAAAAACGAGTTTACATATGCCTAAGAGCTTGGCTACATCTAGCAGGATTCAGGGAATTTTCTTTGAATAGCAGACTACCATGTCACGTTTCAAAATCTGTTTCCAATTCCCTTCCATTTTGGAAGTGTTTTGCCATGTGGCATAGAGCGCTGCTCTTGAACCCAGAGTCACCTTGGACACCTGGAACTAGTTTCACGATTCTTGGAGCTTGGCCCATATATTTATGAAGGCCTACTGAGGAAATGTGCTAATAAGGTACACTGATAAACCAGATACCACCAAGAGAGCCAAATTCTCTCAAGTCTGTATTTTGAGGTTGGGCTCTTCTTCATCTGTGAAAATATACAGTGTTGGGGACTTCCAAAAAGGGAAAAAAATGTTTTACCTGAAGCCTTGTGTTTTGCCCCCCCCCTCCAATGTAAATATACCTGTTTTGGTTCCCAGTAACACTGCCCTTGAATCCCCGAGGCAAAGGCTTTGGGACATCTCACATAGCAACCTGCGATCCCGATCTTATGTAATTTGCAGCCTGGTTGCAGCTGGAATCCAATACTGGTACGACTTTCAGATATCCTCATACCTTAGGAATTTGTCTGTACCTACCTATCGGAGTTTATTTACCAAAGCCAGACTAAATGTCTTTCCCTCGGAAGTTCTAAATGGCAGACTGAGAGGCATCCCCCATCAGAATAGGCTTTGTTTATGTTTCCAGGAGGTCGACTGTATGAAGAATATCCTATTGCATTGTGGGCAATATGAGCAAGCAAGGGATCAACTGATCAAACCCTTACTGGCAAATTAGCCGGGAAAATCCGAAGCCTCCCACATTAAATATCTTTTGGAAGACAGGTCAAATGATATTACACTGGCCGTGGCAAAGTTTCTTTCGGAGGTTATAAGAAACAAAGATCATTATGCCCTAGATAAAACAAAATGACTGCCTTGGTTTCTTCCATCTGTCTGTCTGGTCGTTTTAACTGTATCTAGTTTTGAAATTGTTTGGTGGGTCTTTGGACCGCAATAAAGTTTTGATTTGATTTGATTCCCGGTAAACGAGGGTCCAGTCTCCTTGGGACATGCTCAACACTCTTCGTTAATGAATGAGTAATGACAACGAGCAAGGCAGTGCATGCATTTATGGAGAGAATAGAACCCAATGTCTTTAAGCTAGATGCGATTCTGCAATGTATTCAGACAAACTTCTCAAAATCACATTACGTGCAACAGTTGGTACGCAGGAGCTTTTTGCAGTCAATTTAGATTACTTGCATTTATTGGCCAATTCAGCATTAAAATTCTTTGTTTAGTTGCATCACCAACATCTCCCTCTGTTGCTAAACACAAATTTCAGTGAGGCACAGAGTTCCATCCTTATGGCAACATCAACAACAACAACAACATGCAAAGTTGTCATGATCCATGCAGTTATGAATATTGGGGTTCTTTGGGTACTTACGGATACATGGCCATCGTTGTCAACTTAACAAAGATGTCCTTACTCGGTGCATCAACCGTGTTACAAGAAAAGGCTTGTGGTGGAGGCATTTTGTGTTTTTTGCAGAATTCGGCCGGGGAAATGCTGTACTCTTGTCTAACTTCATGAAGGTCTGACTTGGCAGCTATCACTAAGCAAGGTATCCTGCTGTCCATGAAGTGTTGCTAAATATTTAAATAAAAAACAAAGCAAAACACAGACAGACACAAAATAGAAAACATATACAAATGGGGAAAATTCATAGAATCTACTTATTCACACTGACTGTCCTTATGCAAATCCAAAAGGGCTTTCTATAAGCTTTTCCTCAAACAATAATCTCACAACCCATGTCCCGCAATCACAAAGCAAGACTGCTTTTGGATTCTTACAGAGAGTTAAACCCAAAACTGTTGTATACAAATGCTTAATGTGACATAGAAGTTCGGAAACTTAGAGAAGTGTGGACTAGAATGCATCATTCAGCCTAAGGAATGAAAATAATCTATATGTACTGCTTCTTTAGATATGAAATTGAGACTGATCCAGCAAAAAAATTAAAAAATTCAGTACAGTCGTACCTTGGAAGTCAAATGGAATCCATTCCAGAAGTCTGTTCGACTTCCAAAATGTTCGGAAATCAAAGTGCGGAGCTTCCTGCAGCCAATCAGAAGTTGCAGAAGCCCCGTTGAATGTTCAACTTCCAAGAATAGTTTGCAAACTTCCAGGTTTGTGGCGTTCAGGAGCCAAGTACGACTATATATTATACTCCATAGCACTTCTCCAATGAAGATAGTTTTTGGGAGCAGCTATGCTGAAAATGCCGCATTGAGGTATATGATTCTTTTTAATCTGAAGTTGTTATCTGAATCAAATTTGGGGAAATCTTTGATATTCTGAAATGTTTGAAGTTACACAAGAAACTATTTGTTGGGGAAATATTGTGAACAATGCCTGGAATCTCTTTACTTTTATGATAAATGCTTCCCTCGCAAAATAAAGTACCAAATTAGACTCCATATGGCATTATCCTGAACACTATAAATCAGTGTGTATACATTTGCTAAGAAGGTGCAGTCAATAAAAGCTTCCCAGAGCATCCACGCAAGTGAAGGAGAATCACACACAATAAATCTACATGCACAATTATTGCAAATTTCAATGTAGACATTATTCCTGTAGGAATCCTGTTGCATGTAAAGTAGCCTTAAGAGGAAACCTATCATACTTCCCTTTGCCAAGTACAGGTGAGAATCACAGGTACCTCAAAATGCCATCTAGTCCAAATCTCCTGCCAATACATCCCTGATGATAGTAACCTGTTTTTAATTCTTTTTTTTTTTTATACTGCCCTTCTTCTATGGAGTTCAGGTTATAAAGCTGATTCCCCTCCCTCTTGTAACATAAGATATAGAGAGATTAGAGGGAAGGGGGCGGAGACAAACTATCTTGAGTCAAATGCATTTGACGTATTATTTACAATACCTGCATGTTTCTGCAACATTTATTTGCTATACTGCTAAAAGATACGTATTTTGTGTGTGTGTGTATTTATTTTCTAGATTTTTTGTAACTCTTAGAAGAGAGACGTAAAACATACAAACCTTAAAAATCCTGGCACAGTATTCAAAGGATTTGGGGTTGCTGACATCATAAACTAGGCATACAGCATCACACATGATTTCAGAATCACATAAGAAGTCAGATTCACAAACGTTATGCAACTAAGGGGTGTGGGGGGGGAGAGATAAAAAATTATGAAATATACTTTGCAAGCATCAAGCATACTTCTTTGCTTTCACATTCAGGTCCCCCCGTTTTTGTCTTTTAAATGTACCCAAATGCAACTAACATGGATGTAGACAGAATCTGCTTATAGAGATCAGCCACTCTTTACTAGGAGAGGAAGATTTCTTGGAGCGAATGAGCCTGTATGCCTATATGTGTGTATTTTAAATGCAGTCAGTGATCTTTTCATATGAATTCAACAGGACATACATACATACATGCTGCATAAAGAAGCCACAAGTCAAGAGTTACCATTGCAAATGAAATACAAGTCTCATGAAAGAAAGCAGTTTCAGCTTTCAATTTCTAAATAGCAAGATGTTTCACAATTGATGCATTTGTATGGTGTCAGAAGTAAACACTGCACTTTTTTTTGTATACTAAATGGATTGCAAAACTTTTATACAATTCCACTGATACTCTGAAAAGAGGCATGAAAGAATAATGCTTCATATTCATATGCCAATATAACGATATAATCTTACCAGTAAGTATTTTTCTTGTCCATACACATAGACTGTATTAATTGCATAATAAGATTTGTGCTCTGGACGTATATGCTTCTGTCTCTGAAAGCACAAAAGAATTCCATTATTTTAAAAGCAAATGCTTCTTTCATGAACAAACTAATTTACGCTTCATCAGAAAAGAACAAATCCTAATTTGCCGAACGATAAATCAGGAGTCTCTCAGATGAAAACTGTGTTAAAAAAATTAGTACAATCTCATTTTGTGCGCAATTAACTTGCGCAATTTCAACCTTACGTGGCTGAAAGCCGGCCAGTTGAAATCCCGCAAATCAACTGCATGCAAGGCAAGAGAGTTTAAATGCTCCTTTTGCGTTGCGTTTTCCTGGTGCGGAAAGAGCTTTCAAGCTCTCAGAAGTGCTTGGCGGACTCTGGGATTCTCTCAGAACATATTGCAGGAACTCTGACAAACACACACCGCAGCAGCAGCAGCTCTGCAGTGCTCCTTCTCTGGTCCAGATGGAGCACTCTAGAGAAAATCTGTCGCTTTCTCTCTTGGCCATAATCCAAACCCACAGAATAAGTCCTGTGGAAGTACCCTAGACACTTCTTCTAGCCTTTGAGAAACAGCCTCAATACTGACCAGTTCTCCATCACCTCAGAAAGAGGGAGCAGACAAACAGGGGGCGAATGAAAGAGAAGCAGCAAAAGAAGGGATAGATTGTGAAAAGAGTTATGTTTGCAAGTCAGCAGTTACTGCCTAACCACAATACAGTGGACACTCGCGTTGCGAACGTGATCCGTGTGGGATGCATGTTTGCAACCCGCAGTGACGCGTCTGCGCACGCGCAGGTTGCGATTTAGCGCTTCTGCGCATGCGCGACCGCCAAAACCTGGAAGTAACCCATTTCGGTACTTCCGGGTTTCGGCGGTCCATAACCTGAAAAAACGCAACCTGAAGCGTCTGTAACCTGAGGTACGACTGTACTGTTTTAGTGTCACAGGCTACCACCTGTTAATAAAGAACAGAAGAATTCTTACCATTAGGTTTCTTCCAAGCAATGCCTGGAGGACTCCACTTTTTCCAGAGCCTTTCACCCCAATTAGATTGCACCTGAACACGTTCCTCTGAGTCTGTTTTTTCTGCAGGTCAATCTTTTTATCTCTAGTTACTTTTAAAAGGGGGGGAGAGAGAAGATTTCACACAGATGTACATATTACAGACACAGGAATACTATGCTTTGTAACAATGTGCACAACCATAAAAGAATCAAGAGTTTGGGATCCAGAGAACTTAGCTAACCAGGTGCTCCATGGAAATCTGGAGGATGGGGGAGGTCAAGAACAGTGTGAGAAATGGCACTGGGGGGGTGCAGGAGGGAAATGGCAAAAAAAGTCTCTTCCCCTCCTTCCATTGGATCAGTTTCACTTCTGCAAAGGGACCCAGAAAGCCGTCTGTGGGCAAATGCCGGCTCCCTCGGCCTGAAAGCGAGATGAGCACCGCAACCCCATAGTTGCCTTTGACTGGACTTAACCGTCCAGGGGTCATTTAGCTTTACCTTTACCTATATTGTTACAGAGTTGGCAGCCAACTGGATTATAACCAAATATTTCCTAGGTAACAATCTTAAGAAGAGATTAAATTAAATTCTTCAGAACTTCCCAGCTAACTTCCTGGAGCCTGCTGTCCTTGTGCTTTAAAGTGACAGTGGAAACATTTGTCCAAATACTCTACTGTAAAAGTACAATCGATCATTTATTATATGGACACAGGACCATCAATACCCTAAAGGTACTCTGGATGGGTCTAGCTAGCAACAGGGGAGAAGAATGGATGGTGATCCTCGCATGGGACAGTTGCTTTTTCCTTCTTTGCAGGGGTTGGACTACATGATCCTCAGGGTCCCTCGTCCAACTCTGCAGTTCTATGATTAGTTATTTGATATGCAAAATTCAATACCCAGTCCACTACCTCTTTGCTCACTGCTAACTTTTAACACAGTCACAATGTTGCTGCCATGGTCAAAGCAACAACTGGCAGAAATATCCCTTAAAGGCAAGTGGTCAGCTTAGGCTCTAGACCTGGCAACACTTTGCCCCTCTTGGCTCACTAGCCAACCATCCAACATTTTTTGTGCAGAACTGTCTATTCCATGGATAGGCAAACTAAGGCCCGGGGGCCGGATCCGGCCCAATCGCCTTCTAAATCCGGCCCGCGGACGGTCCAGGAATCAGCATGTTTTTACATGAGTAGAATGTGTGCTTTGATTTAAAATGCACCTCTGGGTTATTTGTGGGGCCTACCTGGTGTTTTTACATGAATAGAATGTGTGCTTTTATTTAAAATGCATCTCTAGGTTATTTGTGGGGTATAGGAATTCATTCATTTCCCCCCAAAAAATATAGTCCGGCCCCCCACAAGGTCTGAGGGACAGTGGACCGGCCCCCTGATGAAAAAGTTTGCTGACCCTGGTTACTCTGTTCCAGCGACCCTTTCCTCTAGCCCCCACTTGACAGAGGGGTTCATGGGTGGTGCTGAACAAAGTCTCCTGAAGAACAAATTGAAAAAACTTTGATGCAGCAATACTGGCACCATTATTTACCCAACACTCCAGAAATGGTAGCTAATGAAGTGGATTTGGTGGGATGGGGAGAAGATGGATGGGACAAAATCATATGTTTTTTGAACTACACATTATTGGACAGGTAGATGCCTCTCCCCTCCGTTTGTGTCATGCATATCACTTCACGGCTTGCCACTCTGCCCTTTGATGTTGCACATCCTCAATTGAAAGGGAAAAGGAAACTAAGCAGTGAAAAAATTGTTTTCTAAAATCCTTCCAAAATACAGCGCAGCATTGTAGGCTGTTACCTGTAATTGCTGATGCCTGCGATTCCTGTTCAGTCAATATTGAATATCCTAAGTAGCCCAAATATTCCAGGCAGCGCTGTACATCCAAATACGTAGTTAGTCTGATGGAGAGAACAAAAAAATTAATTTTCTAAGTTGTCTAAATTCCTCTGAGTCTAGAATTCCAATATAAGGCACTTCAATATTTGTATGTAAAGATGAAGTAAGCCTATACATTTACAAAGACTTGTAAAGAAACCAACGTAATTGAAAAAATTATCTTTTCACATGCATTATCTCAAAAAGGCAAGGAGTTGGCAAAAAACAGGGAATGGAAAGGAAGGACAGAAGGGCATTCATTCTGTCTGCAGAAAGCAAAGCCATTCCATACCACTTCTAGTCACAGTAATTAAGTGTCTCCTGGTCAAGCTGCCGTTACAAGAAGTTTTAGCAAGCAAACTCAGAAGGCATTTTCTGGGAGACTTGCTAGCTTTCAGCTATGGCAGAATCAACTAGCAAAGCTTTTCACGGACTGCAGACTTAGAGCTACAAGCTCCACACACCCTACCAAAAAGCTCCCTACAGATAGAAAAATAACATGTTAGGCTAGACTGAAATCCTACCCCTTTCTTTCAAATGTGCTTGTTGTCAGTGTACAGTGGTACCTTGGTTCTCAAACGCCTTGGTACTCAAACAACTTGGAACCCAAACACTGCAAACCCAGAAGTAAGTGTTTCGGTTTCCGAATATTGTTCGGAAGCCAAACGTGCTCCGTTTTGTGTGTTATGCTGAGGTCTGCCCGTTTTTGCTATTTATTTTGCATTTTTGCGGTTCTTTTTGTTTTGTTTTTGTGACTGTGTTGAACCCAGTTCAGCTACTGATTGATTGATTGCGTGACTGCAGTACATTATTTATTGCTTTCATTTTATGGATCAATGGTCTCCTTGGATAGTAAAATTCGTGTCAAATGGCTGTTTTAGGGGTTGTTTTTAAAAGTCTGGAACGGATTAATCCATTTTGCATTACTATCTATGGGAAAGCGTGCCTTGGTTTTGGAACGCTTTTGTTTTGAAATGGACTTCCGGAACAGATTAAGTTTGAGAACTAAGGTACCACTGTATAGGTTGTTGTTTTTTCAGAAGGTAGGGAGAGCCTTCAGTCACCTGAGATTGTTACCTGCAGCAGGAAACAGGAAAAACATTACTAGCCGCTTCTGATGATTGTACAAATTAGCTATGACCCTTTCAAACCCAGAATGGACTTTGTCAAATCACTTTGTGCCCTTAAAGCTAAACTGGTTGGATCGATTATGAGGAGTCATTCCTTGTCCACCCCTCAAACTCCGGCAGCCCTTTCAAAAAGCAAAATAAATACGGAAGTTTCACAGTTTAAGTGTCACACTTACGTCCACTGAGAGAGAAATCCCTGATACGTTATCCACCCCCTTTCGTTTGTACAAACGGTGCTGTTGACATCTGGTCCCCACGGCATATAAGGGAAGATTTTGAACAAATCCTTGAGTTCATCAGGAGACAAAGCACAATCTCGGTCCTGAAAACAGAATTAGGAAACACTGGTGCTTTTTATTTATTCATTATTTACAAAGATGTGTTCTGTTTAAGAAACAAATATGGGCTTGCAAGCAATGTATAGAAGAACAGAAGTGAATGGTAATCACGAAAAGCAGAAAATAATTAACTAAGCCAGTCGAATAACTCCCCATAATGCCCTTGCTTTTCCATAATTCTTTAAGCCTCGCCTCTATTGGCTTAGATCATGAACCTCCTGGACAGGGAAACACCTGTTATGTAACACAGTCACTTGACCTGTGAGCCCTTGAAATAAACACTTTTGATTTATTGCCTAGGGTAAAGGAGATTTCTATGGGTCTCAGAGTGTTCTCCCCACTGCCCACCCACCCAGTACTTTCAACAGTAGAGACATTGCTAGAAGGATGCAATGAATATTCCTTACAAAAACAGCCCAAGTCAGATTAAAAGCTTACCAAATCATGCTTATCAAAAATGCTTTGGAGGAACAAATAGGCATGGTGATTCAACTCTGTTGTGCAGTCCGGAGGTATTTTTAATCTGGTTAGAGAGCAAGAAACATTTTTATTATTCTTACAAAAGTGTCTGTGAGATGTCCACAAGCAGACAGGGCACGAGGGAAACAATATGAATGTAATTCTATCCAACATATGCATACACACATAAGATATTTAAGTATGAAGATGTTGCATTGGATTAAGGAACCTACCTTTCAAATGTATAACAAATATTTGCATTTAGACTTTTTTAAAAAACAAAAACCCTACTGATACCTACAAAGGAAATAAATACTCTGGTGTCAGCTCGAGGTCATCATCATATCCAAAACGTCGCAATACTGTCCAGGTTGTTTCATGTCTCCCTCGCTGAATAAATAGTGTGTGTAGAAAAAGAAAACCTGGAAAAAAGAACGTTCTTAAATTACTAATCTTGGCCACATAGCAATGACAGGTGTTGGGATTTTTAGATGTTAACAGAGGGTGAGCAAACTCACTCACTTGAGAGTGAGCAAATAATCTTCAGATTAAAATCTCCTACCCCCCAAAAAATGTTACCCAAGAATCTCCTGTAAAAACTGTTGCGTTAAGCTTGCAGTTTTCCAAGTCGCAGCTGTAGTGACAGCACACTGAAAACTGCTTCCACCTCCAAGAAAATAGTAATTGCGATTCTTCCAGCTCACCTCTTGGTGGCAGGTAATATAGTGAATTTGGGAGGGGTCTTAAATTAAAGAAAGTGCTCTATGTACTTTTTCCTTGCATGTTTATCTCAACCTTGAAAATATCCAGAAAGGCAGAGAAATGCACAGATGGAGCTAATTTAAGACGCTGCCATTTTGGAGTGACAGGTTCTGTGGACAAGCCCATTATCTACAATTCAATATATCCATAACATAATGGGTACTACACTTCGGTGCATTAACACTTAAAAACATGCAGTTGTGTGTGGCTTCAAAAATAGCAAGAGGTTAAGTAATGCATTCTTGTCGTTATCTTTGTGTCATCTTCATATTTCAAGGAAGAAACATGTAGTATTTACCCTTTAATGTTAATCCATTATCTGCAACTCCATCGCTTAGATTTTTCCGGACTACATTCTTTACGTCTTCCAGTGCTTGAGGTGCCAACGGTGTATTAAAACAAATTCGCTAAAAAGAAGAAGGAGGAATATTAGAACTATTTCAAACCAAGGCTTGGTAATATACATTCAGTGGCCTGGAACATTTCACTACAGCCCATGATCTCATGTTAGAATCCCAACTTTCATACCAACAAGCAAGCTACCAGATCCTGCAGTAGAAGAAGGTGTTTGAATGCATAGTGCCAACAATGGCTACAGGCTCAGAAACAAGATCACAGTTTCTAAGCCATTCTTGTAGTTAAGCAGTGGCTTGGGGCAAATAAAATTTCATTCGATGACCACGTGAACTATCTATCTATATATTTATAATTTAATTACCGCCCTATATCCGCGGGTCTCAGAGCAATTCACAAGATAAAATAGCTTATTGGGTTGGATCCAAACTCCATTCCTAAAGGCAGTTCTGTTCAAGGGATGCCCCTGCTGGCAAAGAGGGAAAAGACTTGCCAGTTCACCATCCCACCAGCACGGCCTCCCACACAGTTCCAAGGGGGTCACCCCAATCCTCCAGGGTGGTGTGGGTGGGGTTGCAGGGTTAGAGAGGATCAGTAAAAAAAAAAATCTCTTCTCCCTTCCCCTGCTGCTGGCATTCCTCGGATACATCATAAACCCGTCAAAGACTGAAGATGCCGTTCTGTCTATGGAAGGTAGTTTGAATCCAAGGTAATGTGCATGAGCTCAGAGTTCTGCATGTGAACGGATTCTGCCCCACGGCGTCAATCTGTCTCTGTCTCCCAGCAGAAAGCACTCAAATTAGGCACACCCAGAGCCCTGTTATTTTCTCCCTGCCCCTCCATAGGAGGGAGGAAGCATGAACATACACAATACTAAGGGCAGGCAAAGTTTGTAATTTTCATGCAGAGGCAACAGAAGCAAAGTCAGAGTGTGCAGCTCTGTTTCCGGAGACACAGAAATCCTGGGGCGCTGAATGGCTGTCCCCATTTTTCTAGCTTATTATTATTATTATTATTAATATTAATACCCCACCCATCTGGCTGGGTTTCCCCAGCCACTCTGAGTGGCTCCCAATAGAATATTAAAAACACAATAAAACATCAACATGATAAAACATATTTGAAGGTGGGGTACAGTATCTGAGTTGGGGGAAGGCTATAAGTTTGATAGCAGTAGTACTGGGAAAGGGGGTGATTAACGTTTTCCAGATGGACCATTTTTATGGTCTTACAGTCGTTTTCTTCCAGAGGTAGAAAGAAGAGATCCCATAGGTGGGAAAGCAGATGGAGAGAAATCTTCCTTTGATGCTACTTTTTGTTTTTGCCGGATAGGCTCCTGCCCAATCACAGGTATACAAAACCCCTAGATTCTGCATTTCCTCCTTTCCTTCATATGGGCAGTGGGGGAAACAAAAACGACGCCGAAAGAACCCGAAAGCTCCCATTCCAGACACCTGAGGTGCGACTCTACATTTTCCACATCTACAGTGGTACCTCAGATTACATACGCTTCAGGTTACAGACTCCGCTAACCCAGAAATAGTACCTCGGGTTAAGAACTTTGCTTCAGGATGAGAACAGAAATCATGCTCTGGCTGTGCGGCAGCAGCGGGAGGCCCCATTAGCTAAAGTGGTGCTTCAGGTTAAGAACAGTTTCAGGTTAAGTACGGACCTCCGGAACGAATTAAGTACTTAACCTGAGGTACCACTGTACTGCTTTTCTCCTGATCTGGCTGCTGCTAAACAATCCCCTCACACAGGCTGAAATTTCTGCTGAAAAAGCAGTCTTAGGAGATGGAAGAGTGACACCTCTCCTCGCTATCATATCGTCCCCGTCCCCCCCGCGCGCTCTCTCTCTCTCTCTCTCTCTTTCTCCCTGCCAGAAGAGAAAGACAGCAGACAGGATCCCAAGTGCTGCAAGCTTTTCCTCTCTCCTGCCCTCCCGCAGACCTGCTCTGCCTCCTGGCAAAAGCCTTCCCGTAAGGCTGGGGGACCGTGAAGCATAAAGGACTGGATCCAGACAAGAAGCATTCTGCCACCTGTGAGCAGGAATGTTTTCCACTTTGGGGTGGAAAGGAATGCATTAAAATTACACCACTGGATCTGGCTGGCTGGTTTGCTTTCCTTAGGACGGAGGTAATAGCAACAGATAAAACGCAGCAGGCGACAGGAGGAGAAGAGAGGTACCTGAAAGAAGTTGAGTTCTGCATCATTAAGGGTGCCATCGTTATCCTGATCGGAAATCCTGAAGATCCGAGTTAGTGCTTTTATACAGGCAGGCTTCATCTACAGATCAAGAAAAAAAGCAAGAAGTGGGGTTTCTTTTTAATTCTGGCAGGCCTGCCATTTTTTTTTTTATTCAATAGGAAAACCCTAAACCCTGTTTTTTGTTTTTTTTTTAAATGGAACAGAATTCTAACAAAACTCTGCACACCCTGTTTCTTTTCTGTTTGTGTATGCTAGGAAAAGGAAAGGAGGGGAGCTGGGACAGAGAGCAGTGCAAGAGACAGGAAGTATTCCCCCCCCCCAAGACTTTATTTTAAACCCAAACATTTGATCTCTTAATGCAGACTTGTAAAGTGGTGGAACTGCCATTCTGTTTTGCTGTGGGTCTTTTGCAGCACATCTTTAGGATGGGGAAAGCTACTAATTAATCTTCAGGATTGGGCAAATAAATATAAATATTTGAGCATTTTCTCTCTCTGTGTGTAAATGAACCTTTTGCCTGTAACAAGCTTGGACTGAGAAACATGCTGAAGAACTGGAGGACTGATCATTATCCAACCCTTTCGTCCAAGTTCTTCATCAACTCAAGAACAAAGATCAGCAGGAGCTTTCATGGTGGCAGTGTTAAGCCTTGTTAGGATTAACACAGATAAGCTTTATAATTAAAGAGTTTAATTCCAAAAGGGGCTTAAGTCAATTTTGACTAACATTCCATTTGGAAGAAAATTATTTCTGACTAGGGCCTTTTTGAATGCAAACACAATTTTCAAGGCTTGCTAACGCAGTGACTTAGGCCCAAAAATTATACAAGTGCCCCCACCCCCGTATTGGTAGGACTCACAGCAATATCTACAGGCCAAAATTGAATTTTTTTGTCAAAACTGACTTAAGCCCCATTTGGAATTACAATCTTCCATTTTAAACTTATTTCTACGTTTGTATTCTGCCCTTAGATTTGTGAAATACTGGTGCACCTGAATATTGAGAATGATAGCTGTTGAATGTCTTAGTCAGGGATTCGGATATCCTAAAAATAACACCCAGAAGATATGGATATTTGTAGTCACTGCTGTTGTAATATTACCATCTATTACTGTCATTTCATCAGACCTAGTTCTTCAGAAAACCAAGAAGCCAGACAAGCTATCAAGGGAGAGAAGGCATTTAAGGACAGTTGTGTTGGTCACCTAGACAGACTTTCCTTCATCTCAGCAATCAAATACGATTTCAAATGGGACTGGCCCCAGCATGTAACTCTCCAAGAGCCATCAGGAAACCAGCTGGATCCATCAGTCTCTGAGGGCAGGCTGTTCTAGTCAATCTACCACAGGCTGAGTGCCTGTCTAAAACCCTACGAAGTTGTGGCTCTGTCCTCCACCTTCAGATCACCTTCATCCTGCCCAAAACACACACACACACACACACACACACACACACACACACGAGCAAGCACGACCTACCATGACATGGAGGAGTAGGATTCGGGCCTAAAAATGGTTGCTGAAACCTCCCAGAACTATCAATCTGGGGCACCCTTGCGTTCAAGAGGGGAGTGTGTTGGGCAGAAATATGGGCAGTAGAACAAAATCTCTAAAACTGGGAGGGTAGCTGTCACAGCCACCTAGATCTCCCTTGGATTGGGAGAACAACCAGAAGCCCCAAGATATTTAATGTTTCTTCTCTTATGATGCCCTGTCCAATTCCCACTGCTGTATCTCCTCTGACAATTTTTCCTGGAATACCTCGACCCAGGCTACCCCAATATCAAATTCACACTAAACGAGTATCAGCCTCAAAACAAAAGCAGAGGATAGCAAAGATTTGGGAACTCCACCAGGTGCCTCTTTTAGCTTTACAAGACTGAGAAATACCAAAGCGCTCTTTTTGGAGACAGAAAGGACTGTGTTGGTGCACAAACTTTAGGGTATATTACCCGCAATGCTGATTTTATAACACAAAAGCAGCAAAATACCTCTTTTTCCTCTGGACAATAGAGGGGTCCTGTAGGATGCAGAACAGCTTTCTGTGCATAATAAAATAGTTCGGATATGTTCTTCAAGTTCTTGGCTGAGCACTAGAGGGGAAAAAATGAAATTATGAGTCTTGTCAGCTTAATACAGAAGCAGGGGGAAAATCCTAGCACATATGCACCAGGCTGTTTTCTTTGCCCAAGCAATGAATATTCTACATTTTATTGACTCAGGTCCTGATGGGATTATTTTTTACATTGAATGGTTTTAACTGCTGTTTTACCTTGTGTGTTCTAATGCTGCTTTCATGCTGTTAAAGTTAGTTGACTGATCTACACCATTTTATTTACTGATGCCTTAACCAGCTGTTATGGTTTTACTGTCAGCTTAAAATGTTAGTTTACATTGAAAAGTGGGTTATAAATACTTGAAATCAATAATGGACTCTGTAAGAATACAAAGCAGCCTTAATTCTACGCAACATTATTTTAATGCCAATATCATCCCCAAAGCAGCTCACATCAATTAAAAAAAACTGAGATGAAGGCCCAGAGGTGGTGATGGCTCTGGTTTTTTGAAATGATCCTCAAAATCTCCTGGCCCTTTGTCCCGTTTGGAAACAATTTTTTTTGAGGGGGTGGTGGAATCCAAGGTGGCACAAGCAGATTTCTGCTTGGTCAACCCACTGGAGCAAATTTTGGAGGTGGGCAGCTGAGAGAAGTTGTGTACAGGCCTGCCTAGGTACCATTCAAGAGAACCCTTTAATTCTGCTTTTAAGCCTCCTGGGTGCACTGCAAAGCTCAGTGCTGGTGAGGCCCCCAGTCACGAAACAGTCTTAATTTCCCAGAGCGATTGATGGAAATAAACTAAGATGTGCTAAACGTCATGTAAATGTTCTGTCATGCACAGGCCCTTCTATCGCGGCTTACAGAAAAAAGTGACAGGACACCCAGGGAAAGGGGAGTGGTGTGGGGAAAAGGAAGATAAGGCTCCACTTTGGCATTGTCAAATGCGAGTATAGCCCTGAGCTATACTGGGAGGACAACAATAGCAGCGGAAGAATTTCAAGGGCGTTGCAAGAGGCCAAGAGAAACAGAAGTGGGACATATTAGACTGACACACACAGGTTGAAAAGAAAGAGTTAGAGCTCCTCACTTGAAATCCTATCAAAAGTTAAATAATGCAACAACACAAATAGAAATCATAAAGCATGCAGCTGTTATCTAAGTGATTATTATAACAATTGGAAAGTAACTAGAAGTTAACAAGAAGATGAATCGCAGAAATATAAGTATTTGATGAGAGCACTGGCTATGGAGCGTGGGAAACCACTTTAATATGTATTAAAGTGAACAAATCTTATTAAAGTTAACAATGTAACCATTAAGCCACTATGAATGCCAAGAAAAAGCTTTTGATTACCTCTACGCAAGTTTCTATCTCTGTATATTGGTTCATAATGGGAAGGATCGTCTCCATACTACTGTATTCAACCAGATCTGATTTGTTCCCAACTAGTATAAGAGGCAGCCTGAAAATAAGTTGAGAAAAGTTTTCGCAATCAAATATAATACCAGTTATTTGGCACCTTATAATACTATCATCATTATGACTGTCCACTGAACTATTATATAACCAGTTTTGTGTTTTAATTTGGTAAAAAGGAAACAAGTCTGAGTAAAACTGGGTCTTCTTCCAGAGCAAGCATTTGCAAAATTGAAGATTCTGATTTCACTTGGAAAAATATTTATGACTCGCAAACCAATTCGCCAATGAAAATTACAATGCCTGCTAAACCTAAGTCATAAAAGACTTCACTTTGAAGTTCTTTACAGCAGGTGGCCTCAAAGCCAAGAGCTCCGGCGTGTGTATCCAAAAATGAATTAAGTGCACAATAATTAAAAACAAGGCAGCCTTGAAATTTCAAGTAACCTCTGTACAAATTCATGTACTATACATTCACTAAAGTACCCAGTGTACTAAGCATATTCACAAAGTCTCCCCATACAATGTACAAGCTAATTGGAAAAAGTCATTTTTAAAACTTTAGGAAACTTAAAAACAGCTTCCTGAAGTGTTTGCCTAAGATATGACCTGATTTAAGCCAAGCAAAGAAAAAATGTTTAGAAGGTAATTTGAATTTATCATCAACCTTCTTCTGAAACACAATTGCAATTTCAGCTTCCAACACTATTCTTCAGATAGCTTAACAGTTTAACTATTTGGGTTTAAAGAAATAAAGTGTTTTGTGAAGCGTCTACCACCCTTAGATAAATAACTGTCAGAACGCTGCAGCTCGCCAGAGAATATAAATGTTACGTTCATAACAACAATCACCCAAACAATAAAAGACAAATACAGTATAAACTTCACATAAAGTAGATCATGAGTGTTTAAGCAGTAAGTATTCAGGCCTCATTTCATACTGACGCTTTTTGCTTAAGCAAAACTTATAAAACAATCTCAGATTTGCATTTGATCTATTTACATTGTTTTAAACTTATGTACCTGCTGTCTTTGTCTGTTCTTTCATTAATGAGAGGAATCCATCGACTTGTTACCTAAATCAACAAATTAGTGTTAATTAATAATATTAGACTGGGCCGTTATTTACATTCAACCTGAAACTAATTGCTTTACCACATGCTTTCTGGATTCAATGAGTATTGGAACCCCTTAAAAAGAGTGGCAGACAAATTCCTCCCAAGAATTGGAATAAAATTTGGGAATCCTGACCCTAAAGAACCGTTTCCAGTTTTTAAATGGAAAATGCTTTAAAAGTATTATACAGATGGTATCACACTGCTCTGCAAATGTCAAAAATGTTTTCTTCTATATCGCCCAATTGCTGGAGGGGTTGCAATAAATTTGGTACGTATTATCGTTTATGGTGGGAATGCCAGCTGGTGCAAGATTTTTGGAATTTAATTTTGACAGAAATGATAAATACTACTAAAGAAGCTATTGTTTGTTTTCCAAAATTAATACTACGGAAACACCGGCAGAATGAAAAAGCAAATCAAACAGCATACCCCACAACCAGGAACTCAAAGAAGCACAGAAACATAGTCACTCTCCACCCAGAGAAACTTGTGTTTCAGTGCATTTCATCTTTATTTCAGTGCTTTGGAAGTTGGGACTCCTTCCCTTCTAACACAGAATGTTCGTGCAGTCAGGTTACAAAAATACAAATGCTAGCTTTTTCTATCTCCCACACCCTTCCTTAAATGTAAGCAGGACAGCTGTATTCCAGGAGGCCAATGCACCAAGGCAGATGTAATGTACTTTGCAAGACTGAAAATGCTGTATTTGGGGCGGAAGGGAGGGGGATATTTGGCATATGCAGATAAACCACATCTTGACATTCAAAGCTTTTCCAAATGAGAATCTGGATGCCTTAAATATAAACTTGCACATTCAAGGGGTCAGCTACGTCATGGACACCAGCTAGAGAACAAAACAAAAATGCTTTCCTCATACCTTTTCAATTGAGTTCTTGTTGTTAACTGCATATACTATGCAGATTACATTCGCCTGGAAGAGAGAAGAAATAGCCAGATGAGGACGGTAAGGTTTTCCGAGATTTTAGCGCCTAGAAGAACAAATCTTAGCATACATTACGGGTGGAAATGGTAAAAGCTGTGTAACTGTAAGTAGAGGTTTACTTATGAATATGATTCAGTCGACAACTAAAATCAAGATGACACAAATAGACAATATGCATTTATCTGCATATTGGGCTGTAATGAACGTTGTGAGAGTTGAAGACCAGTTTGCAAAACCAATCTTTCCTTTCCTGTCCAGTCCCCTGCAATGCCTTGTATCCCCAGAAAATCTTAAGAGAAAGCCAGAGGTAGGGAATCACCCAAGATCAGGTGCAGGAATCTTGCATTCTGTTGCAGCAAGATTATTCTGCCTAAATTAGGCCAGAAACACCATTAATTGCATTTATCTTTTGTTTATGGATCTCGAGCATGGGCTTCCTTCAACACTTAAGTCAGCACACACAAAAAGCTGATGGGAAGGACTTTTTCTTCCAAAGGGTTTTGCAAAGATTTATCCAAAAGATGTTCTATAAAGGAGGAGGAAAATATGTTTTCCACACCAGCATCTGGGTTAGCTGTGCCTAAGAGAAAAGGCTTGCTTCTTATGCCTATTGGTTTGGATCCCACAGAACAATAGCTCAAGCAGAAGGCAGTTGTACTTGTGCATGGGAAAGCCCTAATTGGTGTGTCATGGAATCGCAGAGCTGGAAGGGACCACGAGGGTCATCTAGTCCAACCCCCTGCAATACAGGAAATCTTTGGCCCGACGTGGTGCTCAAACCCACAACCCTGAGATTAAGAGTCTCATGCTCTACCTACTGAGCTATTTTATCATCATATCCTATGCCACATGGGGTGTGTCCCAAACCTTGGGAGCAATGGTGTGTGCAGGCAGTGAGAAAATTCTGCTCACAGCTCGTTGGATCCAAGCCAATATGTTCATGCGGTTAAAAAATGGAAAACGCCAAAGATTACTTCTTGCATGGTTCTGGCTTTTAGGCTGGAAAAGCATTTTTTTTTTAAATAAAAGATAGAGCTTTGAGGACTTGACTTCATCCAACAGCTGGCCTCAATCAAGGCATTTCAGTTTTCAGCCTAGACATAGCCAACATGGTGTTCTCCAGATATTGCTGGAATATAACTCCAGCCAGCCCCAGCTTGTATGGCCAATGTTGTTGGCCATCTCGAAGGCCCCACGTTGGTTACCAATGATCTAACCCAATGGCAGGAGATAGTGAAGGAGGGAATTTTACAGTCTGAGCAAGGTAACCAGATCATTCTCTGCAGAAATCAACTTGTGCAATCTTATGAACATTACACCACACATATGCAAAAAATAAAATAAAGATCAGTCGCCTGTTATTTTACAGGCTGCACCGATTCTCCACACCTATGCTCCGAGACCTATGCCACTGAATGACTCCAGAGTAAATTAAAGCCAGTCTAGCCTTTCTTAGGTGGAAATAATTTCACTCTGACACTGTTTTACAAGGCAAATATAAAACAAAGCATTTTGGCGCAAAAGGCACATTTGACTCACTTGCGATATTTCATTATGGAGCTGTTCGTCACTTTGTTCAGATTCTGTGCAAAACAAGAGAAGTTTTGTTATTGTTCGTTTGTTCTGTGATGGTGATGATTCAATCAATGAGGTTTATGAAAACTGCTAATTAAGTGGAGAAGCATTTGCCAACCGGAATCAAGTTTTCAGCTAAAAATGCATTCTGTCTAAAGCTGACACATTCACCTTTCTTAAAAAGTTTTATATCACCTCCAGCAGATACCATCATCTCCTCAGGCCTTCTTTAATCAAAGACCAGGTTTCTTACATTTTTTTTTCTTTAGTAGTCTTCACAATGTTTGTGGCTACATTATGCAAGAGGATTTTTTCAGAAAGCAACAGCAATTTTACTACTGTTTTCCAACACAGCCATGAACATATGTGAATGTATGACAGTTTTACTATTTAAAATGTGCATGTTTTATCTCACAGCTTCATTGCACTGGTAAAATAAAGACTTGGGTGCACTCTTCCTGTGTGGTTTTGTCCAAAAACGTGGAAATATCCTTGGCTACATGCTCTTTAGCCTTCAGCTCCCAAGGGAAATCACATGGAAGTGGAAAATAATTTAGATGAGAATGAAAAGTATATACTGTCATTAGGAAAGAATGTCACAGAGAAAAGAATTCTTGCAGCACAGTCTCTCCAAAGCAGTTTCTAAGATGTCTTTTCCTGAATACCATCTTAAGAGCAATGCTGATACAGATGAAGTGTACAGTGGAACCTCGGGTCGCGGACATAATCTGAGACGGAGGCACGTCCGCAACCCGCAGCGTTCGCATCCTGAAGCGCCGCGTCTGCACCAGTGCGATTTGGGGCTTCTGCGCATGCACAAAGCACGATTTAGCGCTTCTGCGCATGCGGTGAAACCTGGAAAAACCCGTTCCGGTACTTCCAGATTTCCCGTGGTCCGCAACCCGAAAACACGTAACCTGAAGCGTTCGTAACACGAGGTTTGACCGTATAGGAAAGACAACCGAAAACTTTACAAGTTCAAGAAAACTGTCAGGCAAAAGCTCTGTTTTGCATGGTTAACTGGAACAAGTTTGGGAACTGGGATTTGCAAAGCCATAGCTTTAAGGCATCTCAGTTAGTCCTACATAATCCTGGCTAGGCTGTAAGCCTCACACTGGCCCCCCAAGTATTGCTGTGGGTGGTGACACAGAAACTTGTGATTATCTATAGCAGGGCTATACCTTTAAAACTAGCTAACCGGGGGGCCACCAGGTGGCGCACTGGAAGATGGCCGACAATAACATCTCTCCGACCCATACGAGGTAATTAAGAGGCTGCTATGGGAAGTATGCAGTCTTCCTACCCCCCCAAGGAGATGGGGGGGCTGCCTTGCCAGCGGTGTCCACAACGCACCCCCGGATTCGAGAGAAGGGGGTGCCGGTCACTTGGCTGAGCCCTCGATGAGGCCGGCTCTTCCTGACGCCGATTACAATCAGCGTGTGCTGGTTCGCTTTAGCTCGGAATTATAATTGGAAACATACGATTGGAATGAAGCTAAAGCACATACATCAAGCAACGTTCGGGAGATAAGTCTGCTGATTAATGGATCTCTGTGACTGGAGTGATGGACTAACCACAAGCAGGAATTCAAGAACTGTGTGGAGTGGATTATAGTTAAAGAGATGATTGGTAAACAACGAGAACGGAGGAAAATTTTATGACGCAGCATAAAATGGCGTCTCGCTAAGACAGGCTTGCCTGAGAAAGAAAGACAGGGGGAGGAGAATCAGGACCATTGGAATGAGAATGTTGGTTGGAATGTGATCTTATCCTGACAGAGCCCTCCTGATATACTTGGTAAGCCTGAGAAAATTAAAGGACAGACCGAAGATAAATTTTTTATGGAAGCGTGGAATGGCGGCTGTCCCTGAGCGATATGATCTTTGGAGAGTACAAAACCCACACAGAGGATGCCTGTCTCTAATCTGCTTGTGAAGATTATCAGAGATCGCAAAGAAAGGAATATATGATAATAACAACAAGAAGATGAAGAAAGTAATAAAGGACTATCTGGATTGAACTGGATAGAACTGTTTAATTAAAGCAGCAATATAAGTGATGTTTGGACTCGTTCGGAGCTTGATGTATGGGTACCCCCAATAAAATTTAAAATTTGGCTGTATAATTTGGAACTAATGTGATTTGGATAATGTGATGTGATTGGCCTGTTAATAAAAAATATTTTTTTAAAAAAAAACTAAAAAACTAGCTAACCACTATGCTTGAAAACACTTTCGCATGTAGCCAGATAATGAATTTTAGCTATAGCCAAAAAGTTATTCCATTCCATTTACATATATACAGCTGGCCCTCCTTGACAACAAGGGAGAGCGTAAAGCTAGTCCTTGATTCACAGGATGGTACTCTGTATGTGCACGTCAACTTTCATTCTGATGGATGATGCTGCTTTGAATTTTGCATCATCTTTCATTCTTATCCTTAACTATTCAAATAGTTACCGGAGTACAAATGATCCTACAAATGGAATGCCAAAACAGTTAAGCTAAACGCAAGGGCTTGCTTCACTCAGACAAAAAGCAAGGGTGGAAATCCTGCTAAGATGGCTGAGAGCTGAACTGCTCCAGATTTTTTCCATAAATTCTCTCACTTCAAACACTCCCGTGATGAGACGATATAGTTGTCAGAGCACTGCTAGAATGGAAACACTGTGCGGTATCCAAAGAACATGTTCCTCTTGGGCAATGTAACTTTTATCTCCTGCATCCACCTATATCTGTTCCCAGGGTTCTTCCAAACCTCAAGAGCAGATTTGAGGAGGGCGTGCCGGGCTGTTGCGCTAGTGAAAATCCTTGCGCTGATGCAACGAGTTAGTTGGATACCACCCACTTCTCTCAATAAAGCACAAGGGTTTACAGTGCATGTACAAATAGGAAGCATTGCTATTCAACCAATTAAAAACACACACTTGCTTTACTCCAAGTATTTGGCAGAAGCTAATGTAGTTCTGCACCTAGCCAGATGTACATTAAATCCATCTTAAATACCAGGTGCCTTGGTAGCTGCAGGCAGGCAGAGAAGCAGCCAGGCACTCTATACCTGGAAGATACTCTAAGAGTTGCCAGGAGCCTTCTCAGCAATCTTCCTGTCCAAGATCTTCCATCTCAACTACCGCATGACTACAGGCAGCTTCCAAAGAGCACAGACCATATTTCAGGGTAGCTAAGTGACTACTTCCATTTATGTAACAACAACAACAATTTTTGAACTGTCTTCCAAACACATTTCAAAGAGATTTATAAAAACAGCTAAGAGAGTTTTAAAACCAGTAAAAAAACACAACTAAAGATGGGTTTAATAACAATACAAAATGTACACCTAAGTCAGGTATCTTTTCATACATCTGAATAAAGGCCTTTTAGCCCCTGGCTAAAAAATTGAGCATTTTCCATCTGTTGGGTTATATGGGTGTTAATAAGGAAAAAAGTGATGTTTGTGGGGATCATGGGAGTGTTTGGGATATTAGTTTATCAGTGGAAGCATGAACTATAGAGGCAGGGAGCCTGTGTCCTCTTTTATGTGTTGATAGGCAGAGGAAGTTTCTTGGTTCTTTAGTTCTCTGTCTTGTGAATGTACTTTTCACCATCTTCCTTTATAGTGTCAGTCAATTATATTGTGATCTCTCTCTCTCCCACCACCTTTTCGTTTTATAAATCTGTCAAATCATCAGATCCATTACCTGAATAATCCACTATATGGGTTGGCACTCTCTCTGGGGTAACATCAGCTGGAATGGTGATTTCTTCTGCTCGTGGAGGAACCTGCATTTGTGAAAAAGAAGCATTCTTGAAACTAGCCCAAATGCCAAAGAAAACTTGATAAATACAATCAGAAACCTTTGAAGCAAACGGAAATTTAGCTAACATATTTCAGATCCTTAACACTTGCATGGTTTTATGGCCTCCATCAAGGAAATTGCAAGCCCTTGCATATTTTGCCAAAGCCAAGTTTTGAAATTGAACACTTTGTAATAAATAGTCCAATATATTTTAAATTAATTTCATGGTTTCTATACATAAACTTCAGCTATGAATCAGTTTGAAGTATTTTTGCTATGTATCTCCCTGATCAATGAATGAACATCACATTAAACAGGATTGAGCTATGAAATCCCACTAAATATTTAGCATATTGGCTGATGTCCTCAATAGTCTGGAATGAGCAACAGGATGGATCACAATAATGCTATTCTCAGACTAGTCAGTGACTTTGCCAAGTCTTTCACCATCTCTGTAAATTACCATGTAATTTATTATTTACAGAATTTATATACTGCCCTTCTTTTGAAGAAATCTCAGGGTGCTGTACAAGAAAATATCAGAACAAAAACACATTAAAACAACAAAGTAGGATACTTTTTTTTAAAAAAAACAACAAATCACATCAGCAACCCCCATCCATGATAGCAAAAACCAGTCAATAAAAATCATCACTAAAAGCTGGGTAGTGAAAGTTCAGCAAATGCTTGGGTGAACTGGCGCTCATTCAACCCAGCATGCTGACAGATTTTATCCTAATGGGAATTATACTAGTATCACCGTGCAGGCTGGTGAATGAAATCGATTGCCAAAGCCAGCAGACAAACAATCAACTTGAAATGCATAAAACAGTAGCAGTGCACCCTAATGGCATAAAGTCCTTTGCATTTTATTTTGCTTTGTGTTTGCAAACATCCTTCCGACAGCTACTGATCTTTATTAAAACATATTTTAATACCTATGTTAGAGTTTTAGGTGTTTGCAGAGGAGAGAGAAGAAAAGCAGAGTTGGGTCTGGGTATCTGACTGACTAACAGAGCTTGTGGAAGCTGACATTTTTGCCCCATCCTCAGCGCTTCTCAAACAACCTTCCCCTTGTGACTGGGAAGGGCTGCGGCACAGGGGGAGATGGCAAAAAAAGGAGGCAGAGGCTGTTCACATCATCATCCGTGAGTGGAGCTGAAAGTGTCTCTGCCTCGTTTTCTGCAACCTGCCCCTTACCTGTTCAGTCTTCCATGCCAACTCCCCCCTCATCAACAAAGTTCATCTGCCACTTGGGGGAAATGTCAGCTTCTGCCACAACTGTGTTGTGTGGCCAGATCTCCAGTTTCAATCCTTCAGATTCCATAAAAACAATAACTGCATAATGCATTGTTTGATTTTATGATTTTTCTACTTCTTTTATGGGACTTAAAAAAACCAACACTTTTCCTAATGGAATTATCATGCAAACTGTTTATGAAACTGCAAAATGCCCGGAGGATGCTGTTGCTCGGGAAATACAGAGATACCTAAAATAAACACATCTTACCTCTTCGGGAAATTCTTCACTGACAAGAGACATAATAAGTGACGTCTTCCCAACTCTGGCTGTGAAATTTGAACACACACAAATTAGCAGAGGATTTCCATAACCACACATCTTATTTTGGCAGAAGGCCAGAGTGACATGAAGTGTTATTTGAACTGACCAGCAACATATCTGTAGTGTAGACATGCCCTGCTTGAAGAAAAGATGCTTCTTCTTTTTAGGTGACAGATACAAAAATAAAATGAACAAGGGGCATGGATGATTTCTAGGTGCCTTAGCACAATTCACATAAACAGAGCATCACATGGGAAAGAAAGAAACATTCCTGCTTGAGTATAAAGCAAACACTACTCTGTCAAGAACAAAACCCTCGCATTCCCTGAGTTCTGAGTTTAATTTAACAATTGACAAATTAGAGTTTGTCTTACTGAGTGACTATTTTGAAGTCTACTTGGCTTCAGGGATAGTGACCAGCCCTGTCTTCAGGTTTGCAGAAGTTAAATTTTGCCTGCTTCAACACTAGAGAATGGAGTAAATGGCTTTTCAACGAAGGGCAAATTATTATATTTTGGTGCAAAGTTAAACTTTAACAATAAGCAGTACCAAATCTGAACAAATCCTGTGAGAAATACACCAGGGTAAGCATGCAGAATTTTGACTCTTTTTAGAACGTGACAGTAAGGCAGATACTTGGAAAGCCCTTGAGATGTCACAATGCACATTTCAAGGCAAAGACTTCCACACAACCAGGACAGGATGAGTCCCAGTTTCTGGATGTCTAACAGGGCTGTGAACAAAACTGGTTCTGTAGCATTTTGCACAAGCAGAGAAAGGGCAAAATGTGGCTTGGGTGCAGAATTCAGCTTTCTCAGCATCTCAATCTTCATTTGATGAAATGGCGGAGTGGGGGGGGGGGGAGACAACTTGTATTTTAGTCTTTGAGTTTCCAAGATAAGCTTGAAAGTATGTGGATACCACCTGACGAAGTCTCAGAAGGCAAAGGGGTTCTAAAATACGCTTTCCAGTGGTGGGGCTTCAATGCCCTGGATAGCTCATTCTTTCTCCAGCTAAAAGCAGAGGTATTATTTGAAAATTAAAAATTAAGAACCATGCTAACCAAGGCATTGTGCAGCTTGCATAATTTGCACAATCCAAACAAGTAACAGAATTCAGATTTCTTGGTGTATTACAGGCATACCTCATGTTGCGTTAGGTTCATGCTGCTTCTTTTCGGCTTGCGAGCGTGGCAAACCCGGAAGTCTATACTTCCGGGTTTCGCCGCATGTGCAGAAGCGTTCTGTGCGCTTCGCGCATGCACAGAAGCACCGCTCTAGTTGCGGACTTTTCGGGGTGTGAACGGCACCCCGGAACGGATCGTGTTGGCAACTAGAGGTACCACTGTATTATTAGTTTTTGTTCTAAGTGTAGGAAACACAGTGATAGTTAGAAGGCACAGACAACTCCATGGCCCATTTGACCTTTATATGATTTCTATAAAGGTACCCCTGCCCAAAGGCCAGTCGTGTCCGACTCTAGGGTTGTGCGCCCATCTCACTTAAGAGGCCGGGGGCCAGTGCTGTCCACAGACACTTCCGGGTCACGTGGCCAGCGTGACAAGCTGCATCTGGCGAGCCAGCGCAGCACACGGAAACGCCGTTTACCTTCCCGCTAGTAAGCGGTTCCTATTTATCTACTTGCACCCGGGGGTGCTTTCAAACTGCTAGGTTGGCAGGCGCTGGGACTGAGCAACGGGAGCGCACCCCGCTGCGGGGTTTCAAACCGCCGACCTGATGATCGGCAAGTCCTAGGCGCTGAGGTTTTACCCACAGCGCCACCCGCGTCCCAATGATTTCTATACTTTTAACTTAATCTTAATTTTTAAGACAACAAATATTTGGGGCTTCATAATACTTTTGGGTGGCACTGTGGGTTAAACCACAGAGCCTAGGGCTTGCTGATCGGAAGGTCGGCAATTCGAATCCCCGCAACGGGGTGAGCTCCCTTTGCTCGGTCCCTGCTCCTGCCAACCTAGAAGTTTGAAAGCACATCAAAGTGCAAGTAGATAAATAGGTACCACTCCGGCAGGAAGGTAAACAGCATTTCCGTGCGCTGCTCTGGTTTGCCAGAAGTGGCTTAGTCATGCTGGCCACATGACCCGGAAGCTGTACGCCGGCTACCTCGGTCAATAAAATGAGATGAGCGCTGCAACCCCAGAGTCGTCCGCGACTGGACCTAATGGTCAGGGGTCCTTTACCTTTAATACTTTCGGGAGTAATATCTTTGTACAGTATGGACTGTCTCCTCTAAAGAATCTTGTGCAATTCTTCTCTGTTACCAACATTTATCCTCTCTGTGTGATATTTGGCCAGAAGACTACAGCACGTGCCTCTCAGCTGATGCTGCCTTTCAAATTTAAATAAAAGCTTCTTTCAGCAAAATCTTCACAATGAATTTTGGCATCAATTACATTATGTTTTGGGATTGGCTAGGATCACAGTATCAGGGATAGTTAGGTAGTTAATTATATCCTGGCCCAAAGTACTATTGAACCAAGTATTAGGTTACAAAAATCACCACAAAATCAACTCACAGTAATTCGTAAACTTTCAATATAGAATTACGAAAATCCAACAACACAGAGATTTGCCTGAAACCTCCCATTCCAGCTGTCCTTACTGCTGGCAAATGCAGTGCTATGCCTTTGAGGCATCTTCTCCTCCATTGTTTCACAGCAGGGATGGGAAACCTGTGTTGGACTCCATCAGCCCCACCCAGCAAGCCCACTAGTCAGGGATGATGGGAGTTGTAGTCCAACAATATTTGGAGGCTTACAAATTCCACATCCCTTCTTTAAAGGCATTACTCTACCTCCATCCCTGTTCACAAAGCTTTTTCCACCTTGGGTCTCCAATAAAGATCTGCCCTGCTGCTGCTTCTTAACCATTTCTACCCCCCTTTCCTAAAATCTGATCCTCTCTCTCTTCAGGCATGGGGAATGCCCCTGCTTCTCACACTACTGCCTAATCCGCTCTCCTTCCTTCAGCAATGTCAGTCTCCTTCAGAGCTACAGCTTCTCAAATTTCTTTCAATTATATTCCTAGACACCCATTAGGAACCAGACGTTAGATCCCCAGACAAGTAAGGCAGCTAGTTTCTCAAGTACTTATTCAGTCAGGTCAGCACATTATTCTTATCAGAAACACTATGAGGACGAGCAGATTTTGTGCCTGGCCTAGGAAATGTGCCATGTTTCTGGAACACATTTGATTTGATCCATGTTTTAATAAGGATGCTATAATAAAAAGGCTGCATTAATTTAAAAAAAAAAAGGTGAAGTATCACAGAAAAATGGTAGACTATCGGGAAAAAAAGAAAGGTCAGCTTTAAATTTGCAAACGTGAACTATAATAGGTTGGGAATAGAGAGCTTTCTTCACAAATCCGTAGTTCCTTATTTCGAACAAGGAGCAACAGACACTGTACATAACAAGCAGTGTCAGCAACCCAGATATATGAGCTAAGGGCCAAATGGTTCCTTAAGCCAGGGTTACAGTTGCCAAAACAGAACACCTAGTTGCCATTTAGGGGCTAGATGCCTCGAAAGTTGCATTTTTCAATATGGCTTTTTGGTTCCTGAAATTAATTCTGATTGTGCAGATAAAATATAACGTACAGGATGTGTTGCTAGTGTGTGAAAACAGTCCAGATCCAAGGTTCCCCAGGCATGCATCTTCACTTGGTTGCAAAGTGGCAGATAGTCAGGTGTAAAATATGCCTGGCCTATTTTGAACGCTGGTAAAAAGACTTGCAGAGACGTGGGTGGCGCTGTGGGTTAAACCACAGAGCCTAGGACTTGCCAATCAGAAGGCGATTTGAATCCCCGCGATGGGGTGAGCTCCCGTTGCTTGGTCCCTGCTCCTGCCAACCTAGCAGTTCGAAACCACATCAAAGTGCAAGTAGATAAATAGGTACCGCTCCGGCAAGAAGGCAAACGGTGTTTCCATGCGCCGCTCTGGTTCGCCAGAAGCGGCTTAGTCATGCTGGCCACATGACCCGGAAGCTGTACGCCTGCTCCCTCGGCCAGTAAAGCGAGATGAGCGCCGCAACCCCAGAGTCAGCCACGACTGGACCTAACCGTCAGGGGTCCCTTTACCTTTTAACAATACTTGCAGGATGAGGTCTTCAGCTAAACTTTTACTACTCCCTTTTTGGGCCCAACTCCCTTTATATTGGTAGAATTTACTGTTTCTATAAATGCTATTTCAACAAAATCCAGCAACGTGCAAAAGTTAAGCAAATGCAGCATGTAGTCATGAAGCCTCGGTGTGAATTTTATGGAGTTCACTAACAATGCCATGTGTCACAGCTGCAGAAATAAACTCAGCCTCAACTATGGCTATTAAGAGAATACTGGAAAAGTAGGAGAACCACCAGGATACGAAACACTTAGGCCAAGTGCACACGAGTCTACCTGATGGGAGTTGGCCACAGAAGCCTGTGTTTTATGTAGAAAGCCTCTAGGCTCTCACACACAAACCCAAAAAGACCAAATTTAACCCTCTCCAGTCATGATCTGGCAAACATGAAGGGCAGAAGGGTACAGAGTGAGATGTGCTTCAGTAGCGGAAAGAAGGCAACTGAATGGCTCCCCACCCCACCCCACCAAAAATGTTTTAGCTGTTCTGCCCAAAAGGTGTTCAGGTGTTCAAGATGAATTACAAGCAGTACTTAACAAGACTTCTGCAATTCTAACTGTTGTCCCCCCCCCCCCGACTTTTTTTTTCAAAACCTGTTGCTGCTGGGGGGGGGGATCTCTTGCTGTTTGTTTTCTCAAAAGCAGACTCATATAGGACATTATCCCCTGTGTAGAAAGTGCTTCTTTAGCCTTTATGCCGGATTTGGAGAGGGTTTAAGCGCTTGCAACATTAGGCAAACGCAGTTTGTCTATGTTGCATAATGCATCATTTTTTATTTGGTTCAGAATGCTTTCCTGTGGTTTTGGGGAAATGAGGGAGAGGATGAAAGCAAGGCAAGGGATAATCGAGGCAATCCTCCTGTGCTGATATATGCCACCAGTTTTAATTCAGGTGATCTTTTATGGCTGTTACTTTGGGACACTTTTGTCTGACGCATGAAGAGCTCCAGTACTACTTCTTAAACCTGGACTGAGAATTTGCATGTTTGATTCTATTTTAACTCTGGGGCAACAGCTTTATATATACCAATTAGTGTTACACCTCAGAGCTTCATGGCAGTGTGCTATTTAACCTACTTTCTCTGTTTTCATGTACGGCAGAGAGGCCTGTTCCATCACGCCACTTAAAATAGCATTCTGGAGTTTTCCTGCAAATCACTGAAGTTTAATGACCATCTTGTTCTCCCTTCCCCCACCAAAACAAAGACTTTATCGCCAAAAAAGAAGTAGGAGAAATGAAAACATGGTGCAAGTCAGGGGGCCTGAACTCATTTGAGTATTCAGACAGAGGTTTTTCTCCTTAGCACAGGTTATAGAGATGTGAGGCAAGGTTTGTTTGTTTTTTAAAGATTCAGTATGAAAACAGGAATAAGTTCCTGAAAAACCATACGTGTTGTAGACAGACAGCACTACCCACGGCAACCCCATAACTGCTCCTATCTGTAATGCACTGCAGGTGAATACAGGGCCAATACTGGCTGAACACCACAGACGTTATAAGCTATGCAAGGGGGCAATGTGTTGAAAGTGCATATGATCCGACCAGAGTGCTATCTGCAGAATTCTCACTGTGACCTTACAGGATGAATGTGATGGAAAACTGCTACTATCTTAACAGGAGATTCAAAATGATTTTTAATATATGGCACCTTTGCTCGGACCTCTAAAAAGGGTCACCCTGCTGCTAGAAATAATCACACTATTCATTTTGTATTTGATAGCCAAAACTGTTAAAGTAGGATGTTAAAACTCCTTACAATGGGAAAACAGTAGCTAAGAGATGAGCAAGTTCCTCTTGATGTCAGTTTTGTATAAATAATAGTAGTAGTAATAATAATAATAATAATTATTATTATTATTATTACTTATACCCCACCCATCTGGCTGGGTTTCCCCAGCCACTCTGGGCGGCTCCCAACAGAATATTAAGAACACAATAAAACATCAAACATTAAAAACTACCCATCTTTAACAGTTCATACATACTCCTACTTATTTCAATCACAACGCAAAAAAAACCCGCTGCAAATCTGGATTAGTAATATAGCTGAATACCTCAATTTCAGTAATAATCATCATAATTTTATTATTTTTACCCCTCCCATCTGACTGGGTTGCCCAAGCCACTCTGGGCAGCTTCCAACAAATCTAAAACCATAATAAAACAACAAACATTAAAAACTTATCTATCCAGGAAACAGTAATAGTGAAATAAAGAATTATTCGGCTTAACACCACACACAACCAGTAAATCTCAGTTCCTTTTCCATTTGAAAATCCTGTTGCCTTTAAACTAAGTAAAGTTATCCCATAACTGTCTGCCATAAACACCAGGGATTGAATCCAATGGTGCCTTTAGGGGGTGGAACAGACTCTGGCTCACCCCGCTTTCCTCCCTTCCGCACTGCAATCCTAAAATCTGTTCTGGAGGGTTGTGAGCCACTGCCTCCCGCCCACTGCAGATTCTTTGAAGTGAAACCATACATTGAAGTCTCACTTAGAGAAAGGTTGCGTGTACATTTATATGAAGGCAAGTTTATTTGTTCAAAACTTTTAACTGGCTACAACTGCAAAGAAATTTGGGGGGGGGGCTGTTTTCTAGACGGAAGGGTATTGTAATGCCCTTCTCAAGATACACAGTACACACTTTTTGGCAAGGTAGACTTTAATCCTCAAGCAAAAATCAAAGAGCAGCTGTAAGAAAATAATGTGATGCCTGGTTTGACTGCATCCAAAAGTGAGCACATAGACTCATTACATCTGTACAATGATGCCAGAACTCATTTTAAGTAAACGTCATGTTCTACATAAAGCAGCATATAGTTTAATAATAATAACTGGAACACACCCACAGCCCTTTCACAATCTTAAAACGCCAACTATCTTCAGCTGACTGGGCTCTGCATCTCTGCTTCTACTGGTCAAGAAGCAGTGCAAGATTATTTTGAGCTATATTTACATTTTTATCTTAAGTCTGCAGAATAGGGTAAATATGCATTCAAACAACTATCCAGTAAGACAACTCAGAATCTCAGTTATCTTCAGTATGAGTACAGATTGTTGCCATTAAAAATGATAAAAACAAGTTATATTTAAATGTGGTGTGGGCATACGGAGAGCTGGGGGAAAGAGGTAGAATGTACTGCATGTCATACATATTATTCAAAAGGGGGAAATCATATCAAAAGATATACCTGCTTATTGCAGAAGTGCAAGTTTTGACTTTTCCATGGTACAACTTAATGTGTTATGGAAATCTAGCATAATTGGAATCCACAGAAGAACATCAAAGTGAGCATGTATACTGCAGGCCATTATATATCTACAAAGCCCATGCATGATCACAGTAGGAGAGCTCTAAGGAGCACTCCAAACTTTACAATTCAAGAATAATTGTACAAATAACAATGCAATTTGAAGGCAATACTGCCTGATATTAGTCCCTCAAATCAAATTTCAGGAATGAATTCACAATCAAAGGCAATACATCCACCCACACCCTGGACTCATTAATATAAAGAACAGTACCAGACATGTTTATTTCCTGGAAAACATGCAGAGGATTGTAGACAAAATCCTATATAGTTGTGCCATTTTTTACTTTCCCAATATCCTTCACAAATTAGCACAAAATGCAACAAATTAAAATAGCACACTAGTCAGGAAACCCTTGTATTAAGGGAAAGTTGCATTAGGTAGTAGCTGTTTAGCCTACGGACTGGTTAGGCTGCCCGTTTATCTTATACAGCTTCACAAGAATACATTCTTTGCAGATAACGTACCGTATTTTTTGCTCTATAAGACTCACTTTTTCCCTCCTAAAAAGTAATGGGAAATGTGTGTGTGTCTTATGGAGCGAATGCAGGCTGTGCAGCTATCCCAGAAGCCAGAACAGCAAAAGGGATTGCTGCTTTCACTGCGCAGCGATCCCTCTTGCTGTTCTGACTTCTGAGATTCAGAATATTTTTTTTCTTGTTTTCCTCCTCCAAAAACTAGGTGCGTCTTGTGGTCTGGTGCGTCTTATAGAGCGAAAAATACGGTATTTTTTATCACAAGGAAACACGACTTTATTTGCATACGTTTGTGGAACTGCTTTAAAAGTAAATCAATCACAAATTTTCAAGACAGCTGTTAAGCAGAAAGGATTCTCCAGATTGCCACTTTCAAACAATCTTTATAACCATCTGCATTTTGATTCAGCATGAGTCAGTAATGTGTCAGGTAGAAATCACAGACTGAGCTAAGGCTAAGTTTAAATAACGAATGAAAGACTATCTATAGCAATCTTTCCCAGTGTGAGACAGCTGACCTATTGGAGAGGAAACTTGGTGAGGAATATTGGGAAGAATTACTGCTGTCAGACTTCCTCACAAGACACTACTGACTGAAGGTGCTTGGTCTGACAGCAAGAATATGAAGACAGAAGAAGCGCTGGAATACACAAATAAATACAATGCCCCACCACACCAAAGTAAAAATTGAAACACTAGTCTTTCCTCCCCCCCCCCCCAGCGAGTAGAACAGATTGTAAAAAGGTTACTTCCCTTCCCAACCACTTAGGAACATAGGAAGCTGTCCTGTACAGATTCAAGCCATTGGTCCACCTAGGTCAGGAGCAGGAAGGTGGGTGAGGGGATGTTGCTGAACTACAACTCTCATCAGCCCTAGCAACAATGGCAAATGGCAAGGGATGATGGGAGTTGTAGTTCAGCAATATCTGGAGGGCTAAAGGCTCTCCACACCTGGTCTACATCAGGCAGGAGCCTCTCCCAGCAGTACCAGAAGATACTGGGAGTTGAACCTGCAATCTTCTGTGTGCAAAGCAGTTGTGCTGAGGCCATGGAAATTCCAAAAAGAGTGAAACCCCCCCCAAAAAAGTTAGAAAATCATTCCCTAACTTCCTATTCTGAAAAGCAACTGTTTTATTTACCTCTCCTTCCAGGATTTATGTTGGGGGGGGGCAGGACACCCACCTGTCATCCTCCTCTGTCTGGCTCTGTCTAGCACATTCGGAATGAAACGTCTCAACAGCAGTTGCTTTAAATTTTCTTCCGACCCCAAGCACTCAGAAAAACCCGCCAACATCTTTCTACGATTCCTACTTTTGGTTAAGTATTTTATTCACTTATTTACTTGATTTAGCGGGGCGCCAGCTATGCCCATGTTCCTTATGTGCCACCCACTTTTTGCCCTGTTCCTCAGCCATCATTCCCACCACCCCCCACTGCCCATTTGACCAGCCTCTCCTCATCCTGTCCTTGCCCGAGTCCTGCAAAACTTTCTTTTTCTGCATCTTCAGCCTCCCCCCTTCGTGCTCTTTCCAATCCACCTCCCGCCCTCTTTTAGGTATTCCCACACACCCCAAACACACACACACATATCCCTGTTTGTCCCAGGCGCCTGTTTTCCTGGACTCCCTTTTAAGTGAGCCCAGGTAAGCCTTTCCCTTGCCCAGACAGACAGAAAATCTTCCCTAAAAACAATTTTTGGAAAAATAAAAAAGCCACGTGCGCCCCAAACTCCCCCCTCCTTCGCCCCTCCCCCCCAGCATCCCCCTCCCCGTTTATCTGGCCATGGGGGGGGGAGCGGCCGTTGACCTGCGCCCCTCCCCCCTCGCGCCCCCTCCCCTCACAACCTTGACCTTCCCTCTCCCCTCAACTCACGTTCTCCCACCAGCAGGATCCTCACGTCCTTCTTCATCGCCCCGCTCCTCTCTTTCTCTCCCGCCGGGCCCTCGCAAGCCGGGGGCCCCGCTCACATGAGGGCGAAGGGAGGGAAGGGGGAAGGCGGAGAGCCCCGCGGCCTGCTGAAACCTCCCGCCCTCTCTCGCCTCAGCCAGCAACCGGCTCCTCGTTGACTCCGCCGCCCCGCTCGCAACCTTCCCCCCCGCCGCGGCCCATAGAGATGGGGAGGGGCGGCGGCGGCCGGGCTAGAGTGACAGGGCGGAGGGGAGGAAAAGGGGGCCGAGCTTCCGGTGGCCGCCATTGGAGGCCGCCGCAATGCCTCCGCCGAAGGAGCGCTGCCGCTCTAGCCAATGCCGAGCTCTATGGTGAAAGGCCTTGTGCAGTATGTTGCCGCCGGTCCGCCGGGCGCCTTCAAGTCTATGAGCCTAGAGCGGCAGTACCCCGCTTCGTTTTCGCGACGGGAGTGGAAATGAATTCAGCGCGGGAAGCTGCGCCCAAAGGGTTACGGGCGCGAGGGGATTAGAGGGGCGCTTCCGGTTGTCAGTTGAACGAGCGAGGTAACCGGTGCGAAGAAATAGGAAGGGGCGCCATTGAGATTTGGATGTGGAACGGCTTCCTAGCCTGCAATATTCTTCTTACAGAGAAACACAAAGGCTGAATTAAGAGGGTCACTCACACACACCTTCCTCCAGTTTTCCAGTGCTTTTTTTCTAAAAATGTTCAGGGGTACTCATTTTGACTCAAGAAAATTACCATTTTACATTTCAAATTGGGGAAAATAAATACAGTAAATGGACAAAAGTACAAAGATTCACAAAATGTTTAGGGGTATGCGTACCCCCAGAAAAAAACACTGCAGTTTTCTATCTATCCATTCCCTGTGTGCTGTTAACTCAGAAGTGTGCTGTCTCATAGAATCACAGAACTGTAAAATTCAAAAGGGACCACGAGGGTCATCTAGTCCAACCCCCTGCAATGCAAGAATCTTTTCGGCTAACGTCAGGCTAGAACCCACAACCCTGGGAGAGACAGAGAGAGACGACATGAAATACAGGACAAAATGTCAATACAGGATGTAGCATTTTACATTGAAATAAGGGACAACTCTGTACTGTATTATACAGGACAGGTGGCAGCCCTACTTCTGGCCAATGTCAGGGCTTGAACCCACAACCCAGAGATAAGAGTCTCATGCTCTACCTAATGGGCTGTGCTTCAGCCCTGTGTTCAACGTGATGCACTTTGGTTGTTTCCCAATGCACTCTCCACAACAGTTATGGCCAAACCTGGCCCTCCAGACAACAGTTCCCTTCATCCCTGACCACTGGTCCTGTTAGCTAGGGATGATGGGAGGTGTAGTCCCAAAACAGCTGGAGGGCCAAGTTTGGCCATCACTGCTTCACAACAAGTATTTGTATGGTTGCTTTCTTTTAAGAGATACAGCACGGAGCAAAGCTGGTGGGGCGCCATCATCCAAACAGAAATGGTTTATAGAAACAGCACAAGGGAAAGTCTTTTGGGCTAAAAAATAAAGTCATTTTATTAGAGAATTTTAGAAAGTTATTTTGGATGCCTCGTGTTTCACAATTTTAATTGTAAGATTCTACAAAACAGCCAGCGAACATAAAAAAGCAGAACGATATTATGTAAAAAAAACCCAAACATTAATATTCCTTCATTTATTCTTGACCCACATTCTAGACTTTATCATCTCTACAAAGTGTGTCTGAACCCTGCAAAGTTCTTACTATCCTTCTGCATACGTAAACTATAAAAAAGTGAACATAAGATTGCAAAGGAGGTCAGCCTTAAAGCAGCATCAAAAGATATATTCTAAAAACCTCCAAGAAGTCAAACATAAAGTTGCTTTGGCATTTCGCTTTTCTTGATAAATCTCAGGACTTTTAGAAGACACCTGAAGGTAGCCCTGTATAGGGAAGTTTTTAATGTTTGACATTTTATCGTGTTTTTAATATTCTGTTGGGAGCCACCCATACAGTGGTACCTCGAGTTACATACGCTTCAGGTTACAGACTCCGCTAACCCAGAAATAGTACCTCAGGTTAAGAACTTTGCTTCAGGATGAAAACAGAAATTGTGCGGTGGCAGCGACACGGCGGCAGCGGGAGGCCCCATTAGCTAAAGTGGTACCTCAGGTTAAAAACTGTTTCAGGTTAAGAACGGACCTCCAGAACAATTTAAATTCTTAACCTGAGGTACCAATGTAGTGCTTGGCTGGTGCAACCCAGTCAGATGGACAGCTAATAATAATAGTAACAATAATAACAACAACAACAACAACAACAACAACAACAATAATAATAATAATAATAATGCAGTCTTTCCCAACCTGATGCCCTCCAGATGTTTTGGACTACAACTCCCATCAGCACCATATGGAGGGCAATACGTTGGTGTAGTTTGCCTTAGGCACTGACCATTAGACCCCTAATTCCTTGTGCTATTTGATCAGCTCCCTAGCATAACTTTTGTGCTTTCAGGCGTTAGTCCACAGACAGCTTTCCGGTCACGTGGCCAGTATGACTAAACCGCTTCTGGTTAATTCCTTTTGATATCGTTTATAGTTAAGAAGCCACCTATATCTGTACCATAGATCCAAAAAGCTGGGTAGACAGGGTTTACCACATGGATTTCAAACTGATGTAAAAGGGTTACCTTGTCAGTGAGAGAATAAAAAGATAAGCAATTGCTTGGAATGTCGAGGAGAACGCCAACCTGCAGAGGTTTCTCTTTACTAATTGGAGTTTCTTGATTTCTGTGCCATGCTGAGAGCCATTTCCTTGACCATTCTATGCACCAGGATATCTCACTTCTCCCTAGCTTGTCACTCTTACCAATGTCCTCACTGGCAACACCAACAGCCCATCCTGTGCTGTTTCTGGTGCTAACTTCCCAGTAGTGACACCCTTCAGAGAAACTCTGGGAGCCCAACACCTGGCTGATGCGGAATCTCTTCGGACAATATTCATAGTCAGATTCCCAAGGGCTCACAGAGACTTTCCTTTTATCTGCCGTGAGTTGAAGCATGTTGCTGATCGTCTTGGGATCAAAAGTCACGTAGGATGCCCCTGTAATAAGCAAAATCATTTAAATTAAACAAGATCAATGTGCTGGATCAAGAGAATTTCTGCAACAGGCAAGGACCGCCCCTTTCCATATGAACCTACCCGGACCCTGAGAACATCTTTTGAGGCCCTTCTTCATGTGTCTCCTTCACAAGAGGTCCAGAGGATGGCAATAGGAGAAAGGGCCTTCTCTGCAGTGGCTCCCTGTTTGTGGAAGGCTCTCCCCAGGGAAGTTCGCCTGGCGCCTTCATTATACACCTTTAGGTGCCAGGCAAAAACGTTCCTTTTTAACCAGGCCTTTGGTTGATCTGATTCCCATTCTATGCCCTTTTAAAATGTGTTTTTTGTAAGGGGGGCTATTGGGTTGTTGTATTTATATTTATTATGTATTTTGTGGTTTTATATCTTGATTTTATTCTGTGAACCACCCTGAGACCCCCGGATATAGGGTGATATATAAATTCAATCAATCACTCAATTATTATTTTGTATCATGGCTATTTAATTTAAAAACCCAAAGTACATGGGTGGGGGTGGGGTGAGTACTGTATATGATAACTATTTCTCTGTGGCTAGGAAATCATTTAGAACCAGATCCTATCTCACACAATCTGGAGAAGTTTACAAAACATGTTGCAGCTCAATAAAACTAAATGTACCAATGAACAGGATTTCCAAAAGCCCTTAGTTAACAAAGCTTAAGAGATGCCATGCTCTATTTTCAAAACATAGGATTGAAAGAAAGCAAGTTCATGATTTCAGTGTGAAGGTTTGACTCTTAAAACAGACAAACAAACAAGTTTGACTCTTCAGGGCCAGATTTAGGTTTGATGAGGCCCTAAGCTACTGAAGGTAATGGGGCCCTTTATATGTCCAGCTGTCCTTTGTCAACAACAAATTGTCACTATTTTTTTGTGTTGAATATATGCTATATGGTAATTTATGGACCTAATAGGTATCTAAAGCCGTTTGTGCATAACAAAATATGTATTTTATCAAAGTAATTGTTGAACTGAAATACAATTAAGAAGTATATTAATAATGAAATACAATTAAGAAGTATATTAATAGTGAAATAATTATTAAGCTCTAATTGTATGTAGGTTTTATTTTACTTGTTTTTTATCTTACATTTTTGAAATGTTCATCCAGTTGTTTTTTTTCCTTTAATTTTTTGGGGGGCCCCTAAGAGAATGGGGCCCTAAGCTACAGCTTGTTTAGCTTATACGTAAATCCGACACTGCTTTAACTGGACATAAGCTGACAGAATTCAGCAGCAGGACAATCAATCTAGGTCTTGCAGTACCAAAACAACAGTTCATTGAATGTCTTGTCCACACTTCCTAACACCACTATCTTGTATATACAGTGACTTATACTTACACTGAGAAAACTGACTTGAAATTGCTGGCGTTGGACTATCTCTGGCCGATGACGTTGCTGAAGAAGAGCAGCTGGTTCCCTGAAGAGAATCTTGATGGAGTGCTAATAAAGAGAGTCCCCTTGTTAGCAAGTAAGGTAAAGGTAAAGGGACCCCTGACCATTAGGTCCAGTCGTGGCCGACTCTGGGGTTGCGGCGCTCATCTCGCTTTATTGGCCGAGGGAGCCAGCGTACAGCTTCCGGGTCATGTGGCCAGCATGACTAAGCCGCTTCTGGAGAAACCAGAGCAGCGCACGAAAACGCTGTTTACCTTCCCGTCGGAGTGGTACCTGTTTATCTACTTGCACTTTGATGTGCTTTCGAACTGCTAGGTTGGCAGGAGCAGGGACCGAGCCAACGGGAGCTCACCCCATCGCAGGGATTCGAACCGCCAACCTTCTGATCAGCAAGTCCTAGGCTTTGTGGTTTAACCCACAACGCCACCCGCGTCCCTTTGTTAGCAAGTAAGAGGTCCTTAACCAACAACAGAGGGATGCTGTCATGTGATAGCTGCAGAATATACAGGTGGCCCTAAAAACTCCTCCCTGGGATTATACATTTACAGTCATACCTTGGAAGTCGAACGGAATCTGTTCCGGAGTCTGTTCGACTTCCAAAATGTTCAGAAACCAAAGCGTGGCTTCTGATTGGCTGCAGGAAGCTCCTGCAGCCAATCAGAAGCCGTGGAAGCCCCAGCTTCAAAAAATAGTTCACAAACAGGAACAGTCACTTCTGGGTTTGAAGTTCGGGAGCCAAAACTTAGCAGTTCGAAAACCAAGGTACGACTGTATTTATTTACTTTTCTTATCTTTCCATTCACTCTTTCTTCTGCGATGCAACCAAAGGTAGTATCCATGTGTTTTCCATGTGGTCACCCATCCGGGAACTAACCAGGCCTACACCTGCTTAGCTTCACCAACCTCATGTGCTCTGAGACCACGCAGTGTGGGACTATACAGAGAAGTTACTTGATTTCTTACGGTGCTCAACATTTAAAGCACTGTTTTTCTTGAAAAGATCCAGGGGCCCATTGAACATTAACTAGAGGGAGCTGTGGCTTTCAACTCAGAAAAAAACTTCTGCCACAACTTGAAGCATGAGTCTGCAGTCGCATGAACTTCTGTGCAGCTGCTCAAAGTTGTAAAATCACTCAAGCGCATGAGAGCAACAGAGAAGGAATAAGATTCAGTTAGTTAACTACTCACAAGAATTGCTGGTGGAGGCAATTTCATCCTCTGCCACGTTGGTTTGGATATCATTAGAGGCACAAGTCATGTTACTTGTTCCTGGAGAAAATTCTGCAGTAAAAAAAAAAAAAAAAAGCACGCTCAGTTAAATTATTGAAACGCGAAGCCTGTGTTGACAGCACATGTCAAATTGTTCCTCCTTTGCAGACTATGGTTTCAATTCAGATCAGAATTAGATGAGAATCTGGATTAGATGAGAATCTGGGGTCCTTAAACTCATATTCAAAGTAAAAACTTCTGTATATGACCTTGGATCAAATCTATGCTTCCAGGTGCCATAAGAAAGCTGCAGAGATAGAGCAGGACAATGCGCACCCCGGAAATGATCTCTTTCAGCTTCTGCCTTCTGGAAGAAGGTACAGGGTTATAAAGACTAGGACTAGCCACCTGAGAAACAGTTTCTATTCCAATGCGATTTTGGTTTTAAACGCAGTGTAAGGTAGTCTCTATGGGAGTATATTGTATTTAATTATGGAGTATCAGAGTTTTTAGGGGGCTAACCAGGCTGGGATAGCAGGCTTGTGGGTTTTTGAATGTCTGATGTAGATTTTTTCAATTTCGCTGTTCTGTATGGGACAATAATAAAGATTATCGTATCATATTGTATGGGAGGGGCTTATTTAGACAGCAATCTACATCTTGGAATGGAGTCTCATGGCAACAACATGCAGCCTAATTTTTAAACTCTTGTCTTTTTATTGTCCCTACCTACTTTTGTGCACCATCTTCTCTGATGAAGAGCTCTCGAAAACTCACAAAATGTGATACTTGAGTGGATCCAACTAAAGGTATTGCACAACTGTGGATTTTGGAGTATCATTAAACATCTTTGTAATTACTCATATTGGCCTAAAATCACCAAATATTGTGCACACGTCCACATCTTTGGGGTGGGGGTAGGGAAATATAAGCACTAGAGCTGCCAATCAACAAAGGAACTTGTTGATTTAATAATTAGCCAATTTAAATAAATGTGCCTATTATCAAAACCTCAACAGAGGTTCCCTTCTGGGATACTGCAGGAAACACAACGCAAACACATTGCTAATAATAGCAGCTATCACTCACAGTTTTAAAAAAGAAAGGCTATCCTTAATATTTCCACCTTTAAATTCCCCATTTCACCAGAACTGAAACAGCAGTCTCAACAGAATAAACCTCTCATCAAGCAGTCCTGTCTGTATGACAAACAGGGTCCAGTACTCATAGTGTTGGCAGAACAGGAAAAAGAAAAGGGTGTCTGTCGACTGAAGAAAGCACCTTGAAGATGTTTGCCTATGTGTGGATATCTTAATATCTTAATCCAAAATCAAATTCACTGCACTAATACAAATTGTCACAGCTGTAAAGATTAAGAAAACTGGGATGCGGGTGGCGCTGTGGGTTAAACCACAGAGCCTAGGACTTGCCGATCAGAAGGTCGGCGGTTCGAATCCCCGCGACGGGGTGAGCTCCCGTTGCTCGGTCCCTGCTCCTGCCAACCTAGCAGTTCGAAAGCACCTCAAAGTGCAAGTAGAAAAATAGGTACCGCTCCAGCGGGAAGGTAAAGGCATTTCCGTGTGCTGCTCTGGTTCGCCAGAAGAGGCTTAGTCATGCTGGCCACATGACCCGGAAGCTGTACGCCGGCTCCCTCGGCCAATAAAGCAAGATGAGCGCCGCAACCCCAGAGTCGGCCACGACTGGACCTAACGGTCAGGGGTCCCTTTAAATTTTTTGATCCTATTAAAAAAAAAAGACCTATACAGTGGACACTCGAGTTGCGAACATGATCCGTGTGGGATGCACTTTCGCAACTCACAGAGTTTGCAACCTGCAGCGGCACGCCTGCGCACGCATGGGTTGCGATTCAGCGCTTCTGTGCATGCGTAAAGCGTAATTTAGCGCTTCTGCGCATGTGTGACCGCCAAAACCTGGAAGTAACCCGTTCCGGTACTTCCGGGTTTCGGCAGTCCGTAACCCAAAAAAACGCAACCTGAAGTCTCTGTAACCCAAGGTATGACTGTAGTGGGAAATTCCAGAGATTCAGAGTGCTCTGTGGTGGGCAAATCATCTATGAAGCCCTCCTCACTTACTTCCCAGGGGCATTTGGCTGCTATCATTATCAGGACACAATGCCAGACATGGTCTGATCTAGCCAAGGCAGTACTTACTGAATGTTTCTGGCTGTCAGCATTACACTGGTGTAAATATGCAGACTCCTATTTACTTCTTCAGCATCTTACAGGACTCGGCTTGGTAATGATCAAACACATGTCAGACTTCCTTTAGCTAGTGGAAAATTTCAAACTCCACTCACCACGAGGCTGCTGCCTGGGGCATTTTTCCAGCACTGCCCTATCCAGCTGCCTTCTGAACTCTTCCACAGCATATATGATGCCAGAAATCTTCTGAACACCAAGAACAACTTCGGTCACTCTGATAGGCTCACCGATGGAAACTTCTTGTTCCGATGAGGTATTCTAATAATGGGGGGAGGGGGGGTCACAACAACAAGCAACATTTCCAGCGAGGATTTCTGACAACTCTTAAGTTAGAAAAGTGTAGATTTGTAGAAGTGGACTGAAAATTTCCAATGGAAAAAAATATATCTGGAATACATCTGTATATAAATCTATCCAGGGCAGTCTAAAACCTTCCAAAGAATGCTGATAATATTAATAGAAAGTTTAAAAAAGTATTTTAATTCAGGGGCTAGTATGAATGAATGGCGTTTCTAAAATCCTCCAGTTCTGTCACATATATTTGTTATTCCTTTTGCCCTAAAATCTTAATCCTGGAGCTCCTGGAAAACAAATTTTTATTTGTTTGTTTGTTTATATGCCACTTTTTTAAATCACAAAGGATTTCTGCTGTAGTCTATGGATGAATGCAGTAAATGCTATTCTATATTCTATTCACATAAGAACTCAAGGCTTGCTACGATATTTTTAAAAATCATGAAATGCATGACTAAAATCAGCAGGCAAAATGTTAAAATCAGCCTATCTGATAAACCTGGCATAACAGAAATGTTTTTACAAGTACTGTGCCTGACAGGTTCCATTTGAAAGAAGTTGCATATGGTCCTTAAGATACAGCCAATATAAACTGAGCCCATTCAAATATGATTCTCAAGTTTCTGCGTAACTCATAAACACATCTGGGCAGGGGGATGAGGACTGAGAAAAAGGAAATTTAAATGCTGCTTTAGGGGTTTATGTTCAGAAGTGCTACAACAAAAACAAAAGGGGAAGTTTTCTCTAGGTTCAGGGATTCTGGGAGTTGGTCCAAATTTACATATCATATCTTTAGAATTGGAGAGTAAGTTTAGGCATTGTTTTTGTATTGCACTGGAAAAGCCACAATGGCATGCATCTCGATCCTATACTTGTTTTCCCAGAAAACAAATCCAATTTGTTCAATCGATCTTATATCCAAGTAAGTGTGCACCGTTAATCTCATTCCTCCCCCACCGCTTTTACCTTAATCACTTCCTCAGAGTTACTCTGCAGTTCCAAAAGCCTGTCAATTCTTGCTGTGAGTTGCTCATTCATTAAGTCTATGCTTTGTTGAGCGGCAGCACATTCTTCATCAATAACATTCAGCACCTTTTCCTCTTGATCATTAATATACTTCTTCATAAAACTGAAGCCTTCTCTAATGGAACTTTTGATTCGAGATACAGAATCCTAAAACCAAGGGAAGAGAAGCTGATTTAGGAGGACACATAAGCTCAGAGCTTCCTAAGAGGTGTGACACAACTCTTCAAATGCTTTTGGGATAGTTCAGCTCCCCCTCTATCCCACAGACAGGAATTCTCAACCCCTACATGGGCTTCTGCCTCTTTAAAACTATGGGATTTTGTATAAGAAGGGACATATCAATATCTGGCTTATGATCTACAGACTAGGATAGCACGATTCGAAGTACAACTTTACAACTTGACTCAATTGAATTAATAAATGGCCTCTTGTGGTATGTGGAATATTGGGGCGAATGAATGTACAGTGGCACCTTGGTTTTCAAACGTCTCAGAAGTCGAACGTTTTGTATTTCGAACGCCGAAAACACAGAAGTGCATGCTTCGGTTTTCAAATACTTTTCAGAAGTTGAACATGCTACGTGACTTCCGTATTGACTTTTCCCTAAGTAAATGTTTCCGTAAGTAAATGCTTTGGTTTTCTAACGTTTCAGAACTCGAACAGTCTTCCAGAACAGATTACGTTTGAAAACCAAGGTACCGCTGTAATAACCAAATTGGATAGCTCAGTCGGTGGAGCATGTGGCTCTTAATCTCAGGGCCCCAAGTTGGGTGATAGATTCCTACATTGCTGGGGGTGTGTGTGGACTAGATACATGACTCTTGCGGTCCCTCCCAACTCTTCAGTTCTATGATACTAGAACATGCCATCCCCCTGAAATCTTATGAATTATGAGGAAGGGGCATGGCAGACCTCAACTGAACACTCTCTGACCAAATAAACAACAACCCTGAAAGGCCTCTACATGTTCCAGAAGAGGAGAGGGTAGAAAGAAGCCAAACATATCATCGCAACTCATTCAGGTACCAACCTTCATTTCAGCGCTGTCCTTCGTGCACTTGTCAATTGCTTCAAACGCCGCTTCTATTTGTTTGCAGACTTCACTTATTTTCACCACTTCCTGGAGGATGGAAAACCACAAGCCACATATAAACCTAGATCTTGAAAACAATACCTCACAGACCGCCTTTCCCATATGAATTGACCGGGATCCTGCGATTCTCATCCGAGGCTCTTCTTCGGGTGCTTCCCCAACAAGAGGTCCAAAGTGTGGCAACAAAGGAATGGGCAAAGTATCTGCTCTGGAGGGTTAGAAAACCACAAACATATTTTGGGGGGGTAGGGTCAAGGGGAGGAGGGGGTTTTCCACTTTCCCAAGGAAGCACTTAGCACTACTTTGAATACAAGCCATTATCAAATTTTCTTTGCTATACAGCGGGAGATATTTTCCTTCGGTCCCATTGAAATGTAACACTTAGTCCTCCTGCCATTAAGGAATCAAACACCCCTGTTTGCAGTTCTAGAACCAGTTCATATGAGCATGTACACCTCCTAATCATTTATTGCTTTATCAAAACTCAATATTTGACCAGTCCCAGCCTAATATGTGTACTACCCACCGACAAGAATTGCCTTTGGTATTTGATCTTTGCCTGTGGCATTTGATAGTTGCTTATCCTTTCCCACATGCAATCTAATTGTCCTTAGATTTTGCAGTCACCCAGCCACAAACGCATGTGTCAACAGCGTCCTAATCAAGCCCGTACAAACCTTGAGCTGATATGGGAAAACTCCAGCTGACAGCTTCAGATCCTGGGATCCACTGGCTCCTTGATGCTCTCTCCAGGAGGGTCCCAACAATTCCTGGTGGTTTTTCTTCATCTGCTGGTAAGTTTCCACTATGTTCGCAAGTGATCTATGGTCTACCAAATTATTTTGACGGAGCTCCCCCCTGCACCTGGGGCAAAATGCCTTGGGCCCCATCTTTTTGCAGTGCTCAGAGATGCACTCCTTGCAGAAGCTGTGGGAGCATTTTATAATCAGTACTGGCTTGTTAAAAAAATCCAGGCAAAGGCAGCAAGTCAATTCGTCCTGCAAATTCTTAGCAAGATCAACAGCCTCCGCGGCGGTAGCCATGGCTGAAGGGAGACAGAGCTCTGAGGGACTTTCAGTTTCTTTTACAGTATTAGGATAGAAAAGTTTCTGTACTTGGAAGGAAAAGAGAGTAGTTTGCGCTTCCGCTCCTCTTCTCTATCGCAGGGCTTGTTGCTGTTTTTAGATGGGGGCGGGCGAAGAGCTGTGAATTTGTGGCTTTCAACAGCCTCTCCGCCGTGTAAAATGTAGTCCCGGTTGCCGGGCAGGCCTGAACGTGCGAATGCAAGAGTGCAGAGTCAGGATCAGCAGAGGTACGTCGCCCCCACTAGCCTCCCCCTACCCAGTTGTGTGTGGTCTCCATCCTCACGTTAGAGCGGACACGAGTATAATAACCCTTTGCGATTCTCGGCCTCCGATCGTGGGAAGGGACGCGCTCCCGTGTAGAAAACAGCTGCGGGTCACACGCGAAGCAGTTCTCTCATCTTCATTTAAGGGGTGAAAACAAGGAGCAGCCCTCCCACCTCCACCCCCGGCAAAAGACAACGGGTGGGGGCGTCCAGAAGCGCGGGTTCACACGAGCAGCGGCGGCGGCCGAGGGAAACACGCGTGTTAACTTTCTTAGAGCCGCCGGAGGGAGCCGGAACGATGCGCACTGGCTTCGGTTGCCGGGTGGGGGGACGGACTCCTTTTGAGGGCGTGCCAATGGAACGGAGGCGGAGAAGGGGGAAGGAGAAGCGTGTTGCACCGAGCCGAAGTGGGCGAGGATGGGCTTGAGAGGGCTTCCCGACCTTCTCCGGGCAGGTAGAGACGGCACTGGTGCTTTCGAGGGAAGGTTTCCTAACGGGGTGGAAATTGGAAGAGAAGCGGGTGGCCTCTCTGAGGCCTTCTTGCATCTCTGCCTCCCAAAGGCCTGCACAGCTGGTTGTTGTTGCAGCAGCAGCAGCAGCCCTGGCTGCAAGCTCCCTGGGTGAATGGTGCTTCTGGGGCTGGCCAGGAGGTGCTTTCCAGGCCCTGTGGGGCAGTGTGAGGGGGCACCTCTCTTTGGGGCAGCTCAGAGACCAGGGGCTGCAGCTGCCCAAGGAGAGGGGAGAAGAGAGGAGGCTGAGGGAACTCCCCACAAAGGAAGGCGTTTGAAAAGGGTGAGGGGCTGCCGGTTCTGCAGGCAAGGGGTGACCTAACTGGGCTCCTGAGCCTCACAGGGGTGCTGCAGAAAGAAGGTAGTTGCGTCAAGGGAGCCGTGGACTCAAAAAGGTTGAAAAGCTCTGCCTTAAAGCAAGACGCTGGGCTATCTTGGAGGCCCCCAAAAAATGAAAGGAAAAAAAGAAACTGGATGTACGTTTCCAAAATATAATAATAATAATAATTTACTATTTACACCCTGGCAAGATAAGTTCAACAATTACTTTGATAAAATACATACAGTAGTACCTCGGGTTAAGTATTTAATTCGTTCCGGAGGTCCGTTCTTAACCTGAAACTGTTCTTAACCTGAAGCACCACTTTAGCTAATGGGGCCTTCCACTGCTGCTGCGCCACCGGAGCACAATTTCTGTTCTCATCCTGAAGCAAAGTTCTTAACCCAAGGCACTATTTCTGGGTTAGCGGAGTCTGTAACCTGAAGCGTATGTAACCTGAAGCGTATGTAACCCAAGGTACCACTGTATTTTGTTATGTGCAAACGGCTATTAGGTCCATAAATTACCATATAGCTTATATTCAACACAAAAAATAGCGACAATTTGTTGTCGACAAAGGACAGCTGGGCATATAAAGGGCCCCATTACCTTCAGTAGCTTAGGGCCGCATCAAACCTAAATCTGGCCCTGCCTAAGGGTCATCTAGTCCAACTGCCTGCAATGCAGGAATCTCAGCTAGATCACCCATGACAGATGGCCATCCAGCTTGCTTAAAAAGCTCCATTAAAAGGGAGTTCTCCAACTCCCAAGGGAGTCTGTTCCACTGTCAAACAGCTCTTACTGTCAGAAAGCTCTTCCTCATGTTTAGTCAGAATCTCCTTTCTTGTAACTTGAATCCATTGGTTCAGGTCTCTGGAGCAGGAGAAAACAAGCTTGCTCCATCCTCCATGTGACAGCCCTTTAAATATTTGAAGATGGCTATCATATCTCCTGTCAGTCTCCTCTTATCCAGATTAAACATACCCAACTAACTAACCTTGGATTCTTGAGAAAGAATACATAAAATATTCTTTTTTTGCCCATCACACAGATTCTTCTTCCAAGGATGAAGGGCAGGATGTTTTAATAATAATGTCCTGTTCAATACACCTACTTGTGTCTTTTATTGCTGACTGGCACAGAAAAGTTTGGCTAAACTATTCCCTATTATTTGGCATAACAATTACAGGACATTGAGAATCTATTTACAAGTTTTGGAGAGGAATGTAGAGAAGATCCTGACAGTGTGGCCTTTTTGATAGATCTGTGATGAGAATTGGTGTGTACGATCCACTGAATTTTTCAACATATTACTCATGCTGGTGAAATGACTCAAACATGACAGGTGCTTTATTTTCAGGTAGAAGATGCTTTCTGCAGGTTCCATTTGGTTCATCTTCACTTCAACCTTTATATCTTCTACTGTGTCACAAGAAGTCAACATATGTCACACACCTGAATTCTGCATCAGCAGCTGAGAATTTTAAGGAGACAAAACGTGCAATAGATGACTTGTATTCTACCGAGCAGAAATCTACTGTTTTGCAGCTACTAAATTCAGCATCTGAGAAAGAACTTAGTGCTGTGAAACTAATGCGAGGAAGGAAGTCCATGAACATAATAGAGTACAGGAACAAGCACGGGCCATTCCGGAATTTACAGTGTTTACTAGAAGTGCCTCTTTTTCAGTATAAAACAGCTGTTAAAGTCTGCAACTTTATTCTCAATCCCAATGCAAAAGAAGAAAGAAAAGAGAAAAAAATACAGAGTGTCACGTCTGCAATGAAATATATCAAACCTGATATAGAAAGAGAGCGGCTAGAGGTATCGTTTTCATTGGGTCCTACGAATATTGCCATTTCCCACATAGTAACATTAAGTCTTCAGTCATGCAACTTGGGAACAAGTCATTGAATCCCATTAAATCAAGCAGGGCTTACTTCCGAGTAAATATCAATGAAATTCAGCTGCGTGGCTTTTAATATTTTAGATGGTTAGGCAGAATTATGTGTAATGGTGGATTCAAAGACTTCCTCCAAAGGTACCAAAGGGCTTGAATTTTCTCAATGAGATTATTTATAAAAAAAACACTTTTCCAGCAAACCCACTGCATTTTAAAGCTTACTTAATAGCAATTGTCTGGTTATTTTGTAGGGAGGGGGGCACTGCTGTTCAAGAAACATGAGACAGAGGTTTCCTCGGGTGGGCAGAACTTGGTGTACTGTTCTTTGGACAATGTACATTTTATAAGAAATGTCTTAAAACAAGCTCACCCACAGCCCAAGCATGTGGGTATCAGTGCAGCAAGGTGAAGGAACGTATCTGCACATACTGCCTATGAGAGTAGGTCATTAATGCAATTCAGCTATTTTCATGGCAAGAAGATTGTGCAGTCGGGCACTGCTTGTGGTGGTGCTTAGGATTTATACAGTGCTTCATATTAGTAGCTATTTGTTCTGTGAATAAGGATGCACAAGCCAACTACTCACTTCTGTATTCTGCCACGTGTTTAACCTGCATGTGTGAAGAATTGCCCCTTAGCTTTTACAATAGGGGTCACCAACCTAAGACCCATGGGCCGGAAGCAGCCCACGGAGGTCGTTTGATTGGCCCACGAGCCACCCCCGAACTGAGCTGCCCGCTCATGCGCTGTGCTAAACCAGCGCGGGGCAGGGACTTGCTTCCGCAGTGTCGGAAATCGCGTCTGCGCAGATGCCAAGAATCTCGGGCCTGCGATCCGGCCCCCAGAGGAATTTCTACGGGACCGATCCGGCCCAGGCAAGATAAACCTTGCCGACCCCGATTTACAACCATCTTAGCGTGACTAATTGCCATTCTTCTTTTGTAAAACTCAAAGAGAGATGCATTTACGGTGTTATACCCTTCATTCTGGGGAGATTTTACAACCTGTAGCAAAGAGGAGATGGGGGAATTATGTATTAGAAAACATGATGTTGTTAATGCTGTAAGTACCAACAAATCTTTCCTATGCTCCCTTTTAGACTGCCAATAGCATTGTATCCATTGTTTTTGGCACTCGCAAAATTGCATGGGCTCATGTTAATAGACGCTTGGCCGTTCAGGATTGGCAGCAGCAGGAGTGCACTATGTTTATGAAAGGTGCTTATATGCCAGCCGTCTATCTTGAAGAGGTAAGCCACATTAAGTTTTGATTGTATGCAGTTTTTCTAACAGCATTTTTCTTTTGGGAGCAGCATGGTTCTGTTAACTACATATAGACCCAGTTTGCAGAAACCACGAAGCCAAATCATGGTTTGGTACAAGTGTGTGAGAGCTCCGCAAAAGGGATTGTGGCCACTTGCTCCTCCTCCAGTCCTGCTTTTGTGAACTAAGCCATTGATTGGATTAGTGCAGAGGTCACTCATCTGGCACCTGTGAAGGCTTCCAGTGGTACCCCAGACTCCTGAGATTTTAATATTTTTTTGAAGTAGGTCTCTAAGCCCTCCTAGAAAGTAAGTTATGGAGCAAAAAGTGCAGGTACCTTTAAAGCCTGTGAACTGAGTGTAGCTACCTTGTATATTTTTCCTGGTATGATAAATGATCCCTGTTGCTATTAGGTAGCAACAACATCTGTGTGCATGTGTGATCTCCATAATCAGAATCAGCAGGACTTCCCATGGTAAAAATAAGGTGGTTGGGTGTGGTTGTCTAATTTTGTGTTATGTCGTGCCCCCTCCATGGCACCCATTTTGTGACTGGTGCCCCCAGCACACTCCTTGCTCAATCGGAAATGCCTATTTACTCACGAAAGATATTCTTCATCTAAGCTAATGATTCTAGCTCTAGTCATGTTGCATATTTGTTTTTTTTTTAAGTGTGTAAAATTCCCCATTCAAAAAAAAAACCAAAAAGGATTTCAGAGAAATTCTTTCATATGTTGAACCAGCCTTACTTTGAAACCATTCAGGGATCCAGTAGGTTAAATAGAAAAATGTTAACTTGTTCTGCATCCTTGTAGAAACAAGCTTTAGCCACATCTCAAATTTCTTTGTATTTCATACTGGCAGATGAATTTCTTAGAAGCCGTGACAGCTTAATCCTAAAACATGGTTTTACTCCCTGTTGAATCCATTCGTTTGAAAGAGAGTTAAGAGTCTCCCGTGGTACAAGGTTGTGCCACTAGTATTAGTTTTTGGGCCAGTAGAGGAAAAGGCTGGTAGTCATACCTCAGCTCCCGAACGCCTTGGGAGTCAAAAGTTCTGGCTCCCAAATGATCAAAAACTGGGAGTGTTCCGGTTTTCGAACATTCTTTTAGAAGCCGAATGTCCGACGGGGCTTCTGCCGCTTCCGATTGGCTGCAGGAGCTTCCTGCAGCCAATCAGAAGCTGCACTTTGGTTTCCAAACGTTTCGGAAGTCGAACGACTTCCGGAACGGATTCCATTCGACCTCCGAGGTACGACTGTACTTCTATTGTAAAATGTTTTTTTTGCATGATGCTCTGTACAGGAAAGGGAGCCGCTTTTGTACACTAGGATTGATGCTACTGCAGTCTGTGTGCTGAGCTAGTGTCAGCTCTCAGGGGACAAGTTGTTCCTTGTTTTTAAATCCCATTGCTGGAACTACTGTGTCTGATCTTTTTGTTAATTATCAAAGTATAGGTGCTTATAGGAGTATGAACAAAAATAGCTGAATACATTTTGTGGGTTGAAGTCAAAAGGTCCAATTCCTCCCGCTTCCTTAATGGTGATACAATTTGAGTTTGCTGCCCTTCAAGGGATCCCCATAATCTGCTACTTGAGACAAGCCATCTCACCCTTCCTAATGATAATGTACAGAGCCAGCTAGTTGCAAGTCCCAAAACTTTTTAAAATGTACTTCATCCTACTATATATAACTACTTGCTTGCTCTGGGTAACAAAAAAAGTGTAAAACATTTCTCATGGGACTGGAGATACTACGTTTATGGTGGATTGCTACTATTTATTCAGTGCTTGTTTATTTCAGATTTCTTCAGTAATATCCCGGCTTCCTGAAGCAGATTTTTATGTCTTGGAAAAAAGCGGACTTTCTGCTCTGAATGCAAATCTGTTTCCAGTAACGTTACATCTTCGTACAGTGGAAGCCATGCTCTATGCGTTGTTACAAAAAACATTTTCGCAGGATGGCCAGTACAAAGTATTAAGCATGGCCCGAAGTGCTGTAGGAAAGCACTTTGAGTTGATGGTTGGGGACTCGCGAACTAGTGGAATAGACCTTGTGAAACAGTTTCTCTTAGAATCTGTTACGCATGCTGAGCCCCGTGTGAACTTTTCAAGAGAGCAGGTAGTAAATTATCGAAACGTCTTGTCATCAAACAAACAGTGGAGAGACGAAGAGCTGTGCGATTCCTTGCTGCAGGCAATAGCTTTTTATGAGCTACTGATACTGAACAATACGACTTAGTTTTTATCTTATTCAGTTTTGTTCTTTGCTGTCATGGATGATCTGTACAATAAGTTCCAACTGATTCACTGTATACGGGGTGCTGTACAGCACATGGAAGACTGTGATAGGAAAACAGCATTTAATTCCTGCTGACCTATTAAAATTATTAAATGTGTAGAAACACTTTGTGTCAGGATTGTTGATAGTAACATGGTGTTTTTTAGGTTAGGATTGGCTGAAAAAAAGTGGAAGAACATAAAACAGGATCATTTTAACCATGGTTAGTAACAGCCGCACAGAATGAATTAAGTGACTGGTGCATAAACCTGTGGTGCAGTGCCTAAAACTAGACATGGGGAACCTCTAAGCCCTCCAGCTGTTCATCAGTCACAGCCAACACAGCTAGTGATCCAGAATGATGGGAGTTGTCCTAAAACACATGCAGGGGAGCAGGTTCCCCATCTGTAACCTAAACCTAGTTCTTGTTATATTTACATGAGACTTGCATCAAAGCCAGCGTTAGCTAATGTGGTGTGTTCTAGATATTGTTGGACTCTCAACTCCTGGTGAGCATGTGCAATGGTCAGGCATGATGGGAGTTAGCATTGAGTAATATCCAGAGGGCATGCAATTAGCTAACCCCGCCTTAGATGCAGGTCTAATGTGAATGTAACAGGGTTTACATTGAGATTACAGATGGGGTACCTGCTCCCCTTCCGACAATCATGGTATCATTAATAACATGTCTGTACGTAAACCAAATCAGATGTTTAGATTCATGCAATAGGCCCATTTCCTTTCAGAGCTGCTACTATCCTCATAGCTCCACATAGCAACTATGGAGGCTAAATCTAAATAAAAAGTTACCATCGCTAACAAGTCTTAGATCATCTACTGTTTGCCTCTGCTGTCCAAAGTAACAAAACAAAGATGCAGTATGCTAAATGCTTGGATTCTATGGAACATTTTGGATTCCTGGTGGAAGGTCTTAAATGCTTGTCAGTTGATATGCTTATATGGTGGTGCAGTTTCCATATACAACAGGGTTGACCACTGTGAGAATGGAACAGTGGACTAGATGAGCATTTGGTTTGAGCAGACAGAGCTCTTAAAATTATTACCGTATTTTTCGCTCTATAGGACGCACCCGACCATAAGACACACCTTGTTTTAGAGGGGGAGAACAAGAAAAAAAAAATCTCTCCCTCTCTGCGCAGCGCCCCTTCAGCGAGGTGGCAGGAGAAACGGAGCCCCTTCCATTTCTCCTCCTGCTTTGCTGAAGGGGCGCTGCGCAGAGAGGGAAAGCTGCGCAGCGCCTCTCCAGCGAAGCAAAACCAGGAGAGCGAGAGGGATTGGTGCGCACCGACCCCCCTCGCTCTTCAGGCTTCAGCAAAAGCAACGCGAAGCCTCCGGAGCACAGCGGGAGCACTCCCACTGCGCTTCGGAGGCTTCACATTGCTATCGCTGAAGCCATGGAGCCTGCATTCACTCCATAAGACGCACACACATTTCCCCTTAATTTTTGGAGGGGGGAAGTGCGTCTTATAGAGCAAAAAATACGGTACATTTTGCTGCTACTTCAAAAAGCTTTCCACAGCTCTTGATATAAGATCTTCTTATTGCTTCAAAGAGAACGGCACTAAGGATTTTAATGGTTTGGGGCTGCATTTCAGTATAAGCCATTCAGAGAACCTCAGTGATGGAGTGGCAAAGAGTTGTTATTAATATATACATATAGGCTATTTTTCCAACCTATCAACATGTAGGCAGCAGTCTTCAGCAATTTTCAAATGCTTTCCTAGTTCGGAAGTATGATTAATGGTTATAACTGGGGATAATGTCTACTCTTACATCTAAAAGTCACCCTGCAAGAAATAGGTTTCAAAGCCCATCCAGATATTTATTATTTCGCTGTAGGTAAAAAATTAAAAAATAACCCAGAAGAACTTCAAGTGTAGTGGTAGGAAAATATCAGATAGTATAAAAATAAAATGTACAGGGTTACAGATAAATACAGATAAATACGACTATACAACCCAGTAGAACTTTTAGTATAAATTTACAAAACACAGATTATTTCTCCAAACTGATTGAAGACCTTACTGTGTTGGTGAAGAAAACATTACTGGCTCACATGCACACACATAAAACCAAGCCCAAAAGCAGCCTTTGCAATGTAACAGCAAAAAAGTTTACGGTTACCTCATTATCAGCTGGCTAATCTTTTCCCAAGTAGCACCATACTTATGTGGAAATTAGAATAGCACCTTATAAACACAGTATTATGCCCGAATATATGGGACAAAACCCACACCCTAAAAAGTCAGCCAATACAGTAGTTGCAGCAATGGGCTTGATATGCTTCAGATTGTATTTGAATGCATCTGGTGTAGATTTCAACACATAGTCACTTCACATTTGGAATGTGGAAAGTACCTTGGCGATAGATATATACAAAATACAGTTTGTATTTTTAAATACTTAAAAGATTCACAATATAAGCAACACTCTGTACATATAAAATCATTAATGTATATTCAAAGGTCCTACAGGTTTGTTTTATGGAAAGTCATTTGCCAGGCTGTTCAAAATTTCTCTTGGAAAATCAAAGTGAATTCCTTCAAGGTAGTGGAGAAATCTGTTGAAAAAGAAATAAAGGAAAATGGTCTGTCTTTTTGAAAGAAAGAAGGGAAAGAAAATGCAGCATGCATGAGTTTAATGTTAAGTGAGCATAGGATTGCAGTGTGTGTCTCCTGATAAGATATGAACATGATTGTCTTGCTAATAACATGAAGATTACCTTCTTTTGGCTTTCCCCTGTTCTTTCTGTTTCTCCAACTTGCAGATGTTGCGGAGAATAGGCAGGTAGTCCACTACACTTGCTTGTCTGTTACAAATATTTAAAGAAGGTCTACTGGAAAATACAGTTTCGATTATTTCCAACCTCTTCTGTGCATTATGGTAAATGCTGCAAAAGAAAAGCACATAGGTTTTTCCCCTGTCCCAGCTATAGTTTAACAAGAAATAACAGATTAAATTTCAGCAAATGTGCCCAATGTACAATCGCTGTTACACTGTGCTGAACCAGCATCTATTTAATTCCTGATTTTTTATGATCTAGTTCTAGTATTTTTGCCCTTATAGAACCCAGGATTTAGCCTCAAGCATCCCACTGAAGGCAAACATTTTTCAAATATACTACAATAAGTAGTTCTGATGTAGATCTCAAAGCTTGTATCCTTCTTGGGAAGAGTAGATTGCAGCCCTTTTCAGTTTGAATCTGCTTGGGCATTTGACCAATATTGCCTCTGGCACGTCTGAACAGACAAAAGCTATTGTAGATGGTGGAGCAATACCTGCCTTTATTTCCTTGCTGGTTCCCCCCCATATGCACATCAGTGAGCAAGCTGTAGGGGCTTTAGGAAATATTGCAGGTGATGGTTCTGCCTACAGAGACCTGGTTATTAAATATGGTGCACTTGAACCGCTTTTGGCTCTGCTTGCTGTTCCTGATCTCTTCTATAGCTCTTGGCTACCTGCACAATGTAACCTGGACTCTATCAAACCTCTGCCGTAACAAGAACCCTGCGTCACCCATGGAAGCTATTAAACAATTTGATTGACACCCTATGCCCTTTTAAAATGTAGGGGTTTGGGGGAGGAGGGCTATTGGGTTGTTGTTTTTATTTTGAGTATATATTTTGTGGTTTTATATTTCGATTTTGTTCTGTGAACAGCCCTGAGACCTCCAGGTATAGGGTGATACATAAATTCAATCAATCAATCAATCAATCAATCAATAGCGTAAATTGTTTTGTGAGATTTGCCTGAAAAATGGTATATGCATTACTTAAATAAGTAATAGGTTCAAAATTAGGTTGCATGTGTCCCAAATGGCAGGCTTAAAAGAAAGCCAGCCATAGAACTTATACATGTTGGCTTGGGGGGTGGGGGTGTCATCTTTTTACATTGGTACCTCAGGTTAAGTACTTAATTCATTCCAGAGGTCCGTTCTTAACCTGAAACTGTTCTTAACCTGAAGCACCACTTTAGTGTTGGTGCTGACCTTTAAAGCCCTAAACGGCCTCGGTCCAGTATACCTGAAGGAGCGTCTCCACCCCCAGCGTTCTGCCCGGACGCTGAGGTCCAGCGCCGAGGGCCTTCTGGCGGTTCCCTCATTGTGAGAAGCAAAGCTACAGGGAACCAGGCAGAGGGCCTTCTCGGTAGTGGCACCCGCCCTGTGGAACACCCTTCCAGCAGATGTCAAAGCGATAAACAACTACCTGACATTCAGAAGACATCTTAAGGCAGCCCTGTTCAGGGAAGTTTTTAACGTGTGATATTTTACTGTATTTTTGGTTTCTATGGAAGCCGCCCAGAGTGGCTGGGGAGGCCCAGCCAGATAGGCGGGGTATAAATAATAAATTATTATTATTATTATTAGCTAATGGGGCCTCCCGCTGCCGCTGCCAGAGCACGAATTCTGTTCTCATCCTGAAGCAAAGTTCTTAACCCAAGGTAATATGTCTGGGTTAGTGGAGTCTGTAACCAGAAGCATATGTAACCTGAAGTGTATGTAACCCGAGGTACCACTGTACCTGTGTCAGCCCACAGTCAGGCAGCTGACTCAGGATACTCAGCCAAAGCTTACTGACATCTGCAATCAATAATGTTGTTGCCGTTTCAATTCCAGAACATTGTTTTAGCTGTTTATTTCTATGTTTTACCACCTCTTCCCAGTTCACAGGGACTTGCTGTACATGGGCACGCAAAAGGCTCAAACTGTGGGGAGGTGTAACATAGCTGGCAGAGAAAAGATTCCATGTATTTTACTTGCAAGGTCCTTTTGCTATTAAAATCTCTTCCTTCCCTACATTTCACACATGACTGGGCAGCCCCGTATTTAAAAGATGGTTCTGCTACCATCTTTGTTATAGCTAAACTGAGGCTGAAACCGGATCAAAAAAAACCACCAACCTAAAAACCAGGCATCACTAAGACTCCAACTAATGTTAGAGTATTAGTGAATATTTGTAATAATTAAACACTATAATTAGCCCACAACCAACATTCCATGGCTCTTCCAAAGCATACATGGAGCTACTGTGTAAGCAGTCTCCCTTGACTGCTTCAACTGCTTAGAAGTACCTCTGCAAATAAATATTCACAACATGAAAACAGAAGGGGGAAGCCCTTGCTCTCCCTGGAACTTTATATACTGAAAAAAGCATCCTTTTCCCTGTTCATTCAGCATACACCTGTGGTATTTTGACCTTACCTGGAATTAGCTATTGACTGACCAAAGTATAAATCAGCTCTGTCTTTTGAAACATTGAGTGCAAGTTCTTCCAATTCATCATTCCCAGGAGTCCTGCAAGAGTTACTTTCCATAACTTTTGAAATTGTCCTAATGCACTTGTGAAAACCGAGTGCTTCCACAGTTGCTTTCAGCTCAGCAGAGCTTTTGAAGTTCCACCAGTCATCATGCTCCATGCTGAACTCATCTGACAGACCATTTTTTATCTTCCCTTTTGTCCAAATAAATTCCTCATAGTTACATGATTGTTTTGATTCCTGACACCTCCTGTTGAAGCAATAATCTAAGAAAGACATGTTGTCCACAAATTCAGTTACTGAATTTAGGCACTGGTATGCTGGTGCAGAGCTCTTTGCTTTCGCTGGCGTTCCACTGTCTAGTGCTGCTGTGTTACCCATCGCAGGCTCCAGTCCACCCTTTTCTTCTTCCAAGCATGAACTAGGCATGCCAGATGGTAAAGTAATGAAACCAGAATAGTCTAAATCACTTTCAAATAAATCACTATCATCTAAGAAAGCTGTAATTCTTTGGCGTTTTGTCCGTTTAACCTTTTTCACAGGGCTTGTTTCCTCTAAGCAATCGCTGTCCAAAGACTTATTACTTGAATCGTTTTCTGTAACTGTGTTACATGAAGGATTAGCCATTAGCATTGGTTCTGGAAGTATATTAACTGGTAAAGGTAAAATGAATTCAAGATTACTATAAATAAAGTCTATATTCTTCATCTGGAATTCTGTGAGCAGATCTGTCAGTCTACTCCAGTCTTCTTTTGTTGTGATTTCATGCTGTGAAAGATGGAATTAACGAATAAGTTATAAAATTTTCCTTAACAGATTTGTAGCATATACAGTCACTCTAAAGCAGAGGTGTCCAACTTCCAAGAGACTGCGATCTACCCCCAACTATAAATAAACTGGCAGTGATCTACCCATTGGGTTGACCAGAATTGTTGAGCTTTTTTTGGGGGGGGGGGTGGATCCCGCAATCAACCAGGGACGCCCAGCAATTGAAGGAGAAGAGTTTGGATTTGATATCCCGCCTTTCACTCCCCTTCAGGAGTCTCAAAGCAGCTAACAATCTCCTTTCCCTTCCTCCCCCACAACAAACACTCTGTGAGGTGAGTGGGGCTGAGACACTTCTAAGAAGTGTGACTAGCCCAAGGTCACCCAGCAGCTGCATGTGGAGGAGCAGAGACGCGAACCCGGTTCCCCAGATTACGTGACTACCGCTCTTAACCACTACACCACACTGGCTCTGTAGATCGGTTGGACAGGCCTGCTCTAAAGCATGAAAGCAATAAACAATAAACCAGATGAAACAGTATTTTCTAAAGCAGCCATTATGAGCGCAGAAGTGTGCAACTTTGGTTTAAGTGAGTAAACAATATTTGTGTGTGCGTGTGTTTAATTCCCTAGGAGTTCCCTCTCTAAAGTATTTTTCATGTACCAACATGGTTGCTCATCCATTCTACTTGGATAGTGCTAATTTGACTTCCACCTACAAAAATGCATGACCAAACATTTTTTTAAAAAGTCTTTGAGATGCCACAATACAATTTGTTGTAATAGTATTCTGTTTCATTTATGTCATTAATCAGCAGCATGCCCTAGGGAAGTTCATTGTACCAAAAGAAACGTACCTTAAGAAATTGGAACAAATCTTCGGAAGGCAAAAAGATGTTCTTAAGGCCAAGCAAGTTCTCAGTGCAGCCAGTGTCACATTTTGGAAGAGTCACTGGAGGGCCAGGTTTACTGATCTTGGAGCTGGTTGCATCTTCAATGCAAATAATCTGTTCTTTGCCACTTACCTCTCTCTCTCCTCCTATAAACAAGAGTTTCAAATGGAATTCATAACAATGATAAGCTCTGACAGCAGTGTAGCAGTTCTGTTCCTTTTTTTAAAAAAAAAAATTCTTGGTATAGATTTTTTGAAATTTGGATATTTTCTCTGCTGCCATTACTCATTTGATTGTTTACTTCTTTTAGTCTAGTTTCCCCTTGTTGCAGCTTCATTCTGTAATTTCCTCATCTGTTCTATGTTGCTTCTTCATCTATCCAATAAAAATCACACTAATTCTCTCTAATAACAAATTCTGGTGACTGAGTGCCAACAGGATTGGATCCTAAAGGGTGCCATATACTCAGGTGAAAGCAGATGTATGCAGAAGTTAAAAACGTTAAAAATACCCCAAAAAGCAGCCCGAGAATGCCATCAGCTGGAAAAAGAAACAAAAAAAACCAAGGGGGAAGGACAATGAATTGGCCTGCTTTGTCTCCTTACATTTTAGTATCCTGGAGGAGGACATAAGCTAGCTGGAACAAGAGCTGTCTGTTAGGGATCAAGGATACATTGCAACATTTTCTTACCAGTTCTATTGTTCTTTCTAATAGACAAATAAAGTGGATTTTTAAAAAGCATTTTAACTGTTTACCAGGTGAACAACAACAAACACTTTTGACATGTGAACTACTTTGTTCACTACCCCAGCTGAGCAGACTTGCTGCGCAGTACCATACCTTTTTCTTTTAAATAGCCGCCGCCACTCCGAACCCAGAACTGTAAGTATAGAATACTTTGTCTGACGTCACAATTATTTGCAGTTAACAAAGCAGCAAGATCTCTTATATCCATTCTTAAGTTCTCAGCCAAACAGAGAACTTGGAGATAGCTGGCAACATTTATCTAAAACAAAACAGATTCAAAAATTAGTAATACAATTTGGAAAAGAAGCACAACAGCAGAATGTTACTTTACATGCTAAGAATCTGTACCTACTAACTAATGCTGTCTGCCATGAATGGGTAGTGTTTAAATACAGCACATGTAAGCAAAATTTGAACCTTTAGGGGAAGAGCTGTAGCTCACTGGTAGGGCATCTGCTTTGCATACAGAATGTCTCAGGTTCAGTCCCCAGCATCTCCAGGTATGACTGGAAAGCTGCTGCCAGCCAGTGCAGACAAAGCTAAGCTAGATAGAGCAATCATCTGACTCAGTATAAGGCAGCTTCCTATGTTCCTAACTGCAGTGTTAAATCTTATTTAACTACTAAAAAGTAGATGGCTATAAGCCAACTGTGCTGTATGGTGCATTATTTGTAAAGATTTGGTGTCATTGCAACAATGTCTTAAAACCCCTTGCATGGGTGATGCTTTAACTAAAGCACAAATTTCACAAATCTATGAATTCAACTGCAGTTGCAATAATAGTCGGGTCCACGTTTTGTCATACTATGAAATCGTAAACTACTTATTTTATATTCCAAAAGTGAAAGACTTACCATAGAAGGTATACTGAAGGTGATTTCTTCAAGGCAACCATCAAATATTAAACTAAATGATGGATCTACACAAAAGATTCAGAAGTAAAGCCTTTTAAAATTTGACCATTGAGAATTATTTTAATGTAATATTAAAATGTGAGCCCTGAACATATTATAGTTAACGTATATTACAACAGGAGAAAAGGAGAACAAGATGCATGCCAGGGGGCGGGGGGGAAGAGAGAGACAGAAGCCAATCTTCAATTATTCTACTCTCCAATAGCTCTTGAATAGGAAAAGAGCTCCCACTGCTGTTCTGCCAACATTTATAGAAGTCCTAGAGGAAGAGTTCACTCAGTGTGAAAACAGGTAAAGAACTGCCCTACATTTTGTGTAGTATGGTGTAAGGTAAGGTAAAGGACCCCTGGACAGTTAAGACCAGTCAAAGGTGACTATGGGGTTGCAATGCTCATCTCACTTTCAGGCCAAGGGAGCCGGTGTTTGTCCACAGACAGCTTTCCGGGTCATGGGGCCAGCCACTTCTGGCACAACGGGACACCATGACGGAAACCAGAGCACACGGAAACGCCATTACCTTCCCACCACAGCGGTACCTATTTATCTACTTGCACTGGCGTGCTCTCGAACTGCTAGGTTGGCAGGAGCTGGGACAGAGCAACAGGAGCTCACCCCATCGCGGGGATTTGAACCGCCGACCTTCTGATCTGCAAGCCCAAGAGGGTCAGTGGTTTAGACCACAGCGCCACCCGCGTAATATGGTGAACAACAAAGATAAAGGTGGAAACAGAAGTAGGGTGCTGACTTGTGGGGCGAGACTTAGAAAAGACAAAATGTGGGCACAACAAATGGGGTTGCAGAATGAATTAGATCCACTATGCTGTTTCTAAGAGAGACCAGCCTACAACCATAAAAGGAACAGCATGTTTTGTTCCCTCAGCATAGGGTACTGAAAAGTAAACAGTTACAGCGGTGCCCCGCAAGACGAATGCCTCGCAAGACGAAAAACTCGCTAGACGAAAGAGTTTTCCGTTTTTTGAGTCGTTCCGCAAGACGAATTTCCCTATGGGCTTGCTTCACAAGACGAAACGTCTTGCGAGTTCTTGCGAGTTTGTTTCCTTTTTCTTAAAGCCGCTAAGCCGCTAATAGCTGCTAAGCCGCTAATAGCTGCTAAGCGGCTAATAGCCGTGTTTCGCAAGACGAAAAAACCACAAAAGGAAGAGACTCGCGGAACGGATTAATTTCGTCTTGCGAGGCACCACTGTACTTTGAGCAGAAAGCACCCATAGGAAAAAGGGTTAGGCATCCCCCCTGCATTGCCTGAGAAACCTTCTTGAATTCAAGATTCCAAACTGTTTTCTCAAACTCCAAAACAGAAATTTCACTGTTCTAATGTTCACTTATTCAAAGCATTAACAAGATACTTGGAATCATCATAATCATAATACTCACCATTGGTAGTAAGAATGACAGGTCTCTTGGTAGTGCTCATGAATGTTTTTATTGCATTTAGAAATCCAACATCTTCATCAAATATTACATCAACCTATGAGAAGTGGAAAGTGTTTATTCATATAATGTCCAACAGATTTCATATTTGGAAGCCTTAAAAGAAGCTCCTGCAGGAGAGACACTGTGAGCAACAGAGGGATGTTTCTAGGACTCTGGTGAAACTGTGACGTTCCCTTCTTATTTTTGCTATTGGATGCTACATGCTGTTTAAGTAATCTTGTTACTAAAATATTAAAAACAAGAAATCTTGGTTTTTTGTATGTTATTGTTTTGCTATGTTATTATGAAATTGTTACGTTATTGTTTTGCTAAGTTATTATAAAATTGTTTTGTAGTGTATGTTTAAAATGCATCCTTATCTCTTTGTTGTAAGCCACTTTCAGCATGATCCTTTAGTGGAAAAGCAGCATACAAATAAAATGTATGAATGTTTGGACATCAAGTTAAACCATGGTCTAGTGTTTAACATAAATGAGCTTAAGCTCCTCCCCAGTTCTTCAGCCTGCAGGGACACTCAGAAGCTTTTGCTTTTTATTTAACTATGGGTTGTCATTTTATCTGGAGTGATAAACTATGTATACATTAAGGATGATTCATTTAATACAATCCAGCTTCAAAAAATAAAAGATAGTTGATGTTAGGCAGTACAGAATGTGGGAGCTGCCATATAAACTTGAGCACTGCTACAAAAACTGTGCTGGAAAAAAAAATTAAAAGAAAAATGTCTAAGGTTGTATGCAAAAGTGTCAGAGTGAATCATGCAAAGGAAATTATTCTTCCTCTTGTCCGCCGCTCCCCCCTCCCCCCGTGGCACCCCATGCTCCATCCAGCGTTTGCTCTGGAAGCTTGGAGGCCCCTCCAAAGTAGGTGTTGGGTATGGGGACTGCAGGGGTGGGAATGTGAAGTCCCATTGTGCAAATGGATTTAACCCATAGTAAGGTTGTATGGGACGCGGGTGGCGCTGTGATGTAAACCACTGAGCCTAGGGCTTGCCGATCAGAAGGTCGGCGGTTCGAATCCCCGCAACGGGGTGAGCTCCCGTTGTTCAGTCCCAGCTCCTGCCAACCTAGCAGTTCGAAAGCACGTCAAAGTGCAAGTAGATAAATAAGTACCGCTCCAGCGGGAAGGTAAACGGCATTTCCGTGCGCTGCTCTGGTTTCGCCAGAAGCGGTTTAGTCATGCTGACCACATGACCCGGAAAAACTGTCTGCAGACAAATGTCAGCTCCCTCGGCCAGTAAAGCGAGATGAGCACCGCAACTCCAGAGTTGTTTGTGACTGGACTTAACTCTCAGGGGTGCTTTACCTTTACTTTAAGGTTGTATTATGGGAGTTGGGGGAGATAGATACATCATAGCTGGCCAACTCTGGCCCTCCTTCCTTTATTCTGGATGGTGCTGAAACTTTTTCTTCAGAAAGCAAGACCTGCATTTATGTCTTACCTCTTCAAAGAGGATAAGAGAAGTTGCACTTTTTTTACTGGAATCCTCTTCTCCAGTTTCCCTTTTTAAAGATTGGATCTGCACTTTTTCTTTAGGCAAGCGTTCTGTATATCCTGCATGAATAATATAGTAGGATCTGTATCAGTGGAAAATAAAGGTCCAGCAAAGCTGCCAAAAAAATCACTTAAGCATGTGTGATGTCTGCCACATATACATAAAAATATCTTCAGATTGCCTTTCCTCTCAGATCTGATTTTACAATGATTTGTAATATCTAAGCGGTGCATCGAGAGTTTGCTCATGCTCTATACATTTTCATTTTGTAACATTTGCAATTATCCCCCAAGCAGCAACCTTTTGATTTAGCACTTGTCTGGTTTTGAATACATAGCCACTAACACAGATTGCTCCCATGGATCTCATTGTTCCTCTGCTGGTACTGAAAGGATAGAAAGGAGGCAGGGAGCACTGCGTGTGACTTTCATTTCGCTGTTCTAACACAGGGCTAGACCACGGAAGCTATACACAGTGCTTCTAAATCCATTCTATCTGTTTGCAAGCGAAACTCCAAAATAAGGCAATTATTTCTACATACTCGAAGAACCACTGAGATACACTGAAGTATATTTGTTTGTAAAGGGGAAAAAAGTTTTTTTTATAAAGCAACTTGTAAGAATCGGTGGCTTCCAGCACCTCAATTAGTTTGAGGGTGTTAGTTGGGGAAGCGGGGGAGGAAAAGGAAGACCAATAAGGGGAGGGAGAGGACATTGTTCTGCTTTTGTACCTGGAATAGCACATCAACAGGTGTTTAGTTGGCAGAATGAACAACCACCCTACATGGCTGCCATAGATTATAGCTCAGTTTTCATGTCTGATTACACATGCTGGGAGTTCATTTCTACACAAATACACTATGATCTTTTGTTTCCCATCTCCAAAGATCAAGCACACGCATGTGATGTTAAAAACCTACCTTTGTTGGTTCCTTGCACCCTTTCTTCTTCATTCTTAGGCCTAGGAGAAATTTTGAAGTAGTTTGCTAGTGTTTTGGATGCCGAGCTTTGCTTTAATCCAACTTTTCTGGGTGAAACTGGAAACTTTCTTGGGGACTTCTCTTTTCTGGGAGAGCTTTTTCCTGAAATATACATTTTATTTTTGTCTTAAACTTGAAAGAGAAAGCATTGGCTTGCATAATCCAGTTGCAGAACCCCACACCCTTTCCTCGCAGGACTGTGGTGAGATGTGCTGCCATGTCCAGCAAGGGCAGACTGCTTCCATCACAGAAGAGCAAAATTCAGCTGCCCAATCCCAGTATCTTGCTCAAGGGAACATGAAAGAACAAGGGCGAGGTCTGCAAATACTGCCTAAATTATCCTGGTTGCATACGGGTGCCATGCAATTTCTGTCCCCTGTACTCAAAACTGATTGATGTTCTATTTTGATAATCTTTTAAAAGCTACTGCAAGAGCCTCTCAGGGCTATGAAGCAGGATACAGGTATTCCACATAAAATCAGTCTTGCAATACTTATAATAATAACAATAATATTTTTTTATACCCCGCCTTCCCCAGCCAAGGCCGGGCTCAGGGCGGCTAACAAGCAATAATAAAAACAAGTTGAATAAATACAACTTTAAAAAAAAATTAAAATACATTAAAATATTAAAATGTAGCCTCATCGCAAGAAGAGAAAGGAAAAAAAGAAAGAGGGGGAGGGAATCAAATTGGCTCCAAGCCAAAGGCCAAGCGGAACAACTCTGTCTTACAGGCCCTGCGGAAAGAAATCAGATCCTGCAGAGCCCTGGTCTCATGAGGCAGAGCGTTCCACCAGGCCGGAGCCAGAGTTGAAAAGGCCCTGGCTCTGGTTGAAGCTAATCTAACTTCCTTAGGGCCCGGGACCACTAGGGTGTTGCTATTTATGGACCTTGAGGCTCTCCGTGGGGCATACCGGGAGAGGCGGTCCCGTAGGTACGAGGGTCCTAGGCCATGATACTTATGCACCTTCATAATACTCATAAACACTAGGTGGTCAGAATGACCAGAAATTCTGAAGTGCCATTTATATATTAAAAGCTCCCATTATTTGGCCATGGTACTAAGGTGCACTCCACTCTCCTTACCTCCGGATTGTACGCCACGTACAATCTGAAGTAACCATGTGGCCCAGTGGTGTTGGAAAAAGTGTGCTCCCATGGTGCCTGCCAGGAGGTACTACTGCTATGGGCAAGGTGTGGGGGGATAGGGGATGCCCTGATGAACAGAACTGTGAGAAGGAAGCACCCTCATTCCCTTGGCACGGAGCTGACAGTCAGCCATCATGAGGAAACCAAGGGCAAGACTTTCTCTCACCACTGCTCCTTATTAACTGCAGCCCAGCAGCAGAGGTTTGGGATATTGGCCAGGGAAGGGGAAGTAGGAGGAGGTCAACCTCACTCTCTTCCAATTAGCAATATGTATTATACCATCAAAATGTACGTATACCACTTCTATAAATGGCAACCATGACAAGCTGACACCTGAGTTCTGCCTACATGAAAATTAAGGCATTTATTTTACAGCATAGATTCCTTTTAGTCAGCAACTGTGACAGTACACTGCCCCGAAACTCATTTTTTTAAAAAAATGGTGTGGTGCATAAAATCTTAAAAAATAAATACACGTTCCAACCAATTTTTTTCACTTCTCTACTGATAAAACAAAGAAGCTCATTACTTACTGGGTGATTTAGTGCTACTGTAGTTGTTAAAGAAGCATGGCTTATGAACATTTACACCTTGTTTGTCCACCTGATGAGACTGAGTAGCTTCCTTTAGCTGGGAGAGAATCTGCCTTCCGGTGCGCTGACAAGAAGCATTAACTTCAAATATCTGCAAGAATGTTATAAAATTAAGATTTGCTAAAATCACTTTGCAGGTTCCACATTTGTTATGTAAGTAGCTACCCAATACAAACCTTGAAGCCAAGCTCCTGTGCGCAGGCATAAACCGCTGCTGTCTTCCCGATGCCTGGGGGACCGATAAGCAGCATTGTATTGCAAAGAACACTCTCTTCCTCGCTGTCCGACTTCTCATCTTTAAAATCCGCATTGTCAAAGGATTCTAGTACGGTATGTCAGAGTAAACACACACATTTGGCTGTGTTATTTTATATATTTTTTCTGCCTCCCTTTCTAAGAAAAAAAAAGCAAACTCAAACTAACTTCCATTTTTTTTAAAAAAAGCAACAACCAATAACCCTAGATGAAACAAAATTTAAAACAATCTTACATATTATAAAGCTTACATCCAACTCATAAGTCTTCATTTGGTTTCTGAAATAAATCATTTTTATTAATATAAAACTCATTATTTTACAGATTGAAGAAAGGTTCTGAAGTACCATCTTGGCTGCCACCTTTTGCTTCATTTTGAGTTCTGTCTTCTTCACAGTCAGCTCTTTTTTTCCATTCACATAGCCACCTAAAAATAAAGACATAGGACTATTTTGGTGTCTTTGTGCACATTTGTACTATTTACCGGGACGTATAAGACTGGTTCTCTTTTCACGCTAAGCTATGGCTTAGCAACACATGCATGAGCAGGACTGGCAGCTGTTATTTTTGCTTTCCCTTAAAGACACAAGAGATAATTTCGTATCGGATGAAGTACTGCGTCAGAGAATCTGTGTTATTAAGTTATATATGTGGTATTATTAATTGTCGTCTTCATCAGTTTCTGCTCTCCAAAATGTTCCCGTTGGCGAAGGCTGACTTTCTGCAACCACTAGTTGAAGGGTGGGATATAAATACTGAAAAATAAATAAATTGGACCGAGTGGGTTATAAACCACAATCTTTGGTCTGGATGGCAGGACAAGCTGAGAAACTGGGGAGTGGGAGAAGCCGCTGAAGTCATGCGTGGATGTTATGCAAATTAAGCCACTATCTAAATGTGCGGTGTGTTCTAACACGACACTGAAAGGGTGGTGGTAGGGAGAAGGAATAGCACATAACCAGAGACTGTTTTCACCAGGGGGTGGGGTTCTTATGTGAAACCCGCAGTGCTTTTAAAACTGAAAGGTGTTTATAAAAGTCGTTTAGGAGCTTCATGAAGCTGCCAGCATGGACCCAACAGAATCCCAGCTACTGAGCTGATATACGCTTAACACTGTCAATTTTCCTAACCAGTTAGGAGACTGGCTCAAGCCACATACTCAGGTACTCTCCTATGCCAACACGGTGCAGAGTCACACCTAGTTAACCAGAATGACCTTTAACTAGCAAAACATATCACAAAAATCTGGAGGGAAACCCAGTTGCTGCCATAAGCACTTAAAAGTGTTGCACTGATTTTTAAAGTACCTGTGACCCAATCAGATTGTGTCCAAGAATTGACAGACACAGCAGTGGAGAAAAAGAAAGTGATATTTATTGCTGAGCAATAACTGACCCAGTGGAATCGTTTCCAGAGACTGGGCACCCCAGATCTAGTGCCCTGAGGCTTTATACCTGAGTACATACATGACATAATCGAATACAATCGCAAACGGCAGCAAAAATAAAACTAATGAGCACATTCAAGCCTTGCCCCTGATCATACAAAGAGTTCCCTCACAACTTCTGCTTTCTTCAGTCTGTACATCAGTCCGACCTTTCCCCTGGTTTATGGTAAAAGGAGAAAGGAAACCTAAAGAGAAAGGAACTGTATTCGGCCGTTTTCGCTGTTGATAACTTCTCCTACACAACATCTGTTATACAGGGACACTTGTGGTTAGCATTTTCCTGTTTTAGTGGCGAGACTTTTGAGGACATAAGAAGAACAAGGGGAGAGAACTGGGGCAGAGGTCATTTTAGATTTTCCAAATCTAAGCATTTTGCATTTAGCTGTGCAGAAACCTTCATGATTCAAACATGGATTATGTAAAATCATCATAAAGATATATGGTTATATATGGATACGTGGATAACTGATTATATGGAAAGCATAAAGATAAAATTCCTCCAGGTGGTCCTGCTTCAAAAGGAAAAAAAGATACAAGAAATTCAACAGTTTCTAACCTGTGTAGTTTTTGAACTGCTGCTGTGTTTCCTACAAGTTCACTGGAGTGCTGTGGCTGGTATTTTTCTGTCCAGAGCACATCTTCATTTGAAAAATCTGCAGATTATGAACACAGAAATTACCTATTTTAATGATTACCCCAAGCAGAAACAAGGAAGATTTATTATTTCATTTTCTGAAGATGTTTTTAGCCCAAATGTCTGGCCTACAGAAAGGAAACAGTGAAATAAATTGTGATCAATATTTATAGGTCAAAGCTGCGGCGGTTTAAGGGGGGGGCCCTCCCTGTAGCTTCATCCGACAACGTTTTATAGAATGTTTTACATTTCAGTCTCAGATGCATTACTTGAAAGGGAGTTCTACTATTTTCAACAGAAGTAACTGTCAAATTGACAGCACGGGATACTGGAATATTAATCGGTATTACTGATTATCAGATCCTTTGACAAACATAAACGCAAAGACAAATGCTCGAGCTACTAACCCTGAAGGCTTCAGAATAAGTGGATCTGAAAATAACTGGATTGAAAGTTACAGCTTTATGTTTGCAAGAAACTAAAGGCAAATGGTTAAGACACTCTTGAATATATAATTTGCATTTTTAAATCAGCAATCTAACTTACAATAAAATAGTACCATAATTCAGGAGAATGGACTCAAAGATCCCAATGGCGAAGCAAAAAGCAAGTGTGTATTATAGATTCCCCTTCCTGTATGCTGCTCCCAGTGTCCCGCTCCCAGCAATTTCTTCCAGAAACCATAAAAAGCATTTTTTTCACTCATAGAGAAGGCAGCTGGTAAAGTCATGGTGCTTATTTTTTAAAGTACATTAATTCCTTTTAGGTCTACTGGGATGTGTTCCAATAAGGTTATCTGTGAATCAATATACTGTAACTTCACAAATATCCATATAACAATTGTCATAAAAAAAAACAGGGTATGAGGTTCTGAAGAACCTGTTAAATATATTCTTTCATTACGTAAGAGGACTGCGCTGATAAGGTGGACTTTGAAATGTCACTGTTCTGTTAACAGCAGTCAGAATGTCAATCCCAACTTATTGGAATATAATATAGTTTCCCCCTGCCCTTGTCAGAGTGGTTTTTCAGAATTCAGGATTTAGCTGCAATATATAAACTCACTTATTATGTCAGGAGCAAGAGAAAGTGAATTATATGCAAACAGGTTTATTGAAATATGGTGCTCTTGCAATAAATATAATATAAATATATTTTTAAAGACGCCGTTGGTGCTATGGTCTAATCCACTGAGCCTCTTGGGCTTGCTGATCGAAAGGTCGGCAGTTCAAATCCCCGCAACGGGGTGAGCTCCCATTACTCCGTCCTAGCTCCTGCCAACCTAGCAGTTTGAAAGCACGCCAGTGCAAGTAGATAAACAGGTACCGGAAAGCTGTCTGTGGACAAACGCTGGCTCCCTCGGCCTGAAGCGAGATGAGCACCACACCCCTTAGTCACTTTTGACTGGATTTAACCATCCAGGGGTCCTTTACCTTTTTAAAGAATTTGTCATCTTGAGCACAACATGTATTAATTTGAGGACATTTCAGATTAGCCATTTTAGAATGGATTCACTTCCACATCTAGTTAAATAAGAACTATGTTCTTAATCACAACAGGCATGCTTAATATGTTCTAAAATATTATGGATTAAGTGTAAGTTACCAGAAGCAAAACTACTTTCTGATCCAAGTTCAGAGTCTTCTGTCTCATCTAAATTTATTATGGGGATTATGTTTCCCATGCCAGTCTGTGTTTCACATGGAACCTGGTCTGGAAGTTTAATCTCTGCTTTTCCAATTTGTTTCCTCCTTTTGGATTTGTGATCTTCAGCTTTTCGTTTTCTTTTGGTTGCTTTTCGATTGTCAGAGTCTGCATTTGTCCCAGTGCTAACAGCTTCACATTGCATTGCTAGACAAAGAAAAACAAAACATGCAACGTGTCATACCGCTGAACAATTCCTAGCACCTCTTACTCTTGCCACCACCAACTAATATAGACAAATAGGCTTTAGTCACGCTGGCTAATATGCAAAGTACTGTGTTCCACAAGAGCGTGGGGTTTTTCCAGCTCCCCCATGCAACCCCATGTTCTAAGACATGGCCCCACTACCTGAAGATCTCTGTGGAGCAGCAACACCCATGAGGAAGTGGGGGGTGCTGTCAGCAGAAAACCAAACCACCACTACCACTACTTGCTTGAAGAAAGACTCTGCTTGCATGCAGGCACAGACTCCTGCAAAGATCTTTTAAGTCCCCTAGGCTGAAATCCTGTGTATACTTTCCTGTGAGTAAGTTCCATTGAACAGGCTTTATTTCTGAGCAAAAATGCTTCAATATAGCCAGGCCTCCACTTTGTCTGCCCCCTCTAGGGGAAGGGACTGCAGTGGTAACGATTAACAGCAAACATGCTTAGGATTGTGCTACTAGAAATTTACTTGCTACCCATGCCTGAATTTTACATGTCAGTTACATATACTTGCCAACCTTGTTTAGTAGTTTGGTAAGCAGCTTGTTTTTTCAACAGCAAATGAAAAAACCGTTTCACAGGAAACTGGGCATTGGAAGACTGAATCTCCTCCAACAAACAATTCCTTTGTGTTTCAGAAAAAACTGGTCGCCATCCAGAAGACTATAAAACAGAAAAAAACCAACACAATATATTTATACCCAATTAATATTTTTGAAGATAGAAAACAGAGTTTAGTAGTACACTAACAGACACCAGGAAGTACGTGATCTCTGGAATTTAAAAACATTAAGCTGCTACGTTTCAATTTAATAAAAACAAAATGATAAGAGCTTTCATAACAACAGATCAACTGAACTGAAAGCCATCATGGCAATAAAGATTTGTAAATACTAACCACAACAATTGGAGAATCAGTACTGTCAGGCTGTGTTTTTAACACAGAAAATTCACCAAGCAGAAAAGTGAGTTTTGCAATATCAGTTACTTCAGAATTCACCTCTCTCAGATTAGTTAGAAGAGGTGATGAGGGTGGTGCCAACCTCCACATCAAACATCCTATGAAAGAATAAAGACTCAGTTAGCAAGCGGGGTTTTAGAAATAGGTAACAAGGAATACATTATAGAAGAATATTCACCCGTTGGTAAAACTCTTTGTTGATAGTAGCCAGGCTCCTTGCAAAGAGCATTACAGACAGTGCAGCACAAAAAGGATGAATTCAGACTCAGATGAATTCAGACACTTGAACTAAAAGAACTTGGCAGGTAGGTCCCTTTAACTAAAACCAGTGATCCACTTACCCTGGCATGCACTGTCAGCACTTTGCAGTCCCATATGTGCTGTTAAAAAACCAATATCTGCTTCTTAAAATGGGTGCATCTTTATATCTAGGTTGCTCCTATGCAAGCTGTCCTTAACATTTTATCTCTTATGGCTCTTCTACACAGCTACTCTTCTTCTAATATGATACATCTCTAGAGAAGCACAAAAAATTATCTGATCGTATGCTATTTCTCCCAACTATTAAAAAGAACATTTAGCAGCATTAATGTCTATAGTTGGAGCAGAGGAAGGACTAAATTAGTGCTTGTTTTTGTCGCTGCCTTCTTCGTTATGAAAGAAGCTGTCACCATTCTCACTGCTCTTTTCATCTTCAAGTTCCTGCAAAGTAAGAGGCAATCATCTTCTAAGCTAGGAGTGTGAACAGTGTCTAGCCTGAGAGCCACATTATAACAGGAAAAGCTGTCAGAACCTGCATCCAGTGGTAGATGCACACACAGTCACATAACACAGAGAAAGCTATTCCTCATGGGGACAGAGGCATAACTTAGTAAGTCAAGTTCCATCTTCCATTTTCTCCACATTTCGTAAAACTTGGGTTTTTTAAAAAAGCTGTCCAACATCCTTTACCTGCCCTGACTGCTCAAAAATGTAAACATGACTCAATCTCTGTAAAATAACACAAATGTCAATTCACAAGTGAGCTACAAACCCTGCCCTATAGCTATTTAGAACCCCTAACTTCAAAAATGCAATTGTATCCCTCCCAAACGCATGCATGCAATTGCAAAGTGTGTGGACGTTTTTTATTCATACAGTGGACCCTCCAGATACGAACTTAATTCGTCCCGGGGGTCCGTACTTACCCCGAAAAGTCCATATCTGGAGGCGCCGCTTCTGTGAATGTGCACGCGGTAAAACCCGAAAGTATAGTTTTATGAAACTCATCTAAATTTATGCCACCCAAACATTTGTTAGTCTCTTGTAGTAACAAAAAGTCAATAAACGTTATTTTAAGGCAAAAGCTCCAATAATGTAGTCACTGCAAGAACTTCAGGAAGTCAATACTCACCACAGTCCTTCTGCTGAACATGGACCACTGTTCGAAAACAGGAATTAATTGACGAATATGCTTCCAATGCTGCTGCTTTCTTTGCAATCTGCCTTTTTAAAGACTCTGGCAAACCACTCATTAAAAATTCACGTTTCGCTTTGAACTGCTTGCCATCTTGAGAATTTTCAGAATCTTGATCACTAGGTGGAAGTGACAACCAAAAGCAGATAAGCTTCACTATTTAATATTGGTTTGCATTCCTTGCAGCAAAGGCTTTGGAATTGTTCAGAAGAACCTGAAGATTCCTGAGCAGCTTACCACAATCTACAATGATATGATCAGTAATGGGAGGAAAGTTTCTCCGAAACACTAGGTAAAGATAAAGGTAAAGGTAAAGGTAAAGGTAAAGGGACCCCTGACCATTAGGTCCAGTTGTGGCCGACTCTGGGGTTGCGGCGCTCATCTCGCTTTAGTGGCCGAGGGAGCTGGCGTTCAGCTTCCGGGTCATGTGGCCAGCATGACTAAGCCGCTTCTGGTGAACCAGAACAGCGCACGGAAACGCCATTTACCTTCCCGCTGGAGCAGTACCTATTTATCTACTTGCACTTTGACGTGCTTTCGAACTGCTAGGTTGGCAGGATTGTAGGCAAATACTACTTGCCTACAATTACTGACTGTTCTCTGGAGCATGCAGCTCTGAGAAGAACCATCAAAAATCTCCTGCCACCCACTTTATGCTGCATCCTTGCTTGTTACATTGCACCAGACAACCCTTTCACCATGTTTCCACTTGTGTACTAATAATGTTAACACACTTCTCCTCCAAGGGGCTCAGGTTTGAATACAGTGAAACACACCGCCACATTTCACCCTCTGTAAGATTAAGCTGGGCTGAGAGAAAGGGGACGTCCAGGGTCACCCAGTGTGCTTCATGGATGAGCAGGGGTTGAAAACTGGGTCTCTCCAGTTCTAGTTGAACAGCCCATTCATTCCATTATGTTGCTCATGGTTCTATAAAAATGGGTGTGGATTTATGCACTTCCATCTCATTCATTAACACACACACACACACACACACACACACACACCTCATTTCTAGTCATAAAAAGTATCAGAGCAGTTTACAACAATCGTACCATAATATATAATAAATCGTATCATAATATATAATAAAACCATAATATAAATGCCATATTAAAAAGTTGAAATCAGCTATTATGGAAATAGGAAATTCTTAATTGCCTGCATAAGCCTGATGAAACAGAAATGTTTCCAGCAGGTGTTTAAAACTTGAAACAGAAGGTGCCTATTGGCAGAGTATTTCATAATATTGAGCCAATGACACTTAAAGGCTCAGTTTCTTGAGGTCAAATGAGCCTCACCAGCTTGGGGAATGAGCAGTGATGCTCCTACAGATGATCACAGTGATCGTGCTGGGATAGAAGGGTTTAGACAGTCCCTGAGGTACTCTGGACCTAAGTTGTTCAGGGCTTTGTAAATTACTACAAGGATATATGTGACAAACTGACCTGCTTTCATCCAAAACATAAATTGCTGCATCTGTAGTCTTCTGGACCTTTTTCCTAATTGATGAAGACACTTTCTCTTTGCCTTTAAAAGTAAAATATTGCCAAGATTAGCAAGGCACAAATATAGCCCTAACTCTGTGCTGCAATATGAAGTTATGGAAGGAACAGATAGATATACATCAAATTAACCACAATAATAATTAGCTGCACACTATATCTCAGATTCTTAAATTATAACATAAAATGTTTTCAAAATTATACTATTTAATTTCCCTGATGATATATTAACTATGTATATTTTAGCTGAATTCCATGGTTCTGTGTTACATAGGACAGATATTCTCTCGGTTTCTGAAAATCTTAATATTCTGTGACCACAAAACAGTTACCTGAATGAGCATGTGTACCAGGGTGCACATATTTCAGAAAAAGCGAACAATTTCATTTTCATATTTATAGTTTAAGGAAGTATGTTACAAATTTTAGGAAAAAATATTAGGAATGTGAAGTTTTCAGAACACTGCACAAAACTCCTGTGAACTTAATTGTTTAGCATCTGCTCATAAACATGTTTTAGCTGTATTTTAAGTTCTGACCATCTGCACAAGCATTTCTCTCATTATGCATGTAAAATTGATACCAAACCCCGCCCCCAACAGGAGAAGACAACCAACAGGGTTATACCTGTAACACATACTAACACACAAAATCCAGATAGTATTACCTTAATGGGGCACATAACATGAACCTCCCCACCCATTGAGGCTATATTCATTGGGCAAATAGTGCAGCTTGAGAGGGCTAAACTTTGCCCCTAGCATCATGGTCCCAATCTAAATAACTCCAATGGCTGCTTTTAAAAACATATAAAGAGATGGGAGATCAAAGATCTCCAACATTTCAATATATTTTGGCTCTGTGATAGTTGCTTAATACTGTACTCATCTCATGTTGAGTGAAGGACACTGTGTGGTGACATAGACTAGGAACCTTCTTTGTGGTGGCACCCTGATTGTAGAATGCCCTTCTCATTAATTTAGGCTTGGTGTTGATATTGCTTACCTTTGACACCACTTGAAGACGTACCTCTTTCCCCAGGGTTTTATAGCAGCCCACATAGTGGCTAACACAATGCAGTGAGTTGAAAATTAAAGAAGTGTCCACCTGCTTTTGCTCCAATGCCTTAAAAATGCTATTATTTAAATTGTGAGTTGTTTTATCATTGTAACCTATCCCAATTTTATGAAACACTGAAGTATGGGCTAGAAATTGGAAAGTTAGTGAGTAAAATTTGGTACCATTTGATTTCATAGCTGTCTTCACATTTCCAGTCTTCTTCCCCAATACATCATTCAAGTTTCGAAGTTTCTTTGGATTGTTCACATTTTCTGAAACAGGACTTGAATCCAGAAAAATCACTGAATCCTGAACACAAACAGGGTAAATATTACAGGTCTCAGGGTGTTTCACAGAATAAAATCGAAATATAAAACCACAAAATACATAATCAAAATCAAAACAGCAACAACCCAACCCATCCACCCCCAAGTAATTTTTTTGTGCCTATGGAGCCCTGCATGAAAAAGCTCTTGCCGCTGTTAGATAACTCACACATTCCCAGTGCATAGTCCCTGACAAGGAAGAGAATGCAAAAATACATGCTTCTATAGAGCTCTTGCATACACTACAGTTCACTAGACATTTATTTCATTTTATTTAAAGTATCAGAAAATTCTAGGGTAGTGCACAACATTTTTTATAAAAGCAAATATAAATGAATGCAAACCGAAACACATGATACTAAGTAACAAAATAAGCTTCAGCAACTTGCATTTGGTTTCTATATTTTTATGGTATCGGCTGCTACTATATTTCAAATGAACAGTTGTATTTCATACAAACTTCTGTCAGTATTACATCAAATAAAAATGAGCCTCTCTATCTACTCAGTGTAGTATGCAAAAACTAATGCACAGCTGGATGTGGAACTTGAGCTCAATTCAAGTTCAGCATTAAATTCACTTGGTAACAGTGAACAAGCCACTTTCCCTTTCTCATTTTTCCTTGTGTAGAACAGGACTAGTGAGAGATCAAGGAAGCACATTGCATAGGTACAGTTAACAAAAAGTTCATTTTTTATAGAAACCGTGTTATACGTTCACTGAAAATGTTAGAAGAAACTATACAATTTCTGCTTACTTTTCATAAGCTAAGGAAATGTTATATTATTATAGCAAATACTCAAGAACACTAACAATCACCTAAAATGTGATCATCAGCATTTATTGGAGTATGGCTGAAAAGTGAGAGCAAACAATTTTCAGTTATTCATGAAATTAATCTCAGTGTTTACACCAGAGGTCGGCAAACTAAGGTCCGCAGGCTGGATGCGGCCCACCAGGCTCGTTAATCCGGCCCGCGAACCTTGCTGCCCAGTCGGTCAGTCCCTGTGCTAAACAGGTGTGGCGTGGCGGCCTCGCAGCGCGGAGACTGACTTCTGCAACGCAGCACGGAAGCTCCTGCAGCCAATCAGAAGCCATGGGTGCCTCTGGGCTCCGCCCCTTCCTTCCCACTGAGGCGGCTGAGTGGGAGAAAGCAGCCGAGAGGGAAGGAAGCGGCAGTGGTGCGGAGGCTGCCTCCGCCGCCCAGGCCAGCGGCTTGGGCTCTGCGCACCACCGAGACAGAGGGTGCTGACGCTGCTGAAGATGAGGCGGCGGCGGTGTGAGTGGCATCAGCGGGGAGGTGCTTTTGGGAGGGGGTCCATCCAGCCCCCCACAAGGTCTCAGAGACAGTGGACCGGCCCTCTTCTGAAAAAGTTTGTTGACCCCTGGTTTACACTCATCTACTTTATCACTAGAACAGATACTTTAAAAAATTGTTTTCAGACAAACTCATAGCAACGACTACAAGTTTATTCAAACCCCTTATACTACAGAACAGAGAACAGGTCAAAGACAAACTGTTGCTTAAAGCAAGTGAACAACAATGCTGATTCCATATATAAGACAGAGTTTATGGACTTACTTCTGTGTTCTGTGACTTTTTCTTTTCAGTCAAGGCCTGTTGTCTAGAAGAGCGTCGCAGAGGCACGGGTAATATCTCTTCAGTAATCTTCGTTGCTCTGTTATGCTTTAGAGCCTTTGCTTTCTCAACCAATTTCTTTGCTTTCGATATACTGTTCATCTACAGTAAAATTAAAAGGAATCATTAATGGGGCAAGGGCCAATGCACACTGTGGCTTGGATCTAAAGATGCAAAGGTGGAAATGTTCTTCACCAATTCCTCCTTCTTATTAAAGCACCCCCACAAAAAAACCCTGCTCCTGAGGGCTGGGGGACTCTCCAAAATAGCATGGCAAATGACATGGGGCTGCAGCAGGTAGGGGGAAGCCCGGGAAAATCAGACACCATGCCTTGTATGAACAGAAATCCTTTCTGCTCAACAAGGCACTGTTCAATCTAAGGTGCTATATTTAAATCTATTAATCCAGGTAAATATTTAAAAGCTGTGTATGTTGTAATTTTTAAAAATAATTACATAATTATATTAAACTGTTTCTCACTGAACAATATGTATGTCATATTGGTAATATACTGTATGCCAGTATATTAAAGTGTATGACCAGATATATATTAAGGGCCTTTTCATACAATAATTTCCCTCAGAAACCTAGACATGCACAAAGATCAAAAGAGGTTCCAGATTTGTCCTCCTCACACTCAACATTCATTTGTGTAAACATAAAGCCAGAACAGGAAATTCTAGGTGATATGCAATGTAAGTCATGTAGACCAACTGAAATCAATGTGCTTGAAGTCCATTAATTTCAACAGGTCTATAACCCCATCCTTATTTCAAATTTATTTTCAAATTTGGATTGCAAGTAATGAAGATGGTTATTCCTGGTTTCAGTGTTACACTCTAAATATAGTGAGGAGGTTGGAAGAACACCTAGAAGTAGTACAATGCTTACTTAAATTCTACTGCTGAGGGGGAAGAATAATATCATTCAAAGTATTCTGTGCATAATTTAAGGGTGTGCAACAATTTTTTACACTACTATATTTAATTCTATTGGGGCTTCATATTCAAATTACAGTGAAATTTATTCAAAACAATACCTTCACACTCTGTTGCGTAAATCTTTCAGATGTACTAATTCGAGTGAATTTCATCCTGTATGAGGGGGAAAAAATCCCACTTATTATATATTTATTAAAAACCACTCCTTAATACTGTTTTCGGATAAACAGCAAAGTGCTAAAGCTGCATGTGTTCAGAGCTACCGTCTCTAGATAAAGTTTAGGTACTTAAACAAAAATTACTTACACTCTAAAAATATGTTTACCTTATTGGACTCGTTGAATCAAAGGGTTCAGTAATCACCACAGCCTTATACAAGGCACTTTTATTAAAGGATTTTTTTGTTTGGGGAGTAGAAGCCTGTACAGGAATAGGATCTGATGCGTTTTCATCAAAAGTCTCTGAAAACCTTGCTTTTTCTGGTGTAATATTTATGGAACTTTGGCTTTTCTTTTGCCGTGGACTTCTTCTCAATCCATTCTTTTTGGGGGACAATGTGCTTTCTGCTTCAGTTGAAGTGGTTTCTCCAGCAGCATGGTCCAGGCTTTTGTTTGTATTTAAATCTTTCTCCTCTCCTCTTAGTATCTTCTTTTTCCTGCTGAGCTTGCTGTTTCTTACTCTGGTACGATCTTTTTTAACCGTATTACAATGGGAATCACTACCAACAAAATCAGATGATAATTCATTTCCTAGTTTTTTATTAGAAACATCCTCAGATTCTTCCACTTCCAGTTTGTGTTTTGAAGATTTTTCTACTTCCTTCTGTTTACCGGGTCCTTTTTTAGATCCATTTTTTACCATATCAGATGCCGGTTGTCTAAAAGCTTTCATAAACTGGTATCTTTCTTCTGCAGTGCATTTTGACTTCATGCTCTCGGAACCTGCAGCTTCTAATACTGCCAGTTCTAACTCTTCTTCTGCTATCACCACATTAGATTTTCGCTTCTGTGTAATTTGCTCAGAATACATCTCTTCTGAGGCAGGCAGACTGCTTTGTCTTCTAGCTGTTTTGGTTTTTTGCTTTAAAAAGATAGAGGCTATTTTCCTAGAAGAGGGAGATTTTGGAGGCACAGAATGAATTTGTGCAAGGACAGTTACTTTCTTAAGTGGGAGCTGCTGAGCAACTTGGCAGCTCACTGTTTCACAGGATGCAATGGGACTATCTGCTGTTTCTGCTTCGGGAATTTGATGGCTTTTATTTTCACCTTGGCTTTTTAGAAAGTCTTCAAATGATACAGTAACTGTGCAATCATTTAAAAGTGGTGTCTCATGTGCATTAGTCTCAGGATGCATAATATTTTCTATGCTTTCATTTTCTGGTTTACTCATAGATATATCTTGTTTATTATCAACTTCTCTACTATTATCTTTCTGTTGGGTTTCAGTAGAAAAATGTTTAGGCAAGTCCACCTTATATTTGTGTTTCCGTTTCTTTAATCTTTTTATGTTACTCTTTATTCCTTCTTCATGTTTCCCGTCAACACTACTGAGACGGTGTTTACTACAATCATTTAACATTTCTTCCAGGTTTGTAGGGCCAACCAATGCAGGAACACTATGACTATTGAAACTACCTTTAGAGTCTTCTTCTTTCGGACTGAGAAATTCTTTACTATCATTACTATTAATTTCTATCACAAGGTCAGGCCCAATTGTTTTTATATCTTTTAATTTATTATTTAAATTACATCTCTTTCCTTTCCTCTTGAGTCTTGATAAAGCCTTTGAAGAATTTTCCAAGGATGATCTATCTGTTTTAGTTTTCATCTCTGTTACAGGTGCAGCAATATTCTCATATGTGGGGGAAGTTCTTTTAAAATAATCCATTATATTGTTGGACTTTGGTGGTGACAACACTTTATCAACATTTTTTCCTAATGGTGAAAAATATTTTGTAATTGCTTTTATAGAAGGATCATCTTCTTTCCGTTTCTTACATGGCTATAAAGGAAAAGCAGAGTGGTTTTGTATAAATGAACAGCTTTAGCTAGCATTAAAATTGCTCGTGTTTATTTCTTATTTGTTATTCAGAACGCAAATTGTCTAAAAAGCTTGTCATGCTTATTACACAAGAACTACATTCACACATTTCTTTTTAAAACAAATATAGGGCACCATGTTAATCGGTAAAGCTATGTTAATTGTTAAAGGCAAAATAAAAAATAAAATATGATCTATCTATGCTACCTCAGAAGCGGTTAAGCTGGACATACTATTAAAGCAGGCTGTCACCTATGAGACTGGGTTGAATGAAATAACAAATTATTTAAAAGCATACAAGCAGGCTCTCAATTTTGGAGGGAATCTGAAACATGTTTTTAAATACCACATGGAGTCTAGTCTGGACTATGGAAAAAGGGCTGATTTGTTGAAAAGGGTCAAAAACATTACCAAGCTGGAGTTCCCACGAATGAAAGGAAAATATGAAGAAGAGCTGCGGAAGGGACATGGAAGAGACTTGAGGGCTTCGGATATAAGATTACCAGGTTAATGTGCTAGACTAATAAGATAAAAAGGACTGACAAAACCCGGGACCAGGAGGAAGGGACGCTGGATGAAGATTGGATTGTTTATTTCTTTTTTTTTATCATTAGGATTGTTCTATAAAATTGATGAATGCTAGAAAAATGTTGAAATGAAATTACTTGGCTCTTGTAAAAATGTCTAAAGAATTTGGTAAGAATGTTATGGCTAGGAGAAGTTGGTAAAAATAAGATTTAAGTTTTAAACTTTAAGGTTTTGTTTTTTTTATAAGAGGAAAATAGATTAAGGTAATGTAATGACAGAATACTATGAATTATGGAAAGGATTTGCTGTGATTATTATTAATCAGGATACAAGAAAAGGGAGGAGGAGGAGGTCAAAGAAAGAAGGTATTGAAAGTGGAGAATTTGAGAATGATGGTTTTATTTTTTATTTTTATTTTTCTGTCTTGTCTTTTTTGTGTGTGTAATTTAAAAAAAAAATTCCCCCCAATAAATATCATTAAAAAAAAAAAAAGCATACAAGCAGCCCCTCATTTATGCATGTTCAATATGTATGTGACCATGTATACGTGCATTGTACTGACCTTGGAAGTGACACAAAAATGTTATAAAGATTTCGCTAAATATCATTAAAAGGGCGGAACAGGAGTGGGGTGGAGGCGGAATGAGATGTTTGTGGGCTTTTTCTATGGGCTTCAATTATATGTGATTTTATGTAACCCCAGTATGTACAGGGGGCTGCCTGTATTTAATAGAAAACAAACATTCTCCTTTCTAAACTGACATAAACTTTATTGTTCGTTCTGAAGATCCCATTACAAATACAAGAGCCAGGTATTATTTTTATTTTAGCCCGTGAATACAAAATTGGGCTCAGACCTGGGAAGCTCAGGTTCTGGCTAGAGCTCAACTACTGAGCCAGGCTTGCAAAACAGAAAAGGACAATGTACCTGATCTTTGGCAGGTACTTCTGCACTCTCAACATCCCTACTATAGGTTAGCCAAATGGAACTGCTCCTCATCCTGAGCTTTAGGGCTCAAGTGGGATGTTTAACAGTTAAGCTAGACTGTGACTGTAAAAACATTCCCTAATGAAAAACATTTGGGGTTCTTTTTTTTTTAAAAAATACACACATTTTCTCTGAAAGATAATCCCTTTCAGAACATGGGATATAGCAACAAACCAATCACATTATGCACCTTTGCAAGGTTGCTGCATTTTCTCTGGGACAGGCCGCTATGCCCTCTCACCCACAACTACCATACCCAAGATTCCTTGGGGACAGAAAAATGTGGTGCTAAACCGGTTTAACGCCACACACCCTCAACAGCATCACAAATGAAGTTTTTCACCGAGGCCCTCATGCCTACCTTACACGTTTATTTTTATTCTATTTATTTATTAAATTTATTTACTGCCCTTCATCAAAGGATCTCAGGGAAGTTCACTGAATAAAATACAAGACTATTATAAAATTATGGAGGAGAAATCTGTAATGGAAAACTCACCAACCCCACTGAGACAGTAAAAGGCGGTATTTTTCCAGATCTCCCCCAACAGGCTATGAGAGACAACCTTGAGCCACCAATCTGTTTCAAACGTTTAGAATTTGCATGGGGGTGGGAAGTGAAAACACGCCTGATGGCACACACCCCGGTAAATAGAAAAACATCAAGACAGCTATTTAAAAAAGAAAATAAGATGGTTAACCGCTTTCACAAGAGCCAACTCATAGGGGCAAATAAATAAATATCTGAGGGGGCTGCTTCCCCCCAAAAAGTTGATGAGCATCGCCATCCAAATGGTGTGAAAGTGCTGAGCATCAATGCGATCAATGACACGGGCTGAGGCTTATGGGGGGGGGGATATTTTCTTCAAGTTATTGTTATTACTTATTACATTTGTAATCTGATTTCTTTCCGCAGGGCCTGTAAGACAGAGTTGTTCCACCTGGCCTTTGGCTTAAAATCAGTTTGATTCCCTCCCCCTCTTTCTTTTTCCTTTCTCCTCCTGTGAAGAGGCTGCATCCTTAATGTTTTAATGTTGTATTTTAATCTTGTTTTTTAAATTGTGTTTTAATCAACATGTTTTTATTATTGGTTGTTAGCCACCCTGAGCCCGGTCTTGGTTGGGGAGGGCGGGGTATAAATGAAATTTATTATTATTATTATTATTATTATTACATTTGTTAGTTGCTTTACCTTGACCAAGGCAACCCAGAGCAACTTAGTACTGTACAACGAAAAAAATATAGCCAGTAATATGAATTTGAAATATGGAATAGACGGGAGGTTGGGTCTTTAGTGTTAAGACCAATAGATGTTTTATTGTTTGCTAAGAAAATTATGTGTCTATGGTTATTCTTTTGTGTAATTTGGTATTTGTGGTTTTTTTTTCTTTTCTTGTATCAATAAAAAACTTTATTAAAGAGAAGAAAAGAAAAAAATCTAGCCAGTTTGCATGGCACGAAGTAGCCCCAAAAGTTGGCACCCCTGACTCCTTTACCTCTGCCACAGGAGCCAACTCCTGGGGGTTGACCTCTAATAAAATAAAATATTTGAGAGAGCCGGGCCAGCCCTCCCCCCCCAAAAAAGTTGACGGCCGTTGACATTCAAACGGTGTGCGTGCACCCACGTCATATGATCGATCTTGTGGGGCTGGGCTTACCTACCCCCCCCAAAAAAACATTTTATTCGAGTTGGCACTCCTTCTTGGCTCTGACAGCTGCAACTCGCCCACAGGCGGAGCCGCCTCAACCCTATCCCTTTCCCAAGCCCATTTCACTCGCTTGCACACGCACCAAGTCCGCGAAGCCAGAGGGAAAAGGAGCTTCGGCCTCTCTCTCTCCCTCTCTCTTACCTGAACGTCGCCGTCGGTTGAGGCAGCCGCAGCTTCGGCGGCCATGGCCACCCTCCCCACCATCCGCCTTCTTTCCTCAGCAACGGCCGGCGGTTTCTCTCGCCTCTCAGCTCAGCGGAGGAAGGTCCTCGGAGCCATGAAGGAGGCAGGCGCTCGCTCGACGGAGGCCGCCTTTGGACTCCCGCCGGCCGGCCGGCCGGGACAGAGGAGAGCGAGGAGAGCGAGAGATCCTGTCAGAAATTCGCGCGCCAGACAACAATCGGGCAGAACTAGAAAAGCGCGCGCTGGAGGGATTCCGAGCTCCGCGGCTGCGGTGGGCGGGGCGTGCGCCTCTGGAGCTCACGTGACAGGGGAGCGCGCAGCCGCCTTCCTTCCCCCCCAACCTTCTCCCGTGTCACGTGAGCTGCTCCCAGCCCAATGTACTGTAAAGGGACCAGACTTATCTCGGGGTGGAATCGCGCCCCAACCCCCCCTCCTGCTTTTCTGTTTTCTCGCGACAACGTGGCCTCTCTCGAAGGAAAAAGCCTCACGCGCGGCTTTTTCGAACTGCAGTTCGCCGGCGGCTGGAGCTCCCTTGACAGGTGCATTTAAAGCACGTCAGGAGCACACAGAATTATAGAACTGTAGAGTTGGAAAGGGACCTCCCAAGGGTCATCTAGTCCAACCCCCTGCAATGCAGGAATGCCTTTTCTATATATCCTGGGAACTGTAAAGTGTGTTGTTAAAGGTGCTGGGAATTGTAGTTCTGTGTTGGGGGGAAACTGCAATTCCCAGAATTCTCTGGGAGAAATGGCATGGGCATAGCTGAGCTAAATCTTCAAAAAGTATAGAAAAGCATTAAAAATACAGTACTGAATTAAAGGAGTCGAAATAAAAAATTAAAAAATAGTCCAGTTTCAGGTTAAGAACAGACCTCCAGAACGAATTAAGTACGTAACCAGAGGTACCACTGTACCTAGAACAAACTTAGTTGGTCTCTAAGGTGCTACTGGACTATTTTTTAATTTATTCCGACTGCATCAGACCAACACGGCTACCTACCTGAATCTTGAGTTTCTGCCTCACCCCTCAGCAGAAATCTGCTCCCGTAACAAAAGTCTGCCTCCCCTAATGGGAGATTTGGGGGGGGGATCTTTACCCATGATTTAAGTACTTAATTTGTTCTGGAGGTCCGTTCTTAACCTGAAACTGTTCTTAACCTGAAGCACCACTTTAGCTAATGGGGCCTCCCGCTGCTGCCGCGCCGCCAGAGCACGATTTCTGTTCTCATCCTGAAGCAAAGTCTTAACCTGAAGCACTATTTCTGGGATAGCGGAGTCTGTAACCTGAAGCGTATGTAACCTGAGGTTCCACTGTATTTACAATTTGAACTGAGTAAATGCATTGATCATTGCATGACGCATGCATGCATCACTGAACATTTTTACAGCAAAATAAATAAATAAAAACCCCAAGTACTAAGACTCCCGTCTTAATTTACCCATTGTCTCAACTTCCTCTCCATCCCCCGCCCTGCGATGCCTCTGCGAGAGAAAGCGAGCCTACAAAAAGGGGCGCGAGGCCAGGAAGAGGAGAAGGGGAAGAGGGGCGGGGAGAATCCCCCAGACCCCGCCCTTTTCCTGCGCCTGCCGACGGCGCTGGGTGCCCGGATGCGGGCCGCTTCCGGGTGTGAGGCCGCTGCCAGCAGTAGGTCCGCTCGCGGCCTGCGAGCCTCTCTCTCTCTGTCTCCCCGCCGACGGGGACGGAATGGAGACGGAGGCGTTGTTGCTGGAGGCTCGCGAGAGCGTCGAGGCGGCGCGCACCTACCGCCGCGAGCTGCAGCAGCGCCTGAAGGGGCTGCAGTTGGCCCGGCAGCAGGTAACGGGGGCGCCGGGTGGAGCAGCTGAAGGGGACCGGGAGGTGTTGCAAAGCGCTGCGGAGCCCCTCTCAGGCTGCAGCTGAGATATCCCTGCCGAGGGTCGGGGCAATTCGGTATGGTGTCGGTATTGCTCCTTCTCTACTCCTGACAGGGCTTTTTGCGCCTTCTCTGCAGCGACGGCTGCTGCTCCTCCCGAGGGCGCCAGGAGGAAACGTTTTTATCTCTCTCTCTAGTCTATTTCTTTGGCTTTTTTGAATATCCTTTTAAACGTGTTTGCTAGGCGGGGCTTATTAGTTTGTTCTGGGTTTTTGCGTTGTGTTTTTTGTTGTTCTCTTTTCTTTTCGTTTTTTTGAATAACTTTATTATTATTATTATTATTATTATTATTTCCAAGATTTTAAAAACAATATATTTCCATATATATATATATATATATATATATATACCTGGCGTGCTCTGGTCCATGGGGTCACGAAGAGTCGGACACAACTAAACGACTAAACAACAACTATATATATATATATATATATATATATATATATATATTTGTCCAGTAGCACCTTAGAAACCAACTAAGTTTGTTCTGGGTATAAGCTTTCGTGTGCATGCACACTTCTTCAGATACCAACATTTTTCCATTCATCTTGACACCAAATTCATCTTGTCTGACTTCCCCCGCCCCCCACTGGTTTCCAATTTTTTTTACATTTCTTCCCCTTGCATACAATTACTTTTCCAATTCATTTTTTAATTCTTATTTTTTAACTAATATATCAAATTACTTCATAAATGCTACACCAATCCTGCTAATCTTTTAACATATTTACATTGTTCTTTGACATCTATAAATTTTATCCAATCTTGCTTGAGTTTCTTCTCGTCTTTTTTTGAATAACTCTTTATCTGGTTTTATAAAACAAGAATAATGTTATATAAATAAGTATACCAAGTTTTCTCATGTCATTTGTATGTCACAAAAATAGCATAATAAATGTGGAGTAATATCAACAACATATGGTTCATTATTAGTGGTCAGTGTATAAGTTATTGGTTCATGAACTGGTTTAAACAAAGGGGAAATAGGATAGAAGAGAATCTTTTTTTTTTTTTTGTAGGAAGAAAAGAGGGGGAAAGAAGGGATGGGGGTGGAAATGGTAAGTGGGATGGTGTCGGGTGGTTATGTTGTGGTGTTCTCGTTTTGAATTTTTCATGCCACAAACCACCTTGGTAATCTTTGGGTGAAGGGCGGTATACAAATTTAATAAATGATGATGATGGTGGTGATAATCAGTGCTTTTTTTCCTGGGGAAAAGGTGGGGGAACTCACCTTGAAAGTTAGTTGGTTAATTATGGGCCTAGTGCCCCCCACACACATAGACACCCCACAGGCGGTGGCAAAATATTAATATGTATGTGATTAAGGAACTTGAGCAGACAATGATATGGATCAGAAATGGCCACAACTTTATTGATTACAGGTATAGGTGGATTTTGGTCTCAGGTATAGGGTGTATGTCCGTTCCGGCCCCCGCAGATAATAATAATAATAATAATTTGATTTTTTTAAAAAAGATAAGGGAACTCAAGATGCCCCGAGTTCCTGTTCAAAAAGCCCACTTATTATTATTAATAATAGGCATCATCAGTGTGCTCTTGTGCCATAGCCAAGGGCAAAACTGGACATTATGTTGCCTGGGTCAAAGACTCAGTTTGGCATCTAAGAGCAATAGCTATTGTGGGAGGGGCGGGGGAGTTAGCTGAGTTTCTTGCTCCTAGTGAAGCTTGCAAAGGGGCTCCATTGAGGCTTCCATCCATGGATATCTATGTAGCTGGCTGCACATTGTTTTTTGTATTTTGAAAAGAAGTTCTTGCTTGTTTTGATTATGATCCCTATAGGAGCTAATTTTTAATGAGCTCAGACAGCTCCTGTGTGTCTTAGACAGGAATTAAGTAGATATTAGATCTGCTTGCTGACCTCTTCCAAATGTTTGAAGACATTTTTGCCTCTTTAGAACCAGGTTAATTAAATAACTCTGAAATTATATAAAATACAAACATAAATTATAAAAGCAATTTCACTGAGTATGCACCTCACTGTAGTAATGGTCACAGAGGTAGCCGTTTTAGTTTGTGTTGCAGCAAGAAGTAACAAACTTATCATTAAATAGAGTCCACTTCATCAGATGCATGAAATATTATCCCCACTTGCAGGAGGATTGTAATCGGTGAGATTAGGGGGGAATTAAGTCCAAAAAAATTCAGATAGTGGACAATTCAATAAAAGCTTGAAGGTGTGCAAAAATAAGCACAGTGACCCTTCTCTTCATAGCAGAAGTGACAGGTGAAACACAATCAACTTAGCAATACTGGGTTAATTAATATCTGCAGTGAGACAGGAAACTCTTGTTTTTGTACAGACCCAAAAGAAACTCTTAATAAATTGTAATCCATCTGCTTTACATTGGAGCTCCCTTTGAAATCTCTTTGTTCAAGAATGCCCCCCTTATGATCAGCAACAGAAATCAGCTGGTTTTTTTAATATTGCCATTTCACCACGACAGATTTGTACTCATTGATTCTTTTCCAAAAGCCTGCTTGACCTATCCGGAATGTGCTGCCTTGTTGTAGCGTGGTTAAATAAGGGATTGGAGCTCCTTCCCAGTGAGGAAAGGGTTTTTGATTTAGAAAAAAATATTCACAGAACATAATTGTTCTCACTGGGTTCACTGCCACTGGCTTGTGTCTGGAATGGCCAATTTCTTGTTTGACTTTAAAAGTGGATTAGACAACAGTATGGAGGATTGGTCTATCGGTGTCTTTTATACATGATCACCTAATGAAACCAACCTGTTCAGAGGCACTTTGCTACTGAAGACCAGTTGCTATTAGGAAGTAGGCTGGCAAGCTTCCTTGAATTCCTTGGTTGGTAGATCTTTGGTGGTCTGTTCCAGCTAGGCTACTCTTGCATGCAGTCAAGACCTGCAGCCGGATACAAAGGGTTAGTTTGAGTGGGATTTTCTTCCAAGGAAGTTGGTGTTGAATTTCAGCCTTAGGAAATGTCTAGAACAATGTAACAGTGTCATCATCAAGGTACAATCTGGAAAAGTGCCCACTGTTACATACAGGGTTGTACAACAGCCAGTCTTGCTTGCCACACTGTAAGCAACATTGAAAACATGCGTTGGTGGTGTGAGCATTTAGGCAAGAGAGAAATCTGTACTGCACATACTTCATTCTAACATTTGGTTTATTGGTCTTGCCTTCTGTTTAACCTCGTGTTGTGTGTGCATATTTAAGCTCAGTACTGTTTTGAGAATACTTGCTTTGATTTCTTTGAGTTGTTATCAGGGCACATGTTAATATTTGGGTTATAGGGGCTGAAGGGCAGGGGAAGGCTAAGACTGAGTGATTGCTCTGAAAGCGTTATGCTCCTCTCATTCTCAATTATTTTTCTATGTAGCCGTGAACTTTAGCATAGTGGCTGAAATGCTTTCATAGGCTTACCCAACTTGGTGGCTCTACTCTCTCTTACACAAGCCTCAACATATAGGATGCAGTGGAGTATTTTGACCATTATGCGTCACTGTAATTTTTCTTTAAAGCTTTGGCTCCAAAGCCATAATTTTGTGAGCATGTATGTGCACGTCTTTCAAGTTCCCACAGTTGGATAGTCAGGGCAGATTGAGTAAAACTGATTCCTTTATGTAAAAGGAAAGCTTGGACATGCTAGGTGGTGGGTGCTATGAAGCTCCCTTGCTTAAACATTAACCACAGTTTAGGATTCAGATGACATGCTAAACTGTGATTAATTTCAGAAGTGAAATCTCCCAGAATTTGATTGGTAAATGAAAGCAAAACTTCTTGGACTGTTGTCTATTACTGTCTTGTTGGCCTGTTAGTTCTGTGCCCTCCAGCAACAGCCAATACAGTGGTACCTCGGGTTAAGTACTTAATTCGTTCCGGAGGTCCGTTCTTAACCTGAAACTGTTCTTAACCTGAAGCACCACTTTAGCTAATGGGGCCTCCTGCTGCCGCCGCGCCGCCGGAGCACAATTTCTGTTCTCATCCTGAAACAAAGTTTTTACCTGAAGCACTATTTCTGGGTTAGCGGAGTCTGTAACTTGAAGCGTATGTAACCTGAAGCGTATGTAACCCGAGGTACCACTGTAACTGCTTTCATTTAGCCAATATTTTCATGGCACCCTCTTTACCGCAGAAAAGGCAATATTTAACTACAACTGCTTATCTCTAAAACTTCTCAGACTCTTGGTGCCTGTTGCTGCCAACGTCTTCTGTTAGTGCCGGATAAATGTTTCCTGCAAAATCCAGATGCTATTTGGCCTTGTATTTGTGCATCTAATCTCTCTAATCCAAACAACTGTAGGTGGATCGGCGTAGTTACTTCCATTGTTGATGCTGTTCAGGCAGTGAGATAGCCATATGTTGACTTTAAGGCCAGGTGTTGATGTGAACCTGGAGAATGTCAAGGGCCAGTGTGGTGCAATGGTTACAACGTTGAACTTGGACTGGAGAGATTTAAGATCAGCCATGGAGCTAACTGGGGCTGCACCCTTCTCCCCACGTGCCTGGGCATCAGCCTCATTGAATTTAAAATGACTTGCTTCTGATTGGGCGCAGTGAATAACCTTGTTCTTTTTGGAGCATTCTTGTTCTTGGCCTAATCTTCCTTAGTCCAAGCTGTGACTAACATGCTCCAGGAATCCTGGGACAACGGAGCCTTTAGTATTGAGATTCTGTTAAAAACATGAATTTGCAGTATGGTTACCCAAGTTTTCAAGCAAGTCCACATAACTCACTGGTCCACAATATTAGATAGAACACCTGTCCACATGGGCTTTTGGTCATCATTTGTGGCCCAAATAAGAGAAAACAGAACCAACTCAGAGCTGTAGCCTAGAGACACTTATTGCTTGCCCCAGATGTGCAACCAAGAAGCCTCTTCTAATCAAATGTAGCTGCCTGCAGGCAGTGTTTTTTACGCCGGGGCAAGCTGGCATCTTAGATGGCATCCTGTTCTTAACCAAAGTCCTGTTCTTTGATTAGCCTTGGCATTAACGTTTCTGAATAAGATACAGTACTTGCATTTTCTGACCAAAGTATTGCACCAGTGCAAAAAGGATCCCTGACGCAATTGATGGAATCACACTTAATGTTACTTTTTCTCCACTCTGCTTCTGCGTTCTGCATCCCTCTTCATACACAACTGCCCATTCATGCAAGTGCCTGCTCATAAATTCATAGAAATGGAGGAGGCTGTATTATAGACCATCTTGTGTGACTGCCTGCTTGATGGAAGAAATCTAGAACTCTAGAGAACATTCTGGCTGAGGCTTATAAGAGTTGGACTCGCAACAACCTTTGCAGGATCCCAGATTGCCCATCCCTGACCTAAAGTACAGTGGTACCTCGGGTTAAGTACTTAATTCGTTCCGGAGGTCCATACTTAACCTGAAACTGTTCTTAACCTGAAGTACCGCGCCGCCAGAGCACAATTTCTGTTCTCATCCTGAAGCAAAGTTCTTAACCTGAAGCAATATTTCTGGGTTAGCGGAGTCTGTAACCTGAAGCGTATGTAACCCGAGGTACCACTGTAAATACTTTTTTTTCTTGCCCAGGCATTTTATATGCTGTTTGAACAGTTTCCTTTGCTAACTTTTTAAAAAAAGTGTATTCTTTTTATTCCAATGTGAATGTAGCTTTCATTATTTTTAACCTTGGTAAACAGCCCTGGAATCTGTTTCAGTGAAGGATAATATATGCGATTAATTTTTAAGAGACCTTACACTACTGCAGTTGTTCTGTCCTGAGTTGCCGCATCAGTGGTTTGTTCCCCTAACATGGATGCTTTATTTATTGTGCTGGATAAATAATATACTGTACCAGCTGATAAGTTGAGATTTACTCATGCAGCCACCTGGCCCTATGTCCCTTTTTTTTGCCTTGCACAGCATGGTGGAGGATCTGGCCTAAAAGATCTAGGGGGAGAAAATAGTGCTTCCCTTCTCTTTTTCCTGCCACTTCTGTTTTATGTATACTTCCTTTTTTTTCTGAAGCACTGAAAGAGCAAGTGAAGTCTTAACTGCAAGGGGACTTCAAAGTCCTTTGAATGTGGCTTAAAGAGGAAGTTAAGCTTTACATAATGGTAGAGCATCCTGTGTTTTTCTGAAGATCAAGAAGTTACATCTGGCTAACATCTCTGCAGCCTCTCTGATTGAGAGAAACGTTTTAAACAACTTTTCCATCTGGACCAGGATTGATTTCTCTCCTACTGAGTAGCTTAATTCTCTTTCCAAACCAGATTAAATTTACAAACTAGCTCTTTATCGTGTGAAATGGTTATTGCAAAATCATTTTGGCATCTTGCGGAGGTGATTGCTCACAGAAAGTCTGTTCTGAAATTCGGCTGCTCTGCTTAGCATAAATTAGGCACGTTGCCGTACAATTAGTGCCAATTTTTAAATTTGCACCACTGGCTTCTCTTTCCTTGCATCGTTGCATTGCTGATTGCATGAAGCTGTTGATTAAAGGAGGGTGGCAGCAGAGGACCTTTCTGGAATGGATGAGAATGGCTTGTGCCCAATCACTCTTTCCCCCCCTTTATGCCTGGTTTTCAGGACAGAAACTGCCCACGCTGCTTTTCTACTTAATGTAAGCAAGATGCTTTGTTCTGTTTTGTTAATCAAGGATGTGCGGAATTCTGGGGGGAAGTTCCGCCTAATTCTGTCGTAGTCATTCTGCTTCCCCATTGCAGTGCAGATCCTTTTGATGAGCGATGCCAAGTGACATCCATAGGCTACGCCAGATGTGGTGTGGGAAGACCTGTAATCAGCTCTCCTGTTTTCTTTTTTAAACTTTAAATTGGATGCAAGGAGCACCAAGTTCAATTGCAGCGACGAGAGGGGGAGATGCTCTTCCTTCCTGTGCCATTCCTCCAGTCTAAATCGTATTATTAAAATAGTTTGTAGGGATCAGCACAAAATGTCAAGATGTCTGTGTATTCAAGAACATGGGTTATGAAAATGCCATATTTTTTGCTCTGTAAGACTCACTTTTTCCCTCCTAAAAAGTAAGGGGAAATGTGTGTGCGTCTTATGGAGCGAATGTAGGCTGCACAGCTATCACAGTAGCTAGAACAGCAAGAGGGATTGCTGCTTTCACTGCGCAGCGATCCCTCTTGCTGTTCTGGCTTCTGAGATTCAGAATATTTTTTTTCTTGTTTTCCTCCTCCAAAAACTAGGTGCGTCTTGTGGTCTGGTGCGTCTTATAGAGCGAAAAATACGGTAAATGAATAAAATTGTAGTCTCACAAAGTGCTTACAAATGTGTTTACAGCCCCGCTCCCCAAACCAGCTGTTAAACTGCCTGGGGAGGGGTATATGTCTCTTCCCCCCTCCCCATGGAGCTAACTGTAACTTTGAGAGGGGAGTGGTTTTTACTTTGGAGACCTTGTTTCTTAGATTTATGAATACAGATTGGGCTGTTCATTCTCGTTTTCTGACAGGTATAAATAATTAAATTGATGATGATGATTGTATTCCTGTAAGTTTTCTCTATTGTACTACATGGTTTTGAGAGCTCTCCTGCACCCTGTGATGTTACTACAGTCATACCTTGGTTTTCGAACAGCTTAGTTCACAAACAAATTGGAGCTCGAACACTGCAAACCCGGAAGCAAGTGTTCCAGTTTGTGAACTTTGCCTTGGAATCCGAACGTCCAGCGCGGCTTCCGATTGGCTGCAGGACGCTCCTGCAGAACACTCCTGCAGCCAATCGAAAGCTGTGCCTTGGTTCTTGAACATTTCAGAAGTTGAACGGACTTCTGGAACGCATTCTGTTTGAAAACCAAGGTACAACAAATTCTGAATGGCAAGAGCCTGATTGGTTTTGGCCCTGCCCCAATTGGCCCGGCTTCTCATGCCTTTTGTCTCCTTCCAGATCAAAGAGAGTGCGGCACTGACAAGGGATGTACTTGAGCAGCATTTTAATGACTTGAAAGGGACCTTGAGAAAGCTTCTGGATGAGCGGTTGGTGTCCTTGCTACAAGAAGTGGATGGCATCGAAGAGGAGAGCATCAAACCATTGGACGAGTGCCGAAAGCTAATAGAACAGGGCGTTGGCACGGCTGATGAACTCCTCCGGGAAGGTAGGAGGCTATCTTAAAAACATGCCAGTTCTTTTTGAGCGTGGGGGCTCCCCCCCAAAACCCCACACTTGTTTACAACACGCATGCAGGGATTACACTGTCTTGCCCCACTCCTCTGTCAATGATGCCCCCTGCACCAGTGTGGTGTAGTGGTTAAGAGCGGTAGTCTCGTAATCTGGGGAACCGGGTTCACGTCTCCGCTCCTCCACATGCAGCTGCTGGGTGACCTTGGGCGAGTCACACTTCTCTGAAGGTCTCTCAGCCTCACTCTCCTACAGAGTGTTTGTTGTGGGGGAGGAAGGGAAAGGAGATTGTTAGCCACTTTGAGACTCCTTAGGATAGTGATAAAGCGGGATATCAAATCCAAACTCTTCTTCTTCTTCTTCTTCTTCTTCTTCTTCTTCTTCTTCTTCTTCATCTTAGGTGACAGTTGACTGGTCCTGCTTAGGTACCAATATACACATACAAGACACCTCCAAGCGATGTAGAATCTCAATTGGTTCCTCCCTTGGGTGGAAGGAACCGAATGCACGTATGATATTATGCACTTGGAGCCTGTCCACATGACTACCAGGCATGCAGGGTCTCTGATTGGTACACCCACACACATCATTGTTGAGGGGGTGGGACTAGCTGCTGCAACACCCCCTTCGCACATGTTTTCAGCGCATGCAAATGTTTATGTGTAACATGCCCTCCACACACACACACAATAGTTACATTTCATTTAAGGTACACATGGCATCAACTAAGCTCATTGTGCTAGATTGGCCTTCCCCAATTCCCATCAGACTCAGCCAGCCTGGCCAATGGGCAGGGATGATGGCAGTGGCGTGCGGTGAATTTTTTTGCAGGTGAACAATTAGGGCCAGAGGCACCAGCTTGCAAGGGTGATTTTTTTTCTGAGGTGGGGGGACGTCATGCAAGTGACGTCTTGACATCGCGTGCGTGAGCATCGCACCTCCCTCCCTCAGCCAGGAAGAAGTTTCTCTGGCTTTGGGAAGGAGATACCAGGCCTCTGAAAGGATGCTGGAGCCTTCCTTCCCCAAACCGGATGGGCTCTCTACAATAGAATTATAGAGTTGGAATGGATCTTGAGGACCATCTAGTCCAACCCCTGCAATGCAAGAATCTCAGCTAGATAATACATGACAGATTACCATCCAACCTCTGCTTGAAAACCTCCAAGGAAGGAGAGTCCACCATCTCTCGTAGGAGTCCGTTCTTACTGTTGGAAAGTTCTTCCTGAAGTTTAGTCATAATCTCATTTCTTGTAAGTTGAATTCACTGGATCGGGTCCTAGCCTCTGGAGCCATTACATCTGTTGTAGAAATACCTTCTGATGCAGAATTGAATGTTGCATGTGTCCAGTTGCTGTCTCCAGGTCAGGGTTGCCTTTTCTCAATCAAAAAAAAAAAAAAAGGTAAAGGACCCCTGACAGTTAAGTCCAGTCACAAACGACTCTGGGGTTGTGGCACTCATCTCGCTTTACTGGCCGAGGGAGCTGACATTTGTCCACAGACAGTTTTTCCGGGTCATGTGGCCAGCATGACTAAGCCACTTCTGGTGAAACCAGAGCAGTGCACAGAAACGCCGTTTACCTTCCCGCCAGAGCTGTACCTATTTATCTACTTGAACTTTGATGTGCTTTCGAACTGCTAGGTTGGCAGAAGCTGGGATGGAACAATGGGAGCTCACCCTGTCGTGGGGATTCGAACCTCCGACCTGCCAATCGGCAAGCCCAAGCCTCAGTGGTACACCACAGCACCACTTTTCTCAATAGGAACCTCTTAATTTTTATTTTTTATTCCAGGAGAAACTGTCATCCATGGTGTAACAGGGGAGGAGAGTGACAAGCTTTGCAGCTTTACCAAAAAGGCATTGCATATTCAGCTGGATAGGTAAGAGCATGGGTAGGCAAACTAAGGCCCGGGGGCTGGATCCGGCCCAATCACCTTCTAAATCCAGCCCGCAGACGGTCCGGGAACCAGTGTGTTTTTACATGAGTAGAATGTGTCCTTTTATTTAAAATGCATCTCTGGGTTATTTGTGGGGCATAGGAGTCTGTTCATTCTTTTTCTCTAAACTATAGTCCGGCCCCCCACAAGGTCTGAGGGACAGTGGACCAGCCCCCTGTTGAAAAAGTTTGCTGACCCTGGGTAAGAGCCATGAATTGAGGGTGGAAGTTTGATACTTGTGTGACTGGCTGATAATGGGTGTCAGGGTTGATTTAGAGCTCCCTTTTCCCAATTTAGGACAGTTGATCTGAATGAGAAACACCTCTTTTTTTAAAAAAAAAAAAGGTACAGTCTAGACCAGCCTTTCCTGACCTGGTGTCCTCCAAATGTTTTGGGACTGATGGGAGCTGTAGTCCAGAACATCTGGAAGGTGCAAGGTTGGGCAACGCTGGTTTAGACTTCCCTGGCCTGTTAGTACATGAACTAGCAAGACTGGTGTTCATAGCAGCATTTAACCTTCCAACTCAAAGCACTGTCTGGTCATCATTTGAAATGCCTGGATTTCAGAAGAGATTACTGTGAAACTCAAGTAGGCTAAATTTTGGGTTTTGTAAAAAGCTTTTTGAGGTTGGGGAGATAATCAAATACATGTGCACTCTCTTGTAAATCCTGTCTATGTAAACAAATCAAGAGCACCAAACCTTTGTTGATTCTTTGAAAACAGTTGCTTATCAAGTTACTAGCAGTGCTGAATAGTCTCTCCCTCTGTCTCTCTGTGTCTCTCTCTCTCTCTAGTTTGCCAGAAGTACCATCCTTAGTTGATGTGCCTTGTTTATCTGCCCAGTTGGATGACTCTCTCCTTACAGTAGTGAGAAATCAGATCTTTAACCATGGAACAATAGCATCTCGACCACCAATACAGATAGAAGAGCTGATTGAGAAGCCTGGGGGCATCATTGTTAAGTGGTGCAAGGTGGGTGGAAAAGAGTCTTTTCAAGATCAGTCTCCAATATGCACTTTCTTTCTTTTTGTTTGTGCTTTAATCACTTTAATCACTTTCATTTAAGTGGGTGGCGCTGTGGGTTAAACCACAGAGCCTAGGGCTTGCCGATCGGTAGGTTGCGGTTCGAATCCCCGCAACAGGGTGAGCTCCCATTGCTCGGTCCCTGCTCCTGCCAACCTAGCAGTTTGAAAGCACGTCAAAGTGCAAGTAGATAAATAGGTACCACTCCGGCGGGAAGGTAAATGGCATTTCCTTGCTCTGCTCTGGTTTGTCAGAAGCAGCTTAGTCATGCTGGCCACATGACCAGCCAGTAAAGCGAGATGAGCGGCGCAACCACAGAGTCGTCTGCGACTGGACCTAACGTTCAGGGGTCCCTTTACCTTTAAGACAGTTTGTGATTATTGATTCTCAGGCAAGACAGTTTGCAATTACTCTGACCTCATAGACTGAAAGTCCAATCCTAACCAGGTATACTCAGGAGTAAGTCCTGTTGAATTCGGGGGGGGGGCTTACTCCAGGGTAAGTGGGGTGTAGGATTGCAGCCTTAGCTGGCTATGATATTTTTTGCATTCCATGTTTTAAAAAATCTGTCTTTTTCTGCTTTGCCTTGGAATGTTTTAGACAGTTTCTGCAGACTTCTTGAAGTTCTTTGCAAAACCAAAATTAACTTGCAGCATCTATAAGCAAAATCAAGAAGAAGGGTACAGAAAAGATGCCTTCCTCTCTCTGCATTGACCCAAATTATTCCCCTTTTGAAATTACAGTATATTTCATTGCTTCATATTTCATAGACTCAGGAAGCTTCTCCACAAATTAAAGACTTTCTCATGAATTCATATTACAAGTAGCAGTTTTTAACTCCATGATTGTGTGGCTTACAAATACCTACTTTGAGATGGTTCCCTAAACAGATATGCAGTGCATTTTTGGATAACTTTTTGCTTTTAAAAAAAGAAGTAGCCAGCCTACATAGTGAGTGAAGACAGATATCTCACTAATGATTGCAAACAGCTACAATGTTCACATATTGATTTATTTAAATTATTATTATTATTATTATTATTATTATTATTATTTTATTGTGTCTTTAGGCCAAGGTTAGGAACAATACACATAACATTGCTGTATAGGAGAGCAGGATACAAATGCAATACAATAGTAACTACCCTCAACAACCCGTTAAAGAAAACACAACTCCACAAGGATAGTCAATGCAGTAATAAAATAGGACCATCATGTCATCAACTGCTTCCTGGTCTTCTCTGCCTCCGACAGGATTTATGCTGCAGTCAATGAAACTCCAGTGTTCAAGGGAGACTTTGGTAGTCTACATGGCTTCCTTTTCCCTTCCTTGTGATTTCTTGCGACTCTCGACTGCCACTTCTCCTTTGTTCCGTCCTTTTCCTTCTGAAACTGTGCAGGTTGTTTGTTTATTTACTTATATGCCATTTGCATGCCAAAATAACTTGTAAGCAGTATAAAATAAATTACTTGTTTTGTTTTGTGTTTTAAAAACACAACATAATTAAATTTCACAATAAAGCAATGCCCTCAATAAATCATTAAAAACCATACAGTAAAAACCAGCCCTTTCAGAAGCATAGCAATTAAACCGACTCAAAATACAATTAAAACAGTTGGATCAGATAGTTTAAAGTTCAGGGGAATGCTTGTCTAAACAAGTTATTGGAGCCCCCATGCCTGTTTCTTTTTCTTTCCACAAAAATTACAAAGAGTGAGTTCAAATGAAACATGCAAGCTGAGTCCTTTTTGCAAATCGAACATCGGTTTGCATAATTATCTGTTTACGCTGTTTTATTCAGAACACACAATTGAACTTTCTGGGCACCCAAATTTTCATTTATTTATTTGCTGCAGAATGCAGTTACCGCTGATATTTTTCTCCTTTCGCTGCTGTGATATGAGAGCTTGTGTTGCCCTCCTTCCCCTTGGGAGAGGTTTCTTGAGGACTTCCTGACCAGTGTGACCCTGAGCCAGCAAAGATCACGTGTTGCTGCTTTGCAATATTACCTTGACAACGTTGCACTTCGGAGAGCTAGCAAGATAGTTGAATTGGAGGAAGATTAAAGGCAGTGTGTTTATCCAATAACTGGGCTCTGTTTCAGGTCGATGAGGACTTTGTGCCACAAGATTACAGGCTTCAGTATCGTAAGAGTACGGCCGGCCACTTTGAAGATGTGTATGTCGGCTCGGACACAGAATTCATAGTGCTCCATATTGATCCCAATGTTGATTACCAGTTCAGGGTTTGTGCACGAGGAGATGGCCGCCAAGAATGGAGCCCGTGGAGTGTTTCTCAGACTGGTCGTTCCACCTTGGTGCCCCATGGTATTATTCTTCGCATTTATTATTATTATTATTATTTACTATATGTATCCCGCCCATCTGACTAGATTGCGCCAGCCACTCTGGGCGGCTTCCAGCATATACAGAAACATAATAAAACACCAAACATTAAAAACTTCCCGAAACAGGGCTGCCTTCAGATGTCTTCTAAAAGTCAGATAGTTGTTTATTTCCTTGACATCTGATGGGAGGGTGTTCCACAGGGCGGGTGCCACCACCAAGAAGGCCCTCTGCCTGGTTCCCTGTAACCTGACTTCTTGCAGTGAGGGAGCTGCCAGAAGGCCATCGGAGCTGGACCTCAGTGTCTGGGCTGAACCATGGGGGTGGAGACGCTCCTTTAGGTATACTTGGCCAAGGCTGTTTAGGGCTTAAAAGGTCAGCACCAACACTTTGAATTGTGCTTGGAAATGTACTGGGAGCCAACGTAGGTCTTTTGGGTAACTATGAATATAATTACCATCATGATGCCCAATTGATGCGAGGGCTTGCAGAGGACTTCCCCCAAAAGGACTCACTTGGATCCTGCCCTTAGGCATTGATTCCAGAGGGACTTCTCTGTGAGTGGACGGATTTGGGTCCGGATGTAGGTGTGTTTAGGAACAGAGACTTGTCATCTTTGTAACGCTGCTGGTGTGGAGTCCCCCCCCCTCCGCCAATTTCAAAATAATGCAGTTTTCCCATTTTGGAGTGCAGACAAACGTTCTCTAAACATGAGAGCTGCAGCCCCTCTTTTCTTAGGTGGTGAGCTGGGGTCCCAACATCCTGGGAAGGCTGTGTTGCATCGCACGGCAATCTTGCACCTCCAAGTGATGCGTACATGCGTGCTAGTTCCTGTTTGCCCTTCCTTTGTTAGAATGGACGCCTGGCTTTGAAGGCTACAGCTTAAGCAGCCGAAGAAACATTGCACTTCGAAATGATTCACAAGTGGGCGGGGTGCTATACTCCAGGGCTCCAACCTACTATTGCGGTCAGACATTGACATTCCGGTAAGTCGTTTTGCTTAGGTAACGTGCTACAGCATGTTTTCCCCAGCAGGATTTTGTGTGTGTGCTTGCGTTTGTTTGTTTCTTCCTTGAGCATAGCTGTCAACCGTCCCTTATTTGGCGGGAAAGTCCCTTATCCCAGCGCTGTGTCCCACTGCTGTCTCTTATTGATGAGGTCCCTTGAATTTCCCGGGTTTCAAAGGAAGCAGCTCCTCTCCCTCCCTGCCTGCTGGCCAGGGAGGAGAGAGGCTCCAACTGTGTTGCTTGGCTGCGTTGCTCACCCAATAAGGAGTCTAAGAATGACTGGGGGTGGTGGAGCTTGCATCAGCCGTGTTGCCTGGGGACTCGCCTTTGCTCAGCGCTTCCCAGCGGAGAGGTGACGGTGGTTTTCCTTGCTGCATCCCCTTTGCCGGGTTGCTGCGCTGTGGGAACCACCGCTTGAGGCTTTGTTTGGCTGCTGGCTGGGCTTTCTGCCTTTGGCTCGGAGGGGCTCAGAAGTTGAACATACCCGTGTTCAGAAAATCCCTTATTTTGGCTGCGGATCCCTTATTTTCGAGGCTGCGGATCCCTTATTTTCAAATCTGTAAGTTGACAGCTATGTCCTTGAGAGATCTGGCCACCTGTTGTCTTGACTCAGTTTGATGCATTGTCTGATTTTACCCAGCATTCCTAACCGTTGCCTTATTTTACCCAGCATTCCTTGAGCACAAAAGGGGCAAACCTGTAGCACCAAAGGCAGTGTTAGAAACTCAAGATATATAATCTAGGCACCATGTGTCTCCTTAAACCAAGGTTACAGTTGCCAAATTGGAATGTCCAGTTGCTTTTGGGGGGCAAGATGGCTCTAAAAGTCTTTTTCTTTTCTTTTCCAAATGATGGACTGACTGATTGATTCTCAGTTAAACGTCTGGCTAGATCAGATGACAGCCTTGAGCTAGGTTAAGAACTTTGAGGACTTAAAGAAGAAAAATAACTTTATCCAGGGACAGTCCACATGTATATACTGGCCTGTTCCAACCTCTTTTTCTTAACGGTGACATGGATCATTCATAAGGTGAGAATACTCTTCACAACTGTAAGTGGGGCAGTGGGGTGGGGTAAGTGAAGACACGCTGTTGTTGTTTAGTTGTTTAGTCGTGTCTGACTCTTCGTGACCCCATGGACCAGAGCACGCCAGGCACTTCTGTCTTCCACTGCCTCCCGCAGTTTGGTCAAACTCATGCTGGTAGCTTTGAGAACAGTATCCAACCATCTCATCCTCTGTCGTCCCCTTCTCCTTGTGCCCTCCATCTTTCCCAACATCAGGGTCTTTTCCAGGGAGTCTTCTCTTCTCATGAGGTGGCCAAAGTATTGGAGCCTCAGCTTCACGATCTGTCCTTCCAGTGAGCACTCAGGGCTGATTTCCTTAAGAATGGATACGTTTGATCTTCTTGCAGTCCATGGGACTCTCAAGAGTCTCCTCCAGCACCATAATTCAAAAGCATCAATTCTTTGGCGATCAGTGAAGACACACTACAACAATTAAATATAACGTTGTTCACAGCTCCTGCTCAGGCTGCATTTTGGTTCCTGAAATTCATTCCGATTGTGCAGATAAAATATAACCGGTAGAATTCTACAGCATGCAGTATTAGTGTGTGAAAACAGTCAAGATCCAATGATCCCCAGGCACGCACCTCCAGATGGTGGAGAGGTCAGGTGCCCCAGGCATCTTTACTTGGTCGCAAGTGGTCGCTAGTTTGGTGCAAAATGCGCCTCTGGCACTTGGCTAATTTCGAACACTGGCCAAGGGTTGGCGTGGATAAAGGGCTGCACGCTACTGACCCTCAGAGATCCCTGACACTGCTGCTTCTCTTAAATAGTGGTGCAGACTGGGGGCAGAGCAGAGGTGGGGCATCTGCAGTCCAGCTTTTCTCCTCGTTCTTCTTTCATTAGATTCCAAGACGGACCATACCCACCCACCTATCCACCCATCAGTCTTAATTCAAAGATATTTGAAGCCCACTGTGCCCTAAATTGTCCTGAGTGATCCCTTATCTAGTCATTTCCTCCCTTGGCAGAGGAGCTCGCTCGTTCCGCTGGAGCCATTGCAAAGATTCCAGCTGCAGTTGCTGGTTCATTTGTGTCCAATATTTGCCACCTCCCCCTTAATTATAGATCCTACTATGCTACAGATGGCTGACTTCAGCGGAACCTCCCAGCAGGAGGAGGCTGCTCAGGCAATGTTGGCTTTCAGACTTAAACTTTCTAATTTGGGACAATGATGTTAGAAATTCTGGCACTGCTCCTGTCCCCAGGGCGATGCTGTTTGGGCCAAGGAAGGGACCCTGTGGAACTGCCCTGGTGCCAGTTGCTATTAGTAGGGTAAGAGACTTAGTCTCTGATTACACAGATGCTTAGCTTTAGGAAGCCTCATTCAATAGGCTTCCCACTCGCTCTAACCAGCTCCATATGGCCCTGGTAAGCTATTGGCAGAGGCCCTACATTGCATCCTCCTGCCTTCTCCAGCTAGGGGACGCAGGAGTGGACCTACTTGGCTGCTGCACCCAGGTCTCGAACCTGGGTGTGGCTGCCCTCCTCCCCTCTTGGCTTTCCGTCAGAGTGTCCACATTCCCACCCCCTGAGAGCACATAATGCAGCCGCCTTGCTGGAGCTGAGCTTAGTCTAGGTCTGTTCAGCGCCTGAATGGGCCATCATCTCGGAACCCCGCATAGCTTTGCTTTGAGTTCCACGATCAGAGAAAGGTGGGGTGTCATTTTTCTTTCGTTTTTAAAATAATTGTTGTTGTTGTTTAGTCGTTTAGTCGTGTCCGACTCTTTGTGACCCCATGGACCGGAGCATGCCAGGCACTCCTGTCTTCTACTGCCTCCCGCAGTTTGGTCAAACTCATGCTGGTAGCTTCGAGAACACTGTCCAACCATCTCGTCCTCTGTCGTCCCCTTCTCCTTGTGCCCTCCATCTTTCCCAACATCAGGGTCTTTTCCAGGGAGTCTTCTCTTCTCATGAGGTGGCCAAAGTATTGGAGCCTCAGCTTCAGGATCTGTCCTTCCCATGAGCACTCAGGGCTGATTTCCTTCAGAATGGAGAGGCTTGATCTTCTTGCAGTCCATGGGACTCTCAAGAGTCTCCTCCAGCACCATAATTCAAAAGCATCAATTCTTCAGCCTAACAACACTAAAAATGAAGCAACCGTTAAACACTGTAGGTATAAAATACCAGTTACTACTAAAGCCAAGAATAAAACAGGCTCAGAACTTCAACAGCATAACGAGATTCCTGCCTCCATGCAGTGAGCGAGACAAAAAAATTGCTCTGGGGAGGCCAGTGAAAACCAACGAGTCTTTAAGGCACTGCAACAAGGCTGAAGTGCAGCTGGCTCCCGCAGCTCTAGTAGCAGGGAGTTCCAAAGTTGTGGAGCCACTGCAGAAGAGTTGGTTTGCTCGTGTTCTCTTGTGGACGCCCATCTCACAGATTTAGACTGTTCCAAGTTAAATTTTTAATACAGTGGTACCTCGGGTTAAGTACTTAATTCGTTCCGGAGGTCTGTTCTTAACCTGAAACTGTTCTTAACCTGGAGCACCACTTTAGCTAATGGGGTCTCCTGCTGCCGCCACGCCGCTGGAGCACGAATTCTGTTCTCATCCTGAAGCAAAGTTCTTAACCCGAGGTAATATTTCTGGGTTAGCGGAGTCTGTAACCTGAAGCGTATGTAACCTGAAGCGTATGTAACCTGAAGCGTCTGTAACCCGAGGTACCACTGTAGTAACCTTTTCATTTCCTAAGGGCGTTAATGGATTCATTTTCTTTCCCCTCATTTTTGTGTTTTCCCTCTCTGCCTACTGTTCCTTCCTTTCAGTGGGAGTAGGAGAGGGCTGTTTTTAAAATGCATTTTTCTGCCGCGAGCTTCCCTGGATGCTTTTTAAACCGAAAAATGGGACAGAAATGTTTTCAAACAACACGCTGCCTCAGAGCTCTTTCACCCACAAGGCTCATTCTTTTTTTATTATTCCTCCACGGATGTGTCTCTTGACTCAGGCATTGCTTTGACAGAGGTCTTTCTTCAGGGTGGTGTCAGTCATTTTACAGCCCCCGCTGTTCATCCGTCATGGACTGGTGTGTTTACCTGTCATGGACTCAGAGGAATGGTGGGAGGCGTCAGCTGGGGAACCACCAAGGGAAGAAGGCTCAGAGCCCAGGGGTGGGGGTAGGACATTAATGAGTGGTGAGAGGGAGAAGAGGGGAAAGACTAGGAAGAGGTAACAGGGCTTAGTGAGCTGGGAGAATCAGTGACGGAGAGAAGTCCAGAATCAGAGGCAGCTGCTGAAGCAGGAGACTAGGAGGAGGGAGGCCAAGAGGCAGCGATGGGTCAGGATGGTGAGACACAGGGGTCTCCCACTCTTGCTTTGACAAGCTTCCCTCCCCTCTGGTATCCCAGAACCAGAAGAGGACTGAAACAGGTGGAGCGACAGCATGTAGGCGCAGTCTCTGATTGCTTGAGGGAAAGCCCTGGAGAGGAGGTGACTTAGATGGCTGTGGGGAGGTGGGGACTTTCAGCCTCGGCAACTGAATCATGGGGCAAGGCCTACTGGGGATGAGATGAGCTGCTGTGCTCATTTGGCTTGACACTCAGCCAAGGGTGAAATGTGAAGATTGTGTTTTTGCTAATAAAGGGTTAAGTTAGAATGGTGTGATTTATTGCCGGCCGGCTCTTTGACATCAACTCAGTTTCTAGAGCCATCATTCCCCAAACACAGTAGCGTTCCGTGTGCGAGTAGTTAATTAACTGAATGAAATGCTGTTGGGTCCATGGTTGCTCCCTGCCTCCCCCTCCCCACAACTTGGGAAGAAACCATAGGTCAGTCGTAGAGCGTATGCCTCACATGCATAATCTTCCAGCATCTCCAGTTAAAAGGAACAGGTAATTAGAAAAAACTCTTCTCTGCCTGCGTTAGATCCTAGAGAGCTTCTGCAAGAGTAGACAATGCTGTCTGGTTTACGCACATCTGAGCCAATGGCTATAAATAAGTGCAGAAGTTTAAAATAGTATTAAAAAATAAAAATAAAAAAACCAACAACATTGGCTGACAAAATCTGATTGTAATTCTCGGGTTTACTTTTCCAAAGAGAGCTAGATTGCTTCCAGATGGAAGAGATTTAGGTTTTCCCTACGCTGCCCTCCATTTTGCAATGCACATTTTTGGCTCTTGGGAGACAGGAAGGCTTGGTGGGAGTATTCGCAGTGCAATATGGCTACAAATTTGAGCTGTACTCAAAATGTCTTGTCAGGCGTCTCATTATTACCCAACCTGTTTTTTTTTTTTTTTTTTTAAAAAGCAAGCAAAACAAATGTAATTTCCTCCTGAAAATTTCAAGCGATACTTATCGCTCAACACATGTTCCATATACAGTTTGCTTTCATTGCTGGCTATAGGAAATTGCGTCATCTCTAAAATAAACTGGTGTGTTTTCTTTTATGTCTGCCACTATGATCAGTGTCTACAACTTCACTGGTATGTTTAACCGGCAAGAAGCAGGGCTGTAAATGCGCTCCTCTTCTTGCATAGGTCCAATCTGCAGGTGTTTTGTCTCATTGGTCAGGCAGATAACATTCTTCCATGAATGGTGGGGATTTTTTTGAAAGGGGAAAAAGAATGATGTCTTCCCCATTAATAACCCCCTGAACAAGGATAATGCATTGTTTTCACATAGCGGTGCATATGACGCATTGATGAAATGGGAAGATAAATTTAACTTGAATCAGAATGAATACTAGACTAATTAAAACTTGAAAAACATTTTTCATAAAATAAAAAAGAAACTGTCTAAAACTGTAAGAATACTAGAATATTAAAAAAAAAAGCACCTGTGGTAGTTTGCCTGGGGGTCTAGGAACATGATGTGGCCAAATATTGGATTGTTTTTGTTTTGAGTATGTATTTTGTGTTTTTATATCATCATTTTATCCTGAGAACCACCCTAAGACCTGCGGATATAGTGTATAGGGTTCATGGGATACGGGTGACGTTGTTGTCTAAACCACTGAGCCTCTTGGGCTTGCCGATCAGAAGGTCAGCGATTCAAATCCCCATGACAGGGTGAGCTTCCATTGCGCTGCCCCAGTTCCTGCCAACCTAGCAGTTCGAAAGTGCGCCAAAAGTGTAAGTAGATAAATAAGTACTGCTGCGGCGGGAAGGTAAACGGCATTTCCGTGCGCTCTGGTTTCCGTCACGGTGTTCCATTGCACCAGAAGCGGTTTAGTCATGCTGGCCACATGACCCGGAAATCTGTCTGTGGAAAAATGCCGGCTCCCTCAGCCTGAAAGCGAGATGAGTGCCACAATCCCATAGTCGCCTTTGACTGGACTTAACCGTCCAGGGGTCCTTTATCTTTTTTTTTAATAGGGCAGTATACAAAATTTAATTTAATTAATTAATAAGTAATAATAATTTGTGTCTCTTTCCTAATGTGATCCCTCAGCACTTTGAATGTCATCTCTTTATCTGTGTGATGGTTCAACATTCTTAGATGTGCCTATATCCAAAATGGTACATGACCCATGAATCCATTCGATCAGCTTACACCCTGAGCTGTCGCAGTTTTGCCAGTTTACTTCAGTGCTGAATGAGTTGCACATAGTGTGGCTCCATGTGCTGAGAATGAATGGGCAAACCCTCACCTAGAGAGATTTTATGATTTTTTTTTTTTTTTTTTGCTTTAGTTTGCTCCACTTTAACAAAGAGGCAGCCGTTCCAACGAGCCACAGATTCAGCAATAAAGTTTCCTCTACCAATTTACTGCCGCTGAACTGAGGCAAACGTCAACATTGTTGCCGTAATTTTCAGGGTGTGGGTGATAGCATAAGAAAGGTGCATTGTCATTGATAAAAACCTGATACAATTTATATTAATAGCACAAAATGCATCCAACTTTCTCCTCAGAATTGAAACAGTCGGTCAGCCGGACAAAAAAGACAGTATAGGTGTTTGTGTGGCGCAGCAGAATGGCGCTGATTCCCTGCAGAGAGATAAAGCAGTTTGCGTGAGCACCAACGGTGAGTTGCCCAAGAATTCACTTGCACAACTTTTTTTAAATGAAAAATAATCTGATTTATCCCAGATTTTGCCCTCTTCTGTCCTCTAATATAGTCTACAAATTCCAGAACTATATAAAACCTTAGAACTGTGAATTTCTTTATTTTTAGAACTTACTTGTTTTATTTTTATTTCGTAAAATTTATATCCTGCTTATGAAGGTGAAGCTTCAAGAATCTGGGAGCTATCGCCCAACCTGGTGACCTCCAAACAGCAACGGGAAATTTATAAGTCTCTCTTAAGGGCACAACCTTCTCCCAAGGCAGCTTCATTCAAATACAAAAGGCGTAGGCAAACTCGGCCCTCCAGCTGTTTTGGGACTACAACTCCCATCATCCCTAGCTAACAGGACCAGTGGTCAGGGATGATGGGAATTATAGTCCCAAAACATCTGGAGGGCCGAGTTTGCCTGTGCCTGAAATACAGTACAGTAGTACCTCAGGTTAAGTACTTAATTCGTTCCGGAGGTCCGTTCTTAACCTGAAACGGGTGTTTTTAACCTGAAGCATCACTTTAGCCAATGGGGCCTCCTGCTGCCGCCGCGCCGCCGGAGCACGATTTCTGTTCTCATCCTGAAGCAAAGTTCTTAACCTGAAGCACTATTTCTGGGTTAGCGGAGTCTGTAACCTGAAGCGTATGTAACCTGAAGCGTATGTAACCTGAGGTACCACTGTATAACTTAGCTTTATATCCATAGCAGCGGCTCTCAGCTGGAGCATGATGGAGGAGGTGTCCCTGTTTGCTGATAGCCTCAGCAGAAAGTGTTCCTATATAACACACATTTAATTATCGCTGACTTTCATTTTTGCATTTCATTGGCATTCAAACACCCCCCCTTACAGTTTCCCCCATTGTTTACCTGCCAACTAACATTTCACTTCGTGCATCGTGACAAAGCAGGACTGTGTCCACAGAAGCTTATGCCTTAATAAATGTATTCATCATTAGGGTACTGCAGGACTCCAAGAGACTTAGCATGGCTAGCAGTCTGGAAATTTATAGTTACTTCAGGAAATCAACGCATTGTGGAGCAAAGGGTAGGGCTCTTGAGAACAAATTCAGTGGAACCTTGGTTCTCAGACTTAATCTGTCCCAGGAGTCCGTTTTACTCCCGAAACCATTCAAAAACCAAGGCGTGGCTTCCGATTGGCTGCAGGAGCCAAATACAGATGCCAAATATATATATAATTTGGCATCTGTATTTGGCTTCTTCTTTGGTTTTAATTGGTATAAAATGGAAAGCTTAAAAAAAAATTTAAATAAAGAAATAAGAAAAATTGGACCGATTAACTAATGCTGATTTCTTGCTGGCCTAATAATATAATACTATATAATAATAATTTATTATTTATACCCCCCCCCATCTGGCTGGGCTTCCCCAGCCACTCTGGGCGGCTTCCAAAAAAATATTAAAATACTGTAATACATCAAACATTAAAAGCTTCCCTAAACAAAAGCTTCCCTAATAACCTTTATAAAGTTGTTTGCAAGGCTGCAAAGGGGGATAGAATAGTCAGATCACAATCCAGACGTTACTGGGTTTTCATGTCTAGTTCATGAAAGCTAATGTTTCTTGCCTTACCTGTTCCAGGTGCTGTCTTTGTAAACGGAAAAGAGATGACAAACCAGTTGCCTGCGGTTACTTCAGGATCAGCTGTGACATTTGACATAGAAGCTGTGAATTTAGGCCCTTCCAATAATAATAATGAAGGGGGGAACTTCAAACTCAGAGTGACAATTGGCTCCAACAACAGGGAAGTGGTCTTTGACTGGGTACTTGATCAGTCCTGCGGTTCTCTTTATTTTGGGTGTTCGTTCTCCTATCCAGGCTGGAAGGTGCTGGTGTTCTAACTTCTCCACCTCTGAAATGATGCCAATTGTTTTAAACTGTATCATTCCTCCAGTGGTTGGACTTGGTCATACAGCGATTAACTAGTGCAGGAGGGAGCCCTCTAACGCAACCTGCCGATGTGATAAACATTACTTGAACTATTTACTGTATACAGTTTAAAATACTGATGGTGTGTTTAAGTAATCTGGGGTGGGGGTGGGGAGTAAGCCTTCACTGTTGCTATCAAATTTGTATTACTATTATTTTTATTATTATTATTAATTTTAAGGGAGGAAAAGCCAGAGTTGAACCTTTTGCTGTGCTCCTGTCTGTGTGGTTACGCTTAATGAACAGCCCAATTTTGCTAAAGTGCTGTTCTTTTGGCTCAGGGTTTATGGACCAAAGTTCCTTGTATGCTTATCCTATTCATCAGAGTACGGTACTGTAAACTGCAGCTGGGCAGACACTCAGCAAATGCTTCATTTTTGTCAGTTGAATACCAGGCATTAGTGTTTCTTGAATCCTGCTCCCCCATTTACTGCAACCAGCTGAAGTATTTGTTTCCCCATGTGCAGTACCTCGGTCTCATCTCTTTACCTGTGTGCCTTGGTTTTTATTCAAAAGTATTGCACAGGACAGATAGATAAGCTTTCCAGCAGTGAACATGCAGTGCCCAGTTGAGTGCCATTGAACGGCTGATATTTAACTTGGGCTTTATTATTACCTCCTGCTTCAGAAAGTGCCTCTACCAAGATGATGTCACATGTTCCCAGGGGAAATTCTATAGTAGAGGAGGCCAGCCTGTGGGGCAGATCCTGCCCAGGAGGCCATGTGTGGCAGCAGCCTGTTAAGATCAGGCAATTTTGGTTACCTTCAAAAAGCCTCTCTTTTCCCTCTGGCTAAGGTAACATTGCAGGAAGATCTAGAGTAACGGTTCTCAACCTGTGAGTCCCCAGATGTTGTTGGACTACAACTCCCATCATCCCTAGCTAGCAGTGCCAGAGCTTAGGGATGATGGGAGTTGTAGTCCAACATCTGGGGACCCACAGGTTGAGAACCGCTGATCTAGAGGCTCTGAGAGGGAACACACCATTTCTTGCAGTGGTGGCTCCCAAAAGGAGGAAGAGATTTTTTACAAGGGAAAAGAAGAAGTCCTGATCTAGGAGATGTTCCTCTCCTAGCCCAGTACTCCCATCAGGAAAAATGCTATTGAAAAGATCTCTGTCTCTCCCTCCCCGCCCTGTTTTTCTGCTAATCAGCAGAAGGGGAGGGTGTGTCTGATATATGGCTAGTGACTGTGTTGGCCACTTCTGGCACATGGCTGTCAGTGGGTTGACCTCAACAGCATCCTTCTGCTGAAAGAATTAGGCTACGCTTATTCTGTAAGGAGGTTTTGTAGAACTTCTGAGCATTTGTGGGTGGGTGGGTGGGAATCTATAGTAGGTGGCAGTCAGAATTAACCAGCATTCTTATACATCATTGCTTTGCCCTTTCTTACCCATCCATGAGTTCAAAGAACAACTCTGCAATAACTTACTTAGGATAGCGTGCTACATGAATGATGCTGAAGTTAAGGTACCATGTAGACAAAGGTGTCTGTAAATGCATCATCTATCAGGGATTTTATTATTGTGCTGATGTAACAAGGTCAGTGCATAGACAGGGTAGTGATATTAAGAGGGAATAACTGCTGTGTGGCACAGTTGTGCACTCAATCGGGGTTTCCCAAACTTGGGTCTCCAGCTGTTTTGGGACAATTTCCATAATCTCTGAGCATTGCTTCTGCTAGCTAGAGATGGCGGAAGTTGTAGTCCCAACAGCACTTGTTCTAATGATAGTTTAGGCCAGGCGTGACCCTCCAGATGTTGTTGAATTACAACCCCCACTAGCCTTGGTCATTGGCCATACTTGCTGGGACTAATTTGGCTTCTAATTTAGGAAGCTCTGGAAGGCCAAAGGTTTCTCTCCCCTCCTCCACCCTTTGTTTAGGCAAATTCAACCGTGCAAGTGACGTGAAATGCCCTTTTTTCATGTTTAAAATATAGTACAGACCAGTATTACTTGCAGACATGTCCTGTCACAAACTGTAGCTGTTCAGTGCCAGCCAGAGGCTGCTTACCACAGCATCCTGTTGAGGACAAACAAAGTAAGACGTTGTTGATGAAAAACAGGAAAGCACCTTGCTGCATATCCCAGCTGCTCTAGGGCTGCGCTGATGCCAAGACCTGGGGTGCTGGCACAAGAGCTCCAGTGACCCTTAAACTGGAGCCTAAGAGGATGGCAATATCTCCTTGCTGCACCAAGTTAGGGCCTCTCCCTGGTCCTGAAGCCTTAAGGCAATTACTAGTGGGGAACCTTTGTCCCTCCAGATGTTGCTAACGACAACACCCATCAGCAATAGCAAGCGTAGCCAATGTCCTAGAACGATGGGAGTTGTAGTTCAGTAACATCCAGAGGGCTAAAGGTTCACCCACCTTCTCTGTAGCCCAACAGCTCTGCGGAATGAGGCTGTTGACATTTTGCAAGCAAAAGGCTCCCCCCCGACACTCCCTTGGCCGCAAAGTAAAAAGCTGGTGTTTGTCGTGTTCTCTTGTGCCACATGCCAGTATATTTCCCTTGCACGCAGGCAAGCAGCCTGCCTTAGTCATGTTAACGCAGGTGGCATCGTAGAATTGGGAGGGACCCCCCTCCCCGAGGATCATCTAGTCCAACCCTCCGCAATGCAGGAATCACAATTAAGGCATGAGCTACAATTAGAGCAATTCTAAGAATTAGGCAATATAGTAAAGTCTAATGTAAGCAAGCAGAGCTCTGCAAACTTGAAATGGAGCAAACGACAACACTGTATGAGATGTTAAAGGTGGCTAACTCGCCTTCCCCTCCAGATCTGTTTCCTAAACCTCCCATAAGATTTTGAGGGCGCATTGGGGAAATCCTGTTGCATGATCAGGCCAATCCTGTTGGATGTCACCCTGCTGTTACGTAGAGAAATGTGATGGCAAAGACGCAATTCACATTTAGGTGTCAAGTGTGTGTACATGAGATATATACACTGGAGGGTGGGAATCCTCTTCCTCTCGAACAGCCTTTCTCAACCTCTGGGTCCCCAGATGTTGTTGGACTACAACTCCCATCACCCCTAGCTAGCAAGGCCAGAGCTCAGGGATGATGGGAGTTGTAGTCTAACATCTGGGGTCCCACAGGTTGAGAACCGCTGCTCTAGAATGGGTTATAGATGAACTGGAGCTTGTAAATGTGCCTCTGACCAGGAGGCGGCTGTGCTGCCTTCCACAAAGGCGCACATATGGGGGAAATTGTGGCCTGCCATATGCTGTTGGGACTACAGCTCCCATCATTCCTGACCGCTGGGGCTGACGGGAGTTGAGAAGTCCATGCATGCAGTGCTTGGTTCATAGAAAACTTGTAGACAGAACTGGGTGGCTGAAGTTGCTTAGCTTCACTCCTGCAACAGTAGTTTCCAACCCTGTTTTCCCAAATGAGGAAAAGGCAAAGGGCAAGCTAGCCATTGGCCTCCTAAATAAATGTTTTACCAGTTCTGGTGCTTTCATTTAGCCCAAATGCCTTTCTACCATTGACTGACTCGTCACATATGGGGGTGGGGGTGGGGGAGTTTACCTAGGATTGATAATCCTTTGTGGTGGGGGGGAGAGCATGTGTGAATGAGTTGTATTTGGGAACAGCAGCACTGTGCAAAATATTGGTTTGAAAGCTTACCAATAAAGTGGATACGAGGACCAAGACCAAAAGGCTTGATGGAGATTAAAGGCACCTAGCAATTGACCAGTGATAAACTGCTTCGCTAGTGAAAAATATATGTAAAAGGGGAAGGTTCCCAATACATTTGCAATATTTTTGTACTTTAACAATACCTTACAAGTATTTGGTCCTTTGGAAGACATTTTACCCATAGTGTTAAGGTAAAACGTGGAGACAATGTTGGGAAGGGAATGTGTTTATAAAACTTGTATCTATTTACCTCAGCATACGTACTTTGTATTATGACTTTTTAATAAAAGTTTGTCCATCTGCTTGACTAGTGTTATTCCATTACTATTGACTTACTATACACTGGTGGCACTGTGGTCTAAACCACTAAGCCTCTTGGGCTTGCCGATCGGAAGGTTGGCGGTTCGAATCCCCACGTCAGGGTGAGCTCCCATTGCTCTGTCCCAGCTCCTGCCAACCTAGCAGTTTGAAAGCATGCCAGTGCAAGTAGATAAATAGGTACCAAGGTAAACGGCATTTCTGTGTGCTCTGGCGTCCGTCACGGTGTTCCATTGTGCCAGAAGTGGTTTAGTCAAGCTGGCCACATGACCCGGAAAGCTGTCTGTGGACAAACGCCAGCTCCCTCGGCGTGAAGCGAGATGAGCGCCACACCCCCTAGTCACTTTTGACTGGACTTTACCATCCAGGGGTCCTTTACTTTTTAAAAGAATTTGTCATCTTGAGCACAACATGGATTAATTTGAGGACATTTCATATCAGCCATTTTAGAATGACACCCCATAGCTGTCATTGACTGGACTTAACTGTCTAGGGGTCTTTTACCTTACCTTTACCTTACTATATTCATCCCACCTTTTCTACAGAAGACCTAAAGGTGGCAAACATGGCTTCCCTATTCTTCCTCACCTAATTTCCTTTTTATCCTCCGTGGGGAAGGTTACACCCAGTGTGGTTTACCACAATGCTACTCAAAAGTGGTGGCCCACAGACCACTGCCTGCCTGAATGTCATCAGCTTCTACTTGACAGTAACTCCACCACATCCCAGACCAGGTGGGACCCCTCAGAGACCAAATACGGTATTTGTCCCCGACAATGGGGGAGGGGAGTTGCCAGACTACCCCATCCAATAGCTTGAGAAGCCCTTCCTTAGCAGAAATTGGCCTGGTTTTGATACATCATTAATTCTTTTGCCTGGAGCGTGTATATGTCTAAGGTGGGGGACTGTGACAATGCTCCTTCTCCTCCCATAAGAGAAAAAGGTGCCACTTTTTGAATATCTCTCCATCTCAACAGCCTCCTACATGTTCCAATTAGTATTTAGAGGGCTGGAGACATTTAAATACTGCACACTCAAAGGGAGAGGAAAAAAATAGGTGTCATGAATCAATTTTTATTTGACCCATTTTGATTTAGTCACCAATCTAGCAGCCGCATTCTGGATTAGTTATAGTTTCCAAGGCACCTTCAAAGGTAAACCCACGTAGAGCGCATTGCAGTAGAGCAAGTGGAAGATAACCAGAGCATGCACCATGACTAAAGGATTTCAGGCTCAAGAGATACAGTCAGTCCTCATTTCATGCAGGTAAAAAGGGAAAATAAACAGAAGTTACTTCATTTCAAGAAACATATAATGCACAAATTAATGCATAGAGAACTGTCCATATCAAGCTGCAGATCACAATACCTGTTCCAAATTCAAAAACTCGATATGCCTGGTTCCAAGTCAGAAAATCTCTCTCTCTCTCTCACTCTCTCTCTAACACACACACACACACACACACACAACTACACACCCCTTACCTGGTTGCACCTTTAAAAAAGCAATAGCACACCTCAGAAGATTTTATATTATTGAACTTTATGTACAAAATCCAATTTCAAATAAACATTTAATGTAAAAACAAAAAGGTCCATTAAACACTTCTTTTATATCTACTGTACCATTCAAATGTTCACCCAGTTTACATGATTTATTGAAAGTCTCATTAAGGGTACATATAGAAAATCCATCTTTATTATAAATAGAAACAAAGGGATTCTCAGCTTTTATTATAAATTGACATGACATACAAAGTTTATTGGACAGAAGTAATTTCATTACTATTTTGGGAGGGGTCACCAACTTTTTTGTGCAAACAATGCTAGCCTCCTTTTAAGCATTAAGAGCGCGGCTGCTTAAGAAGTGACATAAGCAATAGTTCTACAACTACGTCTCTCCTAAAATATATTTTTTTACATATGTGCACAGCTTTAGCAAATTAAAGCCCAAGAGAAATGCTTGACCGGCTATTCAAAGGTGTAATAAGAGTTTGCTACAACTCAAGAGCAGGAAATTCGAGAAGTCTAAAGAAAGCTGCAGTCTCCCTCTTTCATATTGACACAAATCTGTGACCAAGAACTTAATACTGGATGACAAATCACATCCACACCATTAGTTAAATAGTCTCACAGTTAAACACATCTTTAGGGACCAAAGTCAGTATTTACAGTTTTATAAATTTCTGGAAAAAAACCCATTACAAAGCTTACCCCCACCCCCCACCCCAAACAAAAAACAAAAACCAACAGGGATCTGCCTTCTTGTGGTGGTGGAATGAAATAAAAAATTAGAAACACCTGTATTTACATAATCAATCCTTTATAAATAAAGAATATGAAAAAATGAACTATTCAAGAATTTTTAAAAAATGAGGCGATGCCACTCAACTACAGTGCTTGCTGGAATAAACCCTTGAAGCTGATACTGTACCAGTAGTGAAGCTACTTTCCATTGGAAAAAAGAAAATCTGTAAACATGTGCATAAAATGTGTTAGCAGTGCAAGACTGCACAGGTTAGCATCTGTATTGAATGCAATACATCACAGAGTACTTGCATAAGAAGTGCAACACATTTTCTGGCCTAATTTTACAGTGCATTTCCCCTTCAAAACTAGCAACCAAAAATTCTCTTTAACGCCATGCTTCGATCTTACAGTCTGTATATAGGCAAAATAGGTACATATCCAGGCACTGCCTACCATGGCCTCCAGGTGTTAACACTTGATCTCTTAGCCAAAAGGCCGAGAAGCAATCTCTAGGTGTTAAACAAAGCATTCTATTAAACAACTCTCAACAGTTATGCTTGATTAGGTTAAAGGTTTGCTCTAGTACACCTTGTTATCTACAGATTCGTTTGGACTACTGACAGAATTAATATGGTACTTCCCCTGCGTTTGTAATGAGAAAAGCAGAGGTGGTTGGTTTTTTTTCCAAAAAAGGTTTGAGACAAAGAAGTGCTATATTACAGCTGAATGTTTAAAAAGTGTTTAGAAATTTGCAATCTGTAGTTTGACACCTATAAGATCAAGGTAAACTTTAAATGGTGTGTTATTTGCCACAAAAAAGTTAACCTAAGGAATTTCTAAGTACAAAGCATAAACTGTCCGAATCTCTTTCCCTAATTTTCAGCTCCATGGTAGGAAAGACAGCCAGTACAGATGCAAAAAAAATCATCAAAAAAAATCTTTATATAAAAACTGGTTTACATATACTCAAGTTATGTAAATTCAGTACAGTTCATAATTAAAATTCCCAAAAATTGTATTGCTCTTCATGCTCAAACTTTGAGTATTGTCATTACACCACTAGAACTGATATACATGTAGTACTTGCATAATCAACTCAAAAGGAACCATATTGTTGAAATCCTGTTTCCAGCAGTGCCTGTTAGGAGCCTGTGTGTCATATTAAATTCCTTATAAGAGTTCATGCATCTTAAAATGTCACTTCATTGTTTGTGCATTGAATGCCCCTTTGCTCTTCTTTTCAGATCTTCTGTTTTCTATTCTGTTTTGCCATACATGAGATAGCATCCATTTCTGATGATTTTTCCCTAGTGTTAGTTTCACTGCAGCCATTGGTTATTCCAGTTTGTTCTTCAGAAATCTCCTCCATTGTTGTGGTAGCAGTAGACTCCCCTTTTTCCAATTTCTGCTGCATTTCTCGAAGCTTAGTAACAGCTTTGTCTATGGACATTATGCTTATAAGGTTAAAGTCATGCATGCTGACCAGGTGAAGCATGAAGTTTCGACACAAGTTCTTCTTAATTATTTTGTGTCCATAATTTTCAACAAACAGCATACAGGCATGATTCATTTGATTGTCTGCAATAAACCTGTAACATAAAAAAATGACGCTAGGCATTATTACAGATTTGGGTGCCCAAAGATGCCTACAATATCAAAATCCTGCTCAGACATGCTGTCATGTAATACTTGCTTCTCCACAATTCCTACATAGGGTTTTTTAAATGCTCAGTAGTTCACACAATAAAAAAACACATTAAAATAACAGATATGTGGAAGGCTTAAAAGCATTTCAGGGTTGTTGTTTTATTTTTAATTGTAACCTAATCACTTTTCATAAATTTATAAAATTGAAGTTCTAAGTACGCACCCGTGCTTCATAACGTGTAGATTCCATAATTTCATCACTTCTTTTTCTCCTTCATTCACATCTGAAAACTCTTCAATTTGCTGCAGTGAGACAACCATTTAAAGGTCATTAGCATGCATCTATTTAAGTCAGGCATTGCTTGGCTTGTTTTCCCCATCATCTGCTTTTTATTGTCATAATTGCTTTGCATAGTCAGTACAATTCCACACAGCCAGAACTAAGCAGCAAGAGCTGGGAAAAGGCACACAGTTTTGCTACAAATGTCCCTGAAGTAACTTTTGGAAGAAAGTGAAGAGATAACAGTTTATATTTTGGGAGGGGAAGGGGGAACACAGTGGTACCTTGGGTTACATATGCTTCAGGTTACAGACTCCGCTAACCCAGAAATAGTGCTTCAGGTTAAGAACTTTGCTGCAGGATAAGAACAGAAATCGTGCTCTGGTGATGCGGCGGCAGCAGGAGGCCCCATTAGCTAAAGTGGTGCTTCAGGTTAAGCACAGTTTCAGGTTAAGAACGGACCTCCGGAACGAATTAAGTACGTAACCCGAGGTACCACTGTATAGGGAACGTGCCTTGTGCTTGCATCTAAGTGTTTACACTAACAGAGAATATTTGGGGGGGTTTGCGCAATGGCAGAGAGAAATGAGAGGGGAAAGTCTATTAAATCCCTTCAGCAGGTTGATGCAAAGGCTCTTTCACTTCAGTTTACACATTATTTGAATTGGAGGTTTCATTTAAAATAATTGTTAGATATCACTTCATGTCAAATCAAAAGGATGAACCAGGAACAGAAAGCTGAATGCTGTCAAAAAGCAGGGATGTTACATTATTTGGTGGTGTGGTCCTGCGATACCAACATTATGGAGGTGAATTAAGGAAAATTAAGGCTGTAATGGAGGTAAATATTTCTTCAGACCTTTTAAATAATTTTATTTTAAATAATTTTATTAGGATTTTTGGAAGAAACAGAAGAACTAGATTTTGCGGGTTTTTATTGGCGGCAGACAAAATACTAATTGAAAGGAAGAAGTCCAAAAATGATTAGACGTTTAAATGTTAAAAATAATCAAGTTGGCAAAGTTAACCTGCTGGATTAAAGAATAGAGAATAAAAAAGAAGTCTGTAAAATGAATTATTTTGAAACGTCAAAAAAAATTGTAAAAGTAATCTAATTTTAAGCAGAAATTAGATCAAATTAATGGAATTCTAAGCAGGTGTTTATAGAGATGGAATATATAGAGATTTAAAATAACTGTTGTATTTAAATGATCAATGTATAGGTTTAAATATTAAGCTGTTATCTGAAGAAATGTATTTTCAGATTTTGTGATTATTATGAGCATTTTGTTTCTAAAGCTGAAATTAGAGCAGTAATAAGAAAAAGAACAGGTTCTTTCATGAGCCTAAAATGGGTTATGACAAATGAGGATTGCCATGCCTAACTTCAGTTTCCTAAACAGTCCGCAATGTTTTGCATTACGATTATTTGTGTGGCATCCAAGAATGTCAGTCTGCCAAAGGAATGGACAAAGCAGGCGGAATTCCTTTTCCTCCTACCGCACTCCCAAATAACCCTGCTCTGGAGAGTTGGGGGTCACACCAATACAGATTTGGGGAGGGGTGTGTGGGAGTTGCAAGGGCGAGGAGAGGAAATCAAAGCCTGCTCATGTGACGTTAGAGGTCACTCTTAAATCTTCCTTGCCAAACTAGTCCTAGGCCATTACTGAATAGTCTAGTATTGTCCAAGTCGTAATATTCTGTTACGTAGCTTCTAGCAGACATTCAGTATCCGGCAATTCCAAAATGTTTTTAGCACAAAAATGTGTGTGCATGTAATTGTAACTGCCTCTGACAGTCACAACTTTCTATTTAGCGGGAAGAAACCCCAATGAAAACCCTCATTGTTATATATTTTACATGGCTTTTAATTTGTATTCATGTTAAATTTTTACACATGGATGATTTACGATGGCCAATACTTGTAATGCCTAATAAAGGTTTGGCAAAGTACGCAAGCTAGTCACAACCATCAATTTGGTCCCGTTTTATCACCAAGCTCGTCTATTGCCCACATCCAATATTTCACCACCCCATAAAAACTAATTGTGTTAATAGATGGCTTCCTCAACCTCGGCCCTCCAGATGTTTTTGGCCTACAACTCCCATGATCCCTAGCTAGCAGGACCAGTGGTCAGGGATGCTGGGAATTGTAGTCTCAAAACATCTGGAGGGCCGAGGTTGAGGAAGCCTGGATTAAGACATAGTATCGCAATGTGCCTTTTCCAAGAACGCAAAGTGGGAAACACAGTATGTAGGTTTGTCCCATGGAAAGCAGGAATATCGCTCAGCAAAACAAGAACTATCTGCTGTCGGACAAAGTTACCGTGATAGTTTTCTCCCTTAGCCACTCAGGGTCCTTTTCATCTTCACTGTCAACTTCCATTTCTTGTGGACGGAGAGGTAAGCATGTATCACTGTGGAAGTATAACCGATTGTGTCCACTGCTGTATGTTCTTTGCTGTTCCACTTCTCCATCTTCAGATTCAAGGAATTCAGACATGCTGGCTTTTGTACGCTTTGGTCTGAAAAAAAAAGATGCACGTAGAAGAGGAAAAAAACCCAGTATGTATGGTTTGTAGCAGGTACCTAAAAGCCTGGCAGCCATATATCTGCAATGCATAGAACAGATGATACCTACAAAGCTCACTTTTCAGTCGGATCAGGGCTATTCTATGATCCTAGAGTTGCTGCCCATCTGCAATTTACCAAGACCTTAACCACATCCACGAAAAGAAGGCCAGAGGGGTAGCCATGTTAGTTTCTTGCAGAAAAAACAACCAAAAGTTTTATATTGGTAAACTTTAAGGTGCCACAAGACACTTTGCTGCATTTGTGGGAGGAAATGGAAACATATACAATGGCTAGCAATATGGAGTGTCATTGCTGCACATTTCCAACTATTTCAAGAACCCAAAATAGTCTGTTTTGACAGGTTTCTGCCTCTGCATAGCATGTCACTAACGAATTATCTGAGCCTGACTAAAAATCAACCTCTGATAAGTGGTGAGTATCACAGACAATGTCCTAGCAACCAAACTAGCTGGATACCGCAGAGTAAGAATAAAGAGCTTTGTTTAATTTTCTGACTTCTATAGCTATGGGAGTAACATTCTGATCACTACAGCAACATTAGTAACAGCACAATCCTAACCTTGTCTATGTTACTAAATGCACTGGGGCTTACACACAAGTGGGGTTAGGACTGCGGCCAAAGTTACTAGAAAATAGGAAGATTTAGATTGGATGCTATAAATTAAGCCAATTTTTGTTAGGCCTGCGAGCTTTAATAGGTTTTGCTTGGTAGAAGAACAAAGTGATCAGGGGAGACCAAGTGGAATCAGCAGAGCTATGAAAGAAGAGCAGACTATTTCATTTTTTGAGGCTGTGGCATTGCAGGAATAGCAAAGTATTAAGGATGGCCTTTACTTTCAGTAGGAGGTAATGCTTATTAATGGAATTCCTTCAGTGTGCCAAAGCAGGCTTCCACATTTTCATTTGTCATAGTAGCTATGGACACATGTAACACTGAACCAAACTATGGCTTAGTACGAAGCATCAAGAATGCTAATGCGGTGAGAAAACGGCAGTCATTGTGCTCTTACGCTGCTCCTGCTGTACTCCTCTGAGCTAAGCCATGGTTTGGGCTTAGCGTTACATTTGTTTGGGGAGCCAAACAATGAACTCAGATTGAGACGTAATGTTAAACCAAACCATGGCTTAGCATGGCAGAAGCAGGACTGGAGAGAAGCAAAGCAACCATGGCTTTTGGTAATGTCCAAATGTTTCAAAAGGCAGACAGAATAAAAGTTCCTCAGTTGACGGTCCTAAATTAAAGTGATGTTTAGGTTTGTTGCTGAATTTTTCGCCCCATAGGGCGCACCTAGTTTTTTTTTGGGGGGGGGGAGATAAAGGGAAAAAAATTATTTCCCCCCCAGGTGCGGGGCTGGGGAAGCCCGAGCTTCCCCCGACCCCAGCCCCCAGAACAGGCTGCTATCCGCAAGCCATGGGAGAGCTGCGCGAAGCCCGAAGCCTGGGGCGTGCTGAGCTCAGCGCGCCCCAAGCTTCTGGGTGCAGGCAAGCTCTCCGCTAGCCGTGGGAGAGCTGCGCGACTTCACGCAGCTCTCCCACGGCTAGCGGAGAGCTTCCTGAAGCCTGGAGAGCGAGAGGGGTCGGTGTGCACCAACCCCTCTCGCTCTCCAGGCTTCAGCGAAAGCCTGCATTCGCCCCATAGGACGCACACACATTTCCCCTTCATTTTTGGAGGGGAAAAAGTGCGTCCTATAGGGCGAAAAATACAGTAATTTACGTACTCTACTTTGATTAATCCCCACCACTGGCTTTATTTAACAAGCAGCACATATACCAATGAAGTTAAATGGAATGTGCTATTGTGCACCACTATAATATGCATGTCCTACAAAGAGGAGAGCAATTTTTAATTTCCATTGAGGAAGTGGGAAGAAAACATGGAGATCGAGAACTTACAGTAATAAAACTGTTGTAAGTCGCTTTAAGATTTTCAGTAGCACACAGCACAGAAACGTTTTAATAGATAGCTATATAAACAGATAAATAAGATCTTACAGACAGGGAGTGCAAACAGTTGCAAATATCTGCAGAAACAGTTTCCTACCAACCTGCATACAAGAATGTGCGTAATTGGTGTTCGCTTGACCGGCCCATTACGACTGAATGCAAACCCAGGCTGGCGATGAATATCCTGAGGATTTCCTGCGTATGAGCCATCATAACACTCATTGATGGAAACATCTATCCTAGCACCTTTGGGATGATACTGTAATAAATAAATATTTAGCATCGTAAGTGTTAATTGCAACCACACATTCCTTCCGCGACGTGAAAACTCTGCTTTCCTTGACACATCTCTTACTCTGGCTAAAGCCCCTGAACACCGAAACAGCAGCGTTAACCAAATTTAAAATAACGTTTTCCAGTCCTATCACACAATGATTAGAAACCAAGTCTCAACCACTGTTAGTCTGCTTTCGGGCAGGTTATTTCTGAAAGTTATTGTAGCTGCACTTTTGTCACTCTGCCTTGAAAGTTTAAAAATTTGTTTCATTTGACCCTCTGAATCTGTATCATACCAAGAGCAGTCCTCTGCCAAGGTAATAATATCAACCGCTGCCCTTGTGCTCACAGAAGGGCTTTTGACCCAGTGAAAACACCTGCCGATGAAACTAGTGGGGAGGCTATTTCCCCAAATTCCATTTCCCCTGCACCCCCCCAATGCCTCATTCTACCCTACAATGGTACCTCCGGTTGCAAATGGGATCCCTTCTGGAGGTCCGGCCGCATCCCGAGGAATTCGCAACCAGAGGACCGCTTCTTCGCATGCACGCGGTTTAGCACTTCTGCGCATGCGGCGAAACCCAGAAAAATACTTGCCACGTTCGCATCCCGAAGTTTACGTATCCAGAGGCATACGTAAGCGGAGGTACAACTGTATTATGGAGGATCCCCCAACCCTCTAGAGCTGATCCTCCAGGGTGCCATCTCCCTTCGTCTTGTTAGTGGATCAAGAGTCCTTGTGTGAGCATAGGAGCAGCAACTGGATTCCCTCCGCACCAGAGGTGTTACAGAGATACAAGGAAAAATACTCACCACATAATTGAAAATAAACCGGCTGTGACAAAGCTTGAGATGTTTGAGTAAGCTGTAAAGTTTACGGCAGTTCAGTGTGCACCAGGGGCAATGCAAGTCATCTCTCGCTTCAGTCTGCTGCCTTGTATTGTTATTATACAGGAACTGGCAAAAACAAGAGCTTGTTATTAGTATAAAGTTGTCTCCTCTTTTTCTACTACGCAGATGGGAAGCAGTACTTGCTAATGGTCAGGTCTAATCATGCACCGTCTCAAATATTAGATTTTTCAATACCTGATAAAATATTCTCAGTTTCTGTCGAGGCTCATTTGAAACATCCCTTTCCTTTCTTGCTTGCAGGTCTGGCGGCAAAGATTCTTTTACAGCTGCAAAAGAACACGGATGTCACTAACTGTACTACTGTTCAAAACAAACCTCTACAGGACTCAATGTTTTGTAAGTAAAGTGCCCCCATTTTGTTATAAGTAGCTGATTAGCAAAAGGGAATTGAGTGGTCTCATTGAATAGTTACACACATTTCAGAAGACAAGACAAGGCTCCTAATTCAGACAACAAGTAGGAGAGCATAGCATGCTTTTAGCACTAGCTTCAACCTCTCTTCCTTTTTTTAAAAAAAAAAAAAACCTTCCACTTTTTAGTGCATAAAAAGTACAAAAGAAGAAGAAAACAAAAAGAACCTCTTGTAACATATGAATGGATTGCTGATAGACTGTGTATGGACAAATATACTGACATTTCGAATGCAGACATAGACTGTGTATGGACAAATACACTGTCAATTGGAATGCATTTATAAAAAATATAGCAGGAAATAAATAAATGAATGAATGTATTAAAATAATCATTCCACTTATATACCTTTGTATTAGACAAGCGTGTACACAATCACCCCTACTTGACATACTACCTAGATTTGTTCTTGGAAAATAATTATGTTAATCTTGCAAACAAACACAGACTCCAAGCCTATACTACATTTGTATCAGCCCTTCCTTCCATGAAGCTCATTATCCCATTCTATGATTTTAAACGCTCGCCTAAAGCTATCCACAACCTTCATGGCTGAGCAGTCATGTCTAACACACCATCTACTAAATCACACAAGAACCTAGTCAGTGTATGAACTTTTTAACAATTGGCTGAACAAAAAAAACCTTAATTATAATTTCTCACGGTAGATCACTCCTTTTCACCCATCTGCATGGCAGCATACCATGATTTTCGAGAACCTTTTGATAAGAAGAAAAAAGTATTTCCACCCTCAGAAATACAAGGCAAACGATGCTTCATACATTATAATACTGCCACCACTGCAATTCTCACATCAATTTCACTTTTACCACCAATCTTTTTTGGAGTGAAAACTGCTCTGCATCTAAATCTTCCCCGTACCTGTGCCACTGCTACATGCTGATGAAAGGAACTGGAAGCAGTACAGTTGCTTTTTAATGGATATTCTCAATATTATTAATTTGAACCCCCATGCTTTGGCACCTTGTGTGAGGGAACTGCTTGCACTGCCCTAAATTCGGTGCTGGCTTAAGAGTCGTACAGCTAAAGACAGCACTAAAGGTCTTCAAGATCCACACATTGATTCTTTGCAGATATAAGAACCAATATATCCAATTCATTCTGGTCAGTGACCGAAATAAATCGATCACTCATTCATTCAATATATCCAATACCACTATACTAAGAATGGTTCTCACCTAAAAGGTGACATGTGTGGTTATACTGTCCTCTTGTGAGACGACAGAAAACAGAGCTCTTTGCCCATTACTTACACACACACACACACACACACACACACACACACACCCCCCGCTCTGGGTCAAGACTAAGGTTACCAGGTTTTTTTCAATGAATCAAGGCACACTTTTCAACTTCAGTAGGAATGATAGGATTGTGTATAGGGACTGATTTGTAAAACTGGGAGCTGTCCCCAGGAAATGGGGACGTCTGGTAACCTTAGTCAAGGCAGGGAAAGGACTGGTCAAGAGGAGAAGGAAAGCATGTGATTCCAGTCTTATGGCACTAGAGGGCAGCATAACCCACCATGTGATGTGCTTACCACCTTTGGAGAGCTCAAAAATACGATGTTTCACCTTCTGTACCTTGGTGAAAAGTGAACTACGCAAAATTTCATCTGGCAGAACGAAAAAACCTCAGCAACCACATTTTGTTGTTATTTTGACATACACTTCTAATGCAGGTCATGATCTTTTAACCACTACTGAGATGCTTGCTTGCCTTCTGTTAGCCTGATTCTGCTTAATATTAGCTAGGGTTTCTCTTCACTGGAATTTGCTAACAGATAGCACTGTTAAAATCTGTAAGAACAATGTGCTTGTTTGCGTGAGGTGGGAGTACTCAATGGTTAGGAGAGGTTGCCTGCACTGATGTTTAATGTCATTTCTAATTGTTATAATTGTCAGAGTGTGTGTCCCCCGCCCGTTATTTTAACAACTGGCAGCCCCCATTCTATGGAACAGCGTTTCTGTTGAGATACGACAAGCATCATCATCATCATCATTTATTATTTATACCCCGCGCATCTGGCTGGGCTTCCCCAGCCACTCTGGGCGGCTTCCAACAAAATATTAAAATACAATGGTCTGTTAAACATTAAAAGCTTCCCTACACAGGGCTGCCTTCAGATGTCTTCTAAAAGTCTAGTAGTTGTTGTTCTCTTTGACATCTGGTGGGAGGGCGTTCCACAGGGCGGGTGCCACTACCAAGAAGGCCCTCTGCCTGGTTCCCTGTAACCTTACTTCTCACAGTGAGGGAACCGCCAGAAGGCCCTCGGCACTGGACCTCAGTGTCCGAGCATAATGATGGGGTTGAGACGCTCCTTCAGGTATATTGGACCGAGGCAGTTTAGGGCTTTAAAGCTCAGCACCAACACTTTGAATTGTGCTTGGAAATGTAAAGCATCCATTATTTGTACTTTTTGGAAATAACTGAGGACATTTTTGTTTTGACAAGCTTAGATGTTCATATTGCATCATTTTTAAAACCACATTCAGTTGGTTTTTGTACAGTGGTACCTCAGGTTACAGACGTTTCAGGTTACAGATGCCGCTAACCCAAAAATAGTACCTCAGGTTAAGAACTTTGCTTCAGGATGAGAACAGAAATCGTGCTCTGGCGGCGCAGCAGCAGCGGGAGGCCCCATTAGCTAAAGTGGTGCTTCAGGTTAAGAACAGTTTCAGGTTAAGAACGGACCTCTGGAACGAGTTATGTTCTTAACCAGAGGTACCACTGTACTTCAAATGCATGGCAACATTAATGCTCTACATTTGTACTAGCTCCTGGAAAAAATAACTGAAAATAAATTCAATTTCAGCCTTCCCTAAGATTCAAAAGAATCTGACTCAAACCAGTTCTAAGAATACTTTCCCAGTGTTCCTTAAAACTACTGAAACAATTAAAATAGTAAGATTTTTACAGTTTGAATCTCGACTCCTGATTCATTACAAGAAGTCTTTACAGCAGGTTTTAACAGGCTGCAAAGAGGGAAAAAGAGTGTCAAGAGAATGTTGAAACCAAAGGGAACAAAGCTTCAATGTTTAAAAAACCTGTACCAATCAAGAGTATTCTCCTGCTAAAAACAGGCTTGTGTTCATCAAGATGTATCTGACCAATTTAAGAAAATAAACACTTTGTGAATACCTGTTTCCCACACAATACAGACACCTGCATTCCAAAATACGCTAGCATCCGGAATATCCCAGTTTTATCACCAAGAGCAGAGGGTGAGCATTGAGGGGAAATTCACAAAACCATATTCCACAAACCAAAATGAGCCCAATTCACCCTAAACATCTTTTGTATTTATCAGAAATCTTCGTTTCTTCTATCACATATGAACTGCTATAGATGAAAATGGAAACTCTTACAAAATTAATCAACCTAGATAGAAATAAAAGCAACCACAAACAAGCTGCAGATTTAAGTGAAGGGCTCATTAGGGAGTGGAGCTCCGCTTATGGAGGGACGGGGTTGCTTTCGTCTGACTTTTGGCAATTCCCTTCTTCCTTCTCAGATTCTCCTCCCCAACCCCACCCAAGATATACTGTGCGTTTATAAGCTTCATAAAAACAGGTAACAAGAGCATTCGCCAACAACTTTTTATCTATTCCATACTGAACATATCCAACTCATGTAAACATTAAAAAACAGCATAGAAATATAAATGTAAGTAGGAAAAAAGCTATTAACACAATAGACTTAAAACAACATAAATTGAAGTCACAGTCGGCAGCAGAAAACAGACTAGAAAATAAGGAAACTGCAATAATGGGCAATGACGTTATATAAAGAAGGGACCGACTGGAGTTCCCTAGGCATAGAAATTCCTAAGAGGGTACCATGATGGGGAAAAGTAAACTCTTACAGATCACACCAACAAAAGGGATGGGGTACATGCAGAATTTCAGTTGCTGATCTCACAGTGTGATGAGGCAAGTATAGAAGCAGGTGTTCCCAAAGGTATGCAGGATGCAAACGTTAAGGGCTTTAAAGGTCAACATGGTCATACTGAATTGGGTTCAGGAACAAATCCAAAACAGTGCAGTTGGACCAGCACCCGACTGACAGACTCTCTCTTGGGCAGCCAGCTAGGAAGCAAACAAGCACATCCTGAGCTCTGACACAACAGGATCAAATTCCCACAGATTTCCAAATAGAGATTTCCACCAGATAAAGACATTTAAGCATTGTACACGTTAATCCTACCCAACTTTAGACAAATCCCCATAAACATATATATTTCTCCTGATTCTAGACTAGTAATAAAGGTAAACCCCTGACCATTAGGTCCAGTCATGGCCAACTCTGGGGTTGCGGCGCTCATCTCGCTTTATTGGCCGAGGGAGCCGGCATACAGCTTCCGGGTCATGTGGCCAGCATGACTAAGCCACTTCTGGCGAACCAGAGCAGCACATGGAAACGCCGTTTACCTTCCCGCTGGAGCGGTACCTATTTATCTGCTTGAACTGGTGTGCTTTCGAACTGCTAGGTTGGCAGGAGCAGGGACCAAGCAATGGGAGCTCACCCTGTCGCGGGGATTTGAACAGCTGACCTTCTGATCGGCAAGTCCTATGCTCTGTGGTTTAACCCACAGCGCCACCCGCGTCCCTAGACTAGTAATAGAATCACAAAATTGCAGAGTTGGAATCGACTCCCAAGGAACATCTGGTCGAACCCCCTGGAATGCAGGAATCTCAATTGAAGCGTATGCATGAAACGCATTAGAACAGTGTTCAGAACTAGGCAACGAAAGAAAACAAAATCCAATGTATGCAAGCAGCACTATCTGTATGTCAACATTTCCTTACCTATAGTCTGTGTAGGTTTCACAGAGCTGGGCTTGTTTTCTTGAGGGAAGCTCTCTGAATTCCGTGTTGAAAGCGGCTTCGCAGTAGGAGTTGTCGGTTTGTCGTTTGCCTCTCCTGACCATCGTAGGGTAAACTGAAGTGTGGGTCCCTGAGAAAATGTTTCAAATGGAGGTAACCTCTGAAACAAAAATATATTGCTTTGAGAGATTTTCAAAGGAGCTTCAAATTGGGACCGTTACAGATGCCACCGCCAGCTACTGACATCAGGCACCTTTTCGGCGCTTGCAAAAAATAGCAAGCATATCCAGAAGTACAGATGTTTTATGCCTTTAATCTGTTTTTAGCATACTGTTGATTTCATGTTTATTTTTAAAGTACCAGTTTTTAACTCTTTTTACTGATAAATTTAATGACTTGTGGGGTGTTTGTTTTTTGTTTTTTTGTAAACAGCTTTGAGGTTTTATTACAATTAAGCAGTACAGTGGTACCTTGGTTTGCATACGTCTTGGTTAGCATACGTTTTGGATTACTAACACATCAAAACCGGAAGTGTGTGTTTGCAACTTTTTTTTTGGATTACAACCCATTTTCTTACAAACAAATTTTTGGGGGGAGGCCCCATTGGCGAAAGCGCGCCTTAGGTTACAACCTGCTTTGGTTTACAAACGGACCTCCGCAACGGATTATGGTTGTAAACCAAGGTAAATAAATTTTGTTAATTAAATAGTCTACTTCGCTTCAAGGCTTCGGTCCTACAGCTTTCAAGAAGCGTCACTATTTTCAAGGTCCTTAAGTGTTTTGAAGCTCCTCACTTTATATACACTTTTCAAGAAGACTTTTTGGCAAATGCCAGTGGCACAAACCTTCCCATCCAGTATTGTCTCCCATGTTGCTCTTTTCTTGCTGACTGGGCACTCTTCCATTTCTTGCATGGCTACCTCATATTCCCCATCAAGAAGCTGCAGTCGTCTGTTGCACAAAATATATGTAAAGAGAAATTAATTTCATTAGCTGGCATTCAATAACAAGTCATGTTAATTTGCATGAATCCATCATCCACATCATCATGCGAAAGACTGGGCTGGATGAATCCCTAGCCGGAATTAAGATTGCTGGAAGAAATATCAACAACCTCAGGTATGCAGATGACACAACCTTGATAGCAGAAAGTGAAGAGGAATTAAAGGACCTTTTATTGAGGGTGAAAGAGGAGAGCGCAAAATAAGGTCTGAAGCTCAACATCAAAAACACGAAGATCATGGCCACTGGTCCCATCACCTCCTGGCAAACAGAAGGGGAAGAAATGGAGGCAGTGAGAGATTTTACTTTCTTGGGCTCCATGATCACTGCAGATGGTGACAGCAGCCACGAAATTAAGAGACGCCTGCTTCTTGGGAGGAAAGCAATGACAAACCTAGACAGCATCTTAAAAAGTAGAGACATCACCTTGCCAACAAAGGTCTGTATAGTAAAAGCTATGGTTTTTCCAATAGTGATGTATGGAAGTGAGAGTTGGACCATAAAGAAGACTGATCGCCGAAGAATTGATGCTTTTGAATTATGGTGCTGGAGGAGACTCTTGAGAGTCCCATGGACTGCAAGAAGATCAAACCTATCCTTTCTTAAGGAAATCAGCCCTGAGTGCTCACTGGAAGGACAGATCCTGAAGCTGAGGCTCCAATACTTTGGCCACCTCATGAGAAGAGAAGACTCCCTGGAAAAGACCCTGATGTTGGGAAAGATGGAGGGCACAAGGAGAAGGGGACGAGAGAGGACGAGATGGTTGGATAGTGTCTTCAAAGCTACAAACATGAGTCTGACCAAACTGCGGGAGGCAGTGGAAGACAGAAGTGCCTGGCGTGCTCTGGTCCATGGGGTCATGAAGAGTCGGACACGACTAAACGACTAAACAACAACATCATCATCATCCACATCATGGCTGGGCTGCACACACACTAGGGCTTTTAAAAGTTCCCCATCCTATTGCAGTTCCATGTCACATACCTACCCCATAGCATACCTGAGCAAGGGCTTCTGTGAATCCCAGCCAGTTCTCTAAATAGTCCAACGTACATGACAACCGAACACAAATATTCCTAATCTATTTATTCCACCTCCCGCTCCCGGAAAATTAGCAGCATGACAATAAGGTATATAGTTTCATTAGAACAGCAGCTGCACTTGTTCATCCAATGGAATTTATTACTTAAGTAGCAAATACCTAGTTAAACCCACCACAGGAAGCCCTTAAAAACTATGATGATGGCACATGAATTCTAGACATCAAGTTCCAATATAATCCATGAAAGGAGAGTACAAAGACAGTGAAACGCAGCTACTTATAGTTTAGCCAGGAACTTAAAGCTGCAAGTTTGTAACTTTTGTTTGCATGTGAAAAATGTATAAATTCAGTATCCTAGAGTTTAATCACAATAGCACAGCCCACTTGAAGGATGAAAGCTCTACCCTTTTCCATAATATTTTAAGCATTCCACCAGATCAGGACCCCAGCAGTCACATGTTTTAAAACAAACACAGACGTCAGAAATGTGTGGGGTTTATTTATTGACACTATTTTGATACTATTATGTACACATGAGCAGCTTGCATTTTAAATAGAGATGGGGCAGTAGGCATGTTTCAGGCAATTCTTTTTACTATGCCACTACTAAAAATGTGAAGGCTGGGGGTGTGGAGAGAGAGAAAAACTGGGGAGAGGAATAAAATGTTCAGAACAATATATTTATTCCCCCTAAATGATTTCTAAAAACTATGCGAGAGGAAGACTTTTATGTAAGGTTATGTACTGGAGGAAACAGTTTCTGGAATACTTAACATTCTTCTTTGTTTTACTATAATGCCAGTGGTTTCTTTTAATTATTTTTTGCTTGTTCCTCATAAACTGGTGCAAATAAAAAATGTGGTGGCTTCTTATAGTAGCTCATTTGTAGCAAAAAATTAAAAAAGGAAATTTGCTCATTTGTTTGAATGAATTGTGTTTTTAATATACCAAACATGATAATTTTATGGCTAACCAATTCATACACAATACATTTTATGCTTCTAAATTGATGGTTGACTTGTAAAGGCGGTTTAAAAGTAAATCTTGCATTTTTTTCATTTCCCCCAAAATTTCTGATTTCCTCCTGTTGCTTCAAAATTTCACATCTCTAGCCATGACAAAGAATTTCTCAATGCCGTTTTGGGAAACATGAATCTCTAAAACTAGGATTTATTTTACAGAAGACATTTAAAAGATTAAAATGAAATTCACGCAGAAAAAGGCAAATCCAATACATGCCCTAGGAGAAGTCTCTTTTTAAAAAGTATTACCTGTTTTTATCAAATACAGTCATTTGTGCTACAAAAGTCTTCTCCCCATCTTCACGGTTGGAAGAATTGCGTTTTCTTCTAGCTGGAAGCTCCTCGTTAACATCTGCATTTAAGCACACTAAATATTATACTTGTAAGGAATAAATATACACAAATTTTCTGGCATAGCTGTTCAGTAAGAGTCACTGAATTAGATTCAATGAGGGTTTATTTTAACGATTGTTTCAAACTTTAGACAAAGTTCTTTGTTCAACCCCTGGTGAATATTACATTATTAGAATAAGGCTCAGTTAAGAATCTTCCAGGGACATCGAAAAATGGAAGTTCTATTCTAGAATGAAAAAATGAACAGAGAACCCTCCAAGTTAGTATTCTTGCAAGGAGTGCAGGCTTCTTGAAATCTTACACACACATTTCAGTTGTAGTGGTGGTTGTGCAATTGTGTATGCCAGTGTAACATCCAAACAGTTCCCATGTTGATCCTCAACTTTTTAATGGGAGGGAAATTATTTACACCAGTTCCTGACGGGTTTTTAACCATGGAATGAATAGGCATAGATGTGCTCTTCCTCTATGCCACCCACTTCACCAGCAGAGCTTGTCTGCAGTACGTGGGGGAATTTCCATGGACACATCTACAGTCAAGGCAGTGGATCTGCAACCTCCAGGGTTGTCAGGAACACTTTGTCTCATCCTAAAACCACTCACCCAGAAAAACTGTTGAGTATAGGATTGGAAGTATAAAGCAATTAACGCCCACACATTCAAAAGCCTGCTTAATATTTTTCTTTTAAGCAGCTAGCTGATTTCCCCCGATTAAATGAGTAAGTTCTGGATATACTTCATGCTTACCAATGTTTTCATTAGTTTCACCATTTATCATCCCATTAAATTCTCTTCTTCCTGGACGTGTTACTCTGAATAATAATGAGTAAGACTTCACCATATGGCTGTTACTGGGTTCAAATTCGTTGCTGGAAACTGCTAGTGATGGAAAGCTGCCTGGTTTCATTTGGTTGAGGTCTGGATTCAAGGGTACCTGCTTTTTACCAGTAGGTACTTGCCTTACTGGACAACTAACATCCTGTAGACATAGAACATATTTAATACTTTTCAGCATCTGGATAAAGTGAAAATGAAATGCCTGTGAGGTTTAACGAAGACCCATTGGGGGGATGGGAAACAGTTTATAAATGATGAACATGTATTGTCAAACTCCCTCTTCTATAGATTATTGTGTAGTCTAAATCTAGGATATGACACATGATGAAGTTAACAAATCTGCTTAAAGTGAGAGAGAAGACAGCAAGTAATCTCTTTCAACATTTATTGAATTCATTATTTTATTAGAGCAACAAAGCACAAGATTCTGTGAACCCATATTCTTTAGGGGAATTTTAAAAGCAGAGAATACAGACAAAATGTTAAAATAAACTGGAAAATGATTATTACTTTTTTCTTTATGACTTGTAGAAATACTTAAATGATATATTTTCCACCAGGGAAAATGTGGGCTATAATAATTATTATTATTAATAATAATAATAATAATAATAATAGCAGCAGCAGCATTTTGGAGATCTTACAGTATTGAATTTAACTGGGGACTGTTGTATTATATTGTATTTAAACGCCTTTGCAGAGTCTCGTTAATAAAGAAAATGGTTTATATATATTTTTAGGAAACTCGACTGTTAAAAGCTGCTTTCTCCTGCTATTGCTAAACCATGCCTAAACTTACCTTTCGTTTCTTGTGGCAAACTTTTATAAGCAGTACTTCCAGAGTTACAGAACTTTGTTCATTTTCTGAGTTTTGCAATGGCTTATCTAAAAAGAGCCCAAGGGGGAAAATGTTTTAAACTTCTGAAAGAGAGGTTCTACTTCAGTGCAACCCAAATACATATCTGCCAGTCTAGGTGCTGTCTTTTGGCTTTAATGTGTCACTGGCCCTTTAAACTATATAGAGAACCTTAAGCACAGGCCCTGGAGCACTGTACTGCATTACCCAATTTGCGTGCAGGGCAGGGAGGAGAGAGATCAAGGGGAGAGTTGAATGGAGAAGTGCATGTTAACTCTCAGCTGTGCTCACTGGAGCCACTGCTGAAGCCCAGGGTTAATAGCCGCAAGAAGGGGCAAATGACAGGGCCCACTGAGGCTGATACTGGATCCCTGACGTCCCCCTCTTCTTTTTCAAGCTGCTGCTAGGGTGGCAGTGCTCAGCCCAGCACTATAAAGTGCCGTGTCAGGTGAGGATGAACCCACTACCAGGTCCAGAGTAATTCCAGGGAAATGAAGATTACATGCAGCTGCTTCGTCTATTCTATCAAAGGACTGGGCCTTACTGCTGCCAGCTCACCACCTCCCTAGTAACTATTTTTTTTAAAGCAATTTCATTAGCTATTGGTTAGCTAATGAGAAGAAATCCCATAGGACAGAGCAAGGGCTCCAGCAGGGCACTTGGACCACGTCCCCCTGAAACCTGATTCCAACCCTGCAACAGCTATTCATTTTGGGGAGCAAGCAAACAGCAATTTGCAGAAAAAGAGGACTGTTGCCATTTTCATGGACATGTAGAGCTCAACACTTTCTGACAATTTAACACCATTCAACCAAGAGGCCAGTCTTTAATGTTGTCTGCCTGCACATGTACCAATAAAATTACATGGGTTACAGCACTAAAATTTAAATGTATCTTGATTCTAGTTTAGATCATTTCTACTGTTATTTTTCTCCATGATAACTTATCATCCCAAAATGTTAAGTGTACTATAAAATGATATACAGTTCAGCTTAGTCATAATGAAAGGATTTTATAAGGACACATTTCGCAGTCTACATGCAAATCACAATAAATACTATTTCACCCAGTGAAAATGCAGAGGTCCATGAACCTCAGTTACACACCAAAACATTCCTCTATCATCAGTAAATGACATTGAAAGAAAAAGTGTATGATGAAATACGTACCATTTTTATGGAAGAAACCAGTAAAGGTGAGTTGTAGATGAGCAGACAAGCTAAAATAAGGAAAGAAATATCGTTTCACTCTTCAGACATTCTAGGCACATTTAAGAAATGTGAGAGAAGACAACAAGTAATCTCTTTTAACATTTATTTTCTTAATCTAACCTGGCCTCATTCATGCAATAATTGCACCCAGATTATGTTACAGCAATGCACTTCACACGTGGCTGCCTTTTTAGACAGTTTAGAAATTTCTAGAAGTATCTGGCTGGCCAATGCAGGATGTTAATCAGATGGGTCCTTCTCATGTTCTTATGAAAACATGAAACATGCCTCCCTTTAGCAACATCATGGGACAAAGCATTGGCCCAGGAATTTCCTAAAGGGATTATACTTAATGGTCAAATCAGTGTTTTTCAATCATATTTTGGATCGTATCACAACTAGATGATTGTGCTCGTGGAATGAGTTCAAGTGCAACAATGCTTCCCTTCCTTTATTAATTGTATCTGTTTTTCCTTTATTTTTATTGTGTGCCCTCTTAGGAGTTTTATGCTTAAACAGCCTATGATTTTTTTCTTACAATAAATAATTGATAATAGGGTCACCGATTCATTAACAAGTTCAAAATAGCTTTCTTTGTTTTGTATTCAATTCAGGTTTTTAAACAGGGTAATTTTAAAAAATCATTTATACCCTATCTTTCCAAATAGTTCAAGGTGGCCAACAAAATTAACATTAAATTAAGATATGGACGATAACACATAATTAAAAACTGTACAGCAACAAAAAAACAAAAACAAAAAACAAACAAAAACAAAAAACACCTTAAGGATGGTCAACCAAGTGCACTAAAATGACTAACAGACCAAGGATTTCCCTAAAGTGGAAGGTTTTCACTTCGCAGTGGAAGACATGTCAGGTAAAGAGTGAGGTACATGTGTCTGGGAGGCAATTCCAAAGTATGACCAAGGCCACAAAAAAGGCCATCACTCTGGTCCCAGGAGCACAAAAGTTTTCCTGTTAATTATCTTAATATATGAACAGACTCATAATGGAGAAGATGGTCCATCAAGAATCCTGGTCCCATACCATATAAGACTTCACATGTCTTAACCAGCACTTTGAATTGGGTCCAGAAACCAACTGGAGGCCAATTCAGCTGTTCCAACAATGATGGAATTTACCCCTGGCATTCATCTCTAGTTAATATCCTAGCCATCACAGTTTATTTTTCTGAACACTCTTCAAAGGCTGCCCCATGAAGTAGTTCAAGCATGTGATCACCGAGCTGGGCAAAAGCATATTCCAGCACTGCTTGTCACCTGGTCACCCAGGGTCAAGGCTGGGTCCAGAATTACTCCCAAAATATGAAGCTGCAATTTCAAGAAGATACTTCCCCATCTATCAACTGATATGTTGACAATTGGGAGTCATAGAAATAATTAAATAATGACGATCAATAAACTTATTCCTATCTACAACATAGCACAGGCATTTTATGAAGGTTTTCTGGCAAGGTTTCAGCATATTCACCTAACACAAATGCAACAACAGTTTTGAACAACAACAAGCAACCTGCAGCAATAGATGGAAAGGTGTGTTTTCGCACATGCACTACAGAATAAACTGTGATTCAACTACATAATGGAAATCAATGAAATTTCAAAAACAAATAAATTACTAGAGCCGGTTTGCATGTTTTGCCGCTTTTCAGGAAGTGACTGTATGTTTTATTTCATCCATATTAAGAGCTAAACACTGTAGCGCAAGTTTACCAGAGAACAAACAGACACCACACACAACACCTCTGGTAAAATTAGTTTACATGTATTTTATTATGGGAGGAGCAGAATTTCATTATACTTCCAGTCATATTTCAGTATGACTTCTACTGACATAGAAAATACATAATCCCATTTGAAACACTGTTACTGAAACATTCTCGGTAGATAAAATGAATGTTACCTTTGCAAGTCGTGTTCTCCCTGTTTTTTCTCTACTTTCGTCAGCATCCCGTCTACTCTGAATGTTTTCCTGTAATAAAAGTTGTGTTTTTTTGAAATTTCACTGATCTCCATTATGTTGTTAAGTTTTGCTTCATAAAGATTTGTTCCAATTGCTTTTTTTAAAAACCTGGAAGGGAGTTGGGTGCACCAAGTTGTGAAATACTTCACAATATGACACAGAAAGCTAGTGTTTAGCCGCATGATGTTAATCCCTAAATATTTTGTCTTTCAATCATGGCTATTTTCAAAACGTTTCAATATTTACGCTTAGCTCAAGAACACTTGCAGAAGTAAAATGTACTATCACTTAAGAATCACCACAGGCATAAATAGACAAAGGTATTAGAAACTGAATTCTAGAGTTACAGAACTAGAATTCAGAAAAGCTGTTTTTGCTTTGTGGGAGCTCAGCTGAACACTAGCGACATTCCTTGTACTAAAAACATTCAGGTCTGGCAGTGTGCCAGTGTCTTCATATGACAGCCCTTTACTGAATATTGGGGTATAGTACAAGGAGGACTTAGGCCAGGCATCAGCAAGTGGTTGCTAGATGCATTTCTCTAAGAAGATAACTGAAAAAGGTTACACAATCGTATAGATCAGCCTGTCAAACTGAAAATAATTCACAATTGAGAAAAAGCTGGTTTCTTATCAAATAGATCTTGAAATCCCATACCTGACTGCACTCGTCAAGCTTTAATACTTTTATTTCTCAAGTTGTAAAAAACTGAGAAATTAAATAAGTATATATAATTGGAAGGTACTTCCCTTTCCAATTCTAAGGACAAAAAATACAAATATGAGAGAATGTTCATACAACGATAGGAAATTTCAAATAAGGTCTAAGTAAAATCTGTAAGGCAAAGGACAAAAGTAAAAAAAAAAAGGAATAGTGCAAGTTCCTTAAAGGCTTAAGCAATGCTATTTTCATTGCTTTGTAAATAATTTACTCAAACGGAAACAGGAATATATATTTATACAAGACAATCCACGCCAAACTCACTCAGCCGCCTTATATTCAGAAAGCTAGTAACTGTGGTCGTAGAATTTTATACTTGCTTTGACTACTCTGAAGAATAAAAAGCGAACATTTTGACATCTCTGCAGCTTAGGGCTTAAAATATATAGTTTAGTCTCTGCCCATGCAGAACATAAGCACTTGAAGGCTTATGTGTGGAACCGTTGTTAAATATTCGGGAAATGCTTTTTGACTGTTTCTATTGGGAGTATGTTTCTGAAGCGAGACAGATGGGGCCATGTTACTGGATATGTGTAGGAAGGTGTATGGGATAGGGAAGAACACGCCAGGTAATCGGAAGCTGAGATATCACACAAGTGTCTCTCCTGATCCATCCTTCAGTCCTGGGAACTGAGGTAGCCTTGCTAGCAATCCACCAAGTCTTCAAATGTTGTGGGTGAATACAGGGTCAGTTGACAAAGAAACAAAGTTCATCCACAATTTGATTCTGGGTGAGAAAATAGACATGTTGCATACTACGAGTATCTATTTCGGGGAAGGAAGCATAAATCTCCTATCTCTGCCCACTAGGCTGATTGATACAACAATCTCCTGAATCAGATGAGCATGCGTGTGACCCTAGGATTCAATACCCTTTTTCAAGGAGCCTTGTCCAACACTCTGCTAGCTTCCATTGTGTGTCCTTACAACTGGGTTTATAAAGACAGGATACTAAATTTGTAGAATTTGTACCCTGTTCTTCAGCCAAAAAGGCTTTCGGAGCTGCTTACATGAGCAAAACAAAACAGTCGCTACCCGCAGGCTTACAATCTAAACACACACACACGGAGGGAAGATGGGGGAAGTGACACCAAGGGTTATCTAGTCCAAAGCCCTGCTATGCGGGAATCTCAGCTAAAGCATCCTTGACAGGTAGCCATCCAATCTGTGCTTTAGAACATCCAAGGAAGAAGCATCTGCCACCTTCCAAGGGGGTCAGTTCCGTTGACAGCTCTTATTGTCAGAAAGCTCTTCCTGATGTTTACTAGTAATTTCCTTTCTTGTAACTTGAATCCATTGGTTCGGGTCCCAAGCCTGCTCCGCCTTCCATGTGACAACCCTTTCAATATCTCATCTGTCTCCTCTTTTCCAGGCGAAACATATCCAACTTCCTCAACCACTTCTCATAAGGCTTTGTTTCCAGACGATTGATAATCTTGACTGTCCTACTCTGCATGCATTCCAGCTTGTCCTTCTCAAATTGTAGCACCCAGAACTGGACACAGTGTGGCTGACCAAGGCAGAATAGAGCAGTACTATTACTTCCCTTCATCTGGACGCTATATTTCTGTTGATGCAACCTAAAATAGCACTGGCGTGGTTTTTTTGCTGTTGCATCACACTGTTGACTCTTTTGGTCTATTATGATCCCAATATCCTTTTCATATACAGCGGTACCTCGGGTTAAGTACTTAATTTGTTCTGGAGGTCCATTCTTAACCTGAAGAACCACTTTAGCTAATGGGGCCTCCCACTGCCACCGCACGACTTCTGTTCTCATCCTGAAGCAAAGTTCTTAACCCGAGGTACTATTTCTGGGTTAGCGGAGTCTGTAACCTGAAGCGTCTGTAACCTGAGGTACCACTGTATACTACTGGCAATCCAGCTGTCCCCCATTTTATATTTGTGCAGCTGGTTCTTCCTGTCTAAGTATAGAACCTTGCATTTCTCTACTGAAATTAATTTGGTTAATTTTGACCCAGTTCTCCAATCTGTTAAGGTCATTTTGAATCCCAATTCTGTCTTCAGTGGCATTAGCTACCCCTCCCAGTTTGCTCTCATCTGCAATTTTGATTAACATCCCCTCAATTCCATCATCCAAATCATTTATAAAGATGTTGAACAACAAAGGGTTCAGGACAGAACCCTGCGGCACCCTACTTGTCACTTTTTCCCAGGATGACAAGGAACCATTCATGAACACTCTTTGGGTTTGGTCAGTCAAATTCACCTAAAGGTTACGTTGTCCAGTCTACATTTTACCAGCTTCTGTACAGGAATATTATGAAGGACTTTGTCAAAAGCCTTACTGAAATCAAGGTACACTACATCCACAGCACTCCCCTAATCCACTAAGCTGGTAACTATAAAAAGAAAAGAAAAATGAGATTCATCTGGCATGACTTGTTTTTGAGAAACCCATAATGGGTTTCAGTAATCACAGCATGACGGTTTAATTATCTGTTTTAGGACTTTTCCAGGCACTGATGTCAAGCTCACCAGTCGGTAGTTACCCCCCCCCCCTTTTTAAGATGGGGACAATATTTGGCCACCTCCAATATAGAGGGACTTCACCTGTTCTCCAAGAATTCTCAAAGATTATAGACAGAGGTTCTGAGATTACATCCAAAAGCTCCTGCAGTAAGATCACTGTTCTTTCCCTTTCCTACAATTTTTACACAATCTGCCTTCCATGCTCAAAATCTTAGGTATCGTCACAAGTGTACACATCATTTATTTTGAGCAGGTTGTACCCCTCAGTTTCTACATTCCAGCCATGAGTCTCATCTCACCAAGTTTCAGCAATGCTTATTGGGTCATATTTGTCATCCTATAAGAGCTCAAGTTCTTCTTGCTTGCTTCCTGTACTTTGTGCATTCGGGCAGGGACAACTAAAACCACCAGTCATTCCTCCACACATTGCTGCCCCGTCCTCCGCCACCACACATCTTTTCTTCTCTGGGGAGCGACAGAAATCATTCTGTACACTGTCCACTACTACCTCAATGTATTCCAAGGCCTGCAGTTGTAGTTCTTGCTCCTCAGGCTGAGAATCAGTATCTGAGGTGAGCACATGAAATTGATTTTGTAGCTCCAGAGACACAGCATGGCTCCTGACAGTCCTGGTTTTCTGCCTAAAGTTGCTGTAGCTTCTCTTCCAGCAAGGCAACTAGCTTGTACTCACTGCAGGTGAAGTTTTGCATTCTCAGGCAGGAAGACAAACATGGCACTGGTGTTGCAGGTCACTGAAGCAGCTCCCTTGCTGTCAATGTCTCTTGGTCCTACATGCACCATGAGACAGCACTGCAGGCTTCCCCCTCAAACTTCCCTCATAAACACCCTTGTTTACAAGTCCCTCCAATGCTCCAAACACATTCCTTCCTCCCTGGAACTCTTGACTTTGACTCTCTTGACTTTGTGGAATTTAAATATCGTTCCCCGCGAGGTCATTTGTTCATGTCCCCTAAAGCACCTTTGTCTTGGTTGGATCCAGCTTAAAGCACAGAACTCTCGACTTTGTGGAATTTAAGTATCATTCCCTGCGGGTCATTTGTTCGTGGCGAAGGGAAATGTGATACATTTTGTTAATAGGAGGGTGGGTGTGTACAACTCTGCTAAGTAACCCTTTTCTCGCTAGAATCTATATGGGATCTCCTGCTTTGTACTGCCCTTTGCAAACATAAGAGCCCTGATGGATCAGACGAAAGGCCTATTGTCATGTTTCTTACAATGTCCAACCAGATGCCTGTGAGAAGTCCTGCAGTTTGCTCTAAAGCACCTTTTCAGACCTCCCCATGCCTTATACTTTTCATTTTGCACAATCTGAGAATGCGGGCAAGATTCTTGAAACTGAAAGACCCAGCATGATCTTTGTTCATCATGGCTTGTAAATGCAGCCAGAACAGGGTTTGGGTTGCAGAGGTCGTTTGACAGCACTTAAGTAATTGTGAAGACACTCTTGAAGATATCCTTGCACTTCTCTCCAATATGAATGAGTTTTGCCCAGTATCTAATCTGCATTTTTGATTAAGATACCTGACCATGTTGTGGTGAACCAGCTCCAGCCTTTGATTTTTGGAGTCCTAAACAGTGAGGCGAGGAAACACTGACTCCTGCATGAATCTGTCCAGAAAGTCTGTTATGGGTCTCCTCTAGATTCCATAATGGGAGGCCCTCTTCCGTGTTCCCCTGCTATCTGAAGAATGGTGAGCAAGCACAAGAGTGGGCCTTCTCACCTGTGGCATCCATATTGTGAAATAACTCTTTTACAGAGGTATGGTTTGGCCCACATAATACATCCTGTCCTTTGGTGGGTGGTAAAGACAATTTTATTTCAGCAAGCATTCTCCTAATTTGGTCTCTCTGTTTAAACTGATGGCTTTTACAGTTTAATTCTTTGTACTTTATTATTTGTAGCTGTGAGCTGCCTTGAGAGTACACTTCAGGAAAAGACAGAATAAAAATGTATTCAAAAACATTGTTGTTATTGCTTCTCGCAGAACACAGTTGACATGACCATCATTCACCTACAATTCAGATGACCTTATTTTGCAATTCTCATGGCTGTGCTTGCACATTAATATTCTCATGAATATTACACATAGTTACTAGCCCTTAACACATTTTAATAGTCATTTATGTCACACTGTCATTTATACCACATTGCTGGAAACAACCAACAGATCTCATTTACGAAAGCTTCACTGCCTGGCCTCTTGGATGCAGTTCTTTCTTACCAAATGTTTACCAGTCAACTAACTATATGCAAACATGAATTAAAGATTAAAGCTAAGAATCTAGGCCTTTTCAGAGTGAAATGTGGCATTTACCAATGCTGTCTACCAATTAGCAGCAGTAGAGAGAAACATACACAATGGTAGCTTTTGCATATCACAGTAAGCTATGACTTACTATGCACAAGAGAACAGCAGCTATTTTGCTACTTCCCTCTTGGGATGGGAGAAAACAAACCCATGACCCCCAATTTAGTGTTACAGCCCAATTAGGAACCAGTTTATTTTGCTCAAGCTATAACTGGTATGCCAAGAAGAAACATTGGCTTATCAGTATGGTTTTCTTTAAAGAGCAAACCAAACCAAACCAAACCATGACCACTTGTTTGGACTGCTAAAGCAGTGATCACAATTTGGTTCCTCCCAATGTGGCTGAGGAGTAAAGCAAGCACAATTCATTTGAACATGGCAATCCATGGTTTATGGTTTACCATGATGTGCAAACACAGCCAATTTCATCTTTCTCCATCACACTGCAGAAATATATACTAAGTATAGATGTTGCAGTAAAAAAATATTCCTTGGCTATCTGCAGTAGCAGAAAAAGCAGGCTCCCATACTGTCGCTAAATGTAAGATATTTCTGGAAAGAAAACAGATTTAGTTTGAGGAATTCTATGAGTCCTTAAATAGCCATACTCTTTCAATACCACAACTACATTGAAACAAAGACATACCAAAAAAATACACCTATATGTAGCTGATGCTCCCTATCATCCAGTAGCAGCACTGACCATTACAAGTTATTTGACAAAACGTCCCAGACTCAGAACATGATCAAGGATTCATCCCTCTGTTTGCACTAACACCCTACAGCACACAAACCTAATTCCTAGATGTCTACTGACCTATACTCCGCTATAGTCTTCTGACTAATTAGACCTATTTTTACATTATTTAAATCTGTTGGTTCTTGCTTTATTTTAAATGGCTTTCGAGAACAATTCATGTTAATGGGCAACAGCAATGCTATATGCCTAAGAATTAACTCCCATTGTAGTTCCCTTTTCCGTGGCAAGCATACCCCATTCCTTCAGTGTACATTTTATCGCTTTGTTTTTTTCCATCCTCTGACGTATCTTATGCGTATCTTGTTGACTCAAACAATGTTTTGCACCACTAATTCCATTCAAGTGGAGTTACAAATTTAATCTTTATAGGTTATCTGAGATAAAAACATTACGTTGCAAGCACTCAAAGCTAAAGGCAGTTTTAATTATTTTGAAGTGTATTAGTATTTCAAGGCTCCTGATTGCTAAACCCACTGCAGAAGCTCAGAAATGAAGTTAGTTTGGATTACCATTTTTCTTTACTTTCCCACAGACATTGCCTATAATTATTTTTTACTGAGAGGCTAAGTTTAAAGAAAATATAAAGTATTACCCACATTGACCTGAAGCAAAGCATTGTGACTTAAGATGGAAGTAGTAACAGCTAAATAGCAAGCACAATACAATGTTAATTAATTACCAAACACTCCCAATTACTTATGAAGTATATACATTTTTTATGCAATGTGATTTCATCTTTGACAGCAAACAGTTGATATTTTTCACTGCTATGCATCAGCAAAGTGAATCTCTGAAAAACTACCACCTGCAAGCTCACATTGCAAACCAAACCACATGAAAATTTAAGACAAATACAAGGCTTCATTACATATGTACATGTTATGTGGTCATTAAGTTCATTTCCAAGTGAAGTTTACAAAAAGAATTTAGGTCCCAATTTTGGAGAAAGTTATCATTTATACTATACATAGGCAGTACCCTACTATTATCATCATCTCAGTTGCTAAAGAGGGGAGGACGCTAACATATTAAATAACAAACATTTTTAATATGTGAAGTTACCTTTTGATATTTGTTCGAGAGTTTCTGTGGGACATATACGTGAGGGTTCTGTGCAAGAATATTGGCTGCAACAGAAAATGAAAAAAGTCAATTCAACATTGCCACGAGTGGATCAAAAAATTAAAATAAAGGATTAACAGTTACTCACAGCTATGAGATTGCGGGTGCGTAGAAATCTATATATTTGTGTTGGTTCTGTGAGAGAAAATAGAGCAGTCTTTTACAAAGCAGAAAATTTGACACTTTACTAGCTTTTCCCTGAAACACATTAAATTTTTGAATATACAACATTATCCATTCATACCAAACATGTGTAGTACATAAATACCTAGACTGTAATGAAGCAAGTGGGCACTTTCAAGCAGCAACCTAATCACTATCAGCTACAACCAAGTGACCACTACTGTGACCACTAACCATCTACTACTGGGAAATATGGCAGTATATATTTGAAAATAAACACCCATAACATACAGCAGTAGATCTAATAAGATAGATTAAAAATACTTTTGTGGAATGGAGTATTTCCAGAAGCTAATTTTGCATCCCTGACACTTGAATAACCAACAGCAGCATTATGCCCTTGGATATAATACATTCTATCTTGCTAGCAAAGTCTTGACTACTTAGCTCCTATGAAACACAAAGTTCACAAAGGAGGAAGAATATTCAGATGCTTAACCAGAGTTATGCCTGTCAGCGTAGAACCCTTCAACATTTCTACAACATCTCTGAAAATATATAATTTAGTGAAAGAAAACATCTTAAATTCTTAGAAAACTGACTTCTGGGAAACACACTAGTTCCTTCCTAATCCAACTTTAAAATCTTACTCTATAAAGTGTATAGATTTATCATTCACAATTTCATTTTACAAGAATCAGAAGATGTGCTTTAAGTGTTCTAAGAGCAACTGCTGTCCCCCCCCAATGTTTTTGTTAAGCTGCTGTCTTGTTAGATGAAAGTTCTAGGGACTGAACCTTTTCACTTTAAAAACTAGTTGTTGCAATGTTTAAAAAGGGGTGGCAGTTAAAACCTTTTTTCTATACATAAGGCAATTTTGTAAGGCTACCAAATAATCGGCCACATTCTTCAGACTAATTCCTGATCACGTTTCCTTCTCGAGTTCTCCACTCCTCCTTGACCAGCCTTATCCATACCTTCAGCCTTCACCACACAACTCAAAATGACAAGTCTGCAATTTTTGCCCCAAACAGAATAACCAACCTTTTTAAGGTCCAAAACCAGAGACCAATTCCCTAACCCTCCATACATCCCCCCTTGACTTTCCTTACAGTTCATAAAACCTCAGCTTCGAAAATGATCTTTTGTGGGACAAGGAGTCCTTCAATCGCTTAGGAAGACCAGCTTCCCAATGAGCTCTCAAGGGGTTGGGAGGGAGAGAGATGAAGAAGACACTCGTAACAACATAGTATCAACTTACAACGCCCCCCGCGGCTCTCCCGAGCCCCGAAAGGCAATCCTACCGAGAGGCGCAATCTGACTACTCCTTAAAATCCTTCGAGGTGGAGCGTGTGTGGCACGGCCTCATTAATGTAACAATTAGGCAGGGCGCGGGTTTCCCCCCACGGGCAGCCCTGGGGGCTGACAACCCTGACAGAGGAGCAACAGCATTGCTTGCAGAGCACCCCTCCCCAACCGAAAGAAGGGGGGCAACCACCTCCCGCCGAAGGACCCGCGCGCGCCAGGGGGGAAAGGAAGGCAGCCCCGCCGCCCCACAATAAGCGGCCGATGCTGCTCCCTCTCCTCCGCCCATCACGCCTCGACTCGGGCGGGAGGGAGGGGAACGGTTGTTATTTTCGGGCCCCCCTCCCTCCTCCCCCCACGAAGCTCACTCTCGAAGGCCTGCAGAAAGAGCTCGTGGTCGGCCTGGATCTGCTCCATCTTCGGCTTCTTCACCGGCGGCAGGGCCGCAGCCGAGGAGGCCGCTGCCGACGACGCCGAGGAGCCGCAGCCGCTGCCGCCCCCCGAGTAGCCGCTGCCGAGGCCTCCCACGGCGCCGCCGGACTTGCCGCCCGGCGCGGCGGCCGAGGTCGAGCCGCCGCCGCCGCCGCCGAACCCGCCGCCACTGCCACCACCGCCCGCGCCTCCGCCCGTGGCGGTGGCCGCGACGGCGCCTCCCCCTCCGCTAGGAGCAGCCGAGCTGGGCCCCGCGCCGCCGCCTCCTCCGCCGCCGTGCTTCTGAGGAGCCATGGTGGGAGGGGGGGAGAGGGCCCTTTCCGACGGGGCAGGGTCGCGTGGCGGGAGACGCGGGGAGCGGCGGCCCGCGAGGGCCAGGAGGCGCGGCGCGGCGGAGGAAGTGGGCAGCGCTTCGACTCCGCCAATTCGCCCCGCCGCCGCCGATCGGTTCTCCTCAAGCGCCCTCTCTGCTCCAGCCAAACCCGACGGCGCCGCCGCCAGCCGCTCCCGCCCCCTCCGCCGAGCGCCCATTGGCCCGCGCCCTGGCGCCGCGCCGCTCCATTGGCCGGCCCAGAGCCCGCCCAGAAGTGACGGCAGAATGATTCCGCGAGAGTTTGGTTGGACCGCGCGCTTCGCCGCTGGGAGCTCGCCTCCCCCCCTCCCCCTCCTGCTTCCTTTGAACTGAATTCGCGGGAAAGCGGAGCTGCTCCTTCCTCCCCCCCACCCGCACGCTTTCGCCGCTGCGGTGCATGACGGGAGAGGACGTGGGCTTTAGGGAACTTCTTTTAACCGACGGCTCACGTCGAGGCGCGAGGGGCTCCGAGGCGCGCGCCTTCGTTCCGTGGAACGCGCCCCGATTGGAGCCGGAATTCGAGCGCGCGGAAACAGGAGTGGGGGGGAGGCGCGCAATCGCGCGATAGTGAGGCTACGTCCACACGTGCCGCGCAGAGTGAGGTGTCGGCTGCCATCTTGGTCTGTTTCCCTCCTGCAGCACCAGGTGCTCTCTGCAACTCCCATTAGCCCAGTGGGGGGAAACTGCCCCCCCACTAAATAAAGTAAATAAATGACAATTTGCATCGTAGATAACTACACCCCCAACCAAAAAAAATCTTGCCTATGCCCATGGCCGCAACCAAGCATATGGGGAGATGGTCATGGCCCTCTTGTTTTATACCCCTTTGCCTGGGGTGGGCGGACACAGGTGGCATTGTCGGTTAAACCCACAGTGTTGGTGCTGACCTTTAAAGCCCTAAACGGCCTCGGTCCTGTATACCTGAAGGAGCGTCTCCACCCCCATCATTCAGCCAGGACACAGATCCAGCGCCGAGGGCCTTCTGCCGGTTCCCTCATTGCGAGAAGTGAGGTTACAGGGAACCAGGCAGAGGGCCTTCTCGGTAGTGGCGCCCGCCCTGTGGAACGCCCTCCCTTCAGATGTGAAGGAAATAAGCAGCTATCTTCTCTTTAAAAGACACCTGAAGGCAGCCCGGTTAGGGAAGTTTTTAATATTTAATGCTGTATTGTTTTTAACACTTGATTGGAAGCCGCCCAGAGTGGCTGGGGAAACTCAGCCAGATGGGGGGGGGGGGTATAAATAATAAATTATTATTATTAAACCACAGAGCCTAGGACTTGCCGATCAGAAGGTCGGCGGTTCGAATCCCCGCAACGGGGTGAGCTCCCGTTGCTCAGTCCCTGCTCCTGCCAACCTAGCAGTTTGAAAGCACATCAAAGGGCAAGTAGATAAATAGGTACCGCTCCGGCGGGAAGGTAAACGGCGTTTCCGTGTGCTGCTCTGGTTCGCCAGAAGAGGCTTAGTCATGCTGGCCACATGACCCGGAAGCTGTACGCCGGCTCCCTCAGCCAATAAAGCGAGATGAGCGCCGCAACCCCAGAGTCGGTCACGACTGGACCTAATGGTCAGGGGTCCCTTTACCTTTACCTGGGGTGGGCAGCCTAGGTTCAAATGGCAGGAACTACAGTACAGTATGTGTTTTTGTTAAGGGAAAGGGTGAAGGAGCCTAATATTTTACTACTTATCTGCTAGGCTGACTCCTAGTGTCTGCCTCTCCCAGGTTGGCAGCTACTTCTGACACAATGTGCTTGATATTGTTGAGTGAGAACTTGCACAGGTTTTAAAGGTGAAAGGTATTCAGTTGTTCACAAACCACAGAGTGAGGCCTTCTTGAGGAGAGGTGATTCGGGTGCACTAGCTCACAGAGGAGGTGAGAACTGTTGCTAAGGCCATTTGCTTCCTTTAATGATGGTCCACAGGGGCGGGGGGAGCTCTTCAGTGAATCACAATCTGCAGACCACCCCACCACCCCCGCTTGCTTGCTTTTTTAAAGAGAGCTGCTAGCGTTTGTAGAACCTAAGACATGATGTACATATTCTAATAATCCTTTTCTTTTTCAGAAATTGGGCTGCTTCCCTTTTTGGTGTTTTATTCCTGCAGACACCTGTGGTTAAATGCCGTATTTTCTTTACCTAGGTATTTTGTTAAAATGCAAACTCTTAACTCTTGTTTTGCTTTACGATGGAGCTGTTAATTTGATTGTTATTTACTGGACTTTTTTTAATAGGTTTTGCCGTTTTTGTATATTGCTTTTTTTGTATCATCTTACTGTTATTTTGTTTCACTGTTCCCCACTTGAGGATTGAAATGTTCAGTGAAGAGGATTTATCAATAATATCCATAACGGCAAAAAGTGTTTCTCTTTTCAACATCTTTGAAAGGTAACCCAGAAGGGAATTTAAAGAATAAAATTCCAGAATTACTACTGTGCGATTACCCTTGTAGCTTTGATATGCCACCTTTCCACAGCGAACTGTTGATATGCCACCTTTCCACAGCGAACTGCTGTTGAAGCAGCTAACAACAGACATCCATTCTTCAGAATTCAAAACATGGTGGGAAGAGAAACTAGTTTTGTAAAGTTTAATAAATTCAAATAATACAATATCAACAATTCAACAAACAATTCATTACTGCAGATAATCAACCCAGACTTTATATGTAAGCACAAATAAAAATAAAAATTAATGGGCAAGCAATAAACACAGTTCAGCGTGGAAGAGGACTCTTCTCAGCATGCTTGATGCTTCAAGGTTGATTCCCTCAGCTCTCCATGGGAGAAGAGTGAAAGCAGCAAGAGGGTAATGATGGTAAATTCTATTTGCCAGCTTACCCAAAACAGCAGCATTTATAAAGTATATAATAAACAATGTGGTGGTTCTGGTAATCTCTTGGAAGTTTGTTTTTTAAAGTATCAAGTGCTGTGTAGCAGCAACCTTTTTTGCTTTGCAGGACCTTGACATATGGTGTCCCCCGTCCAACTTTAGTACTTAAAGGTTCTAGGTAGTTTCTAGGATGAAACCCCACTTCTTGGTGTTCTCCAGATGTTTTGGAAGAAACATCTGTTTTACTCCAAACATGCAAACCACTTTCCATCATGAGACATTTTCAAATTCTACCTCTAAACTCATTAAAAACTGGGTTTTCCCCAATTCCTGAGTCCAAATAATTATTATCTATCTTCTCCTTTAAAAAGGCAATACTATAGAAGATCTTCTTCTTTGGTGATCACGCATAGCCGAGTAAGATTGTCTTCCATGAACACTGTCTTAACAGTGAGTCTGTCTGTAAGTGACTGTGGAGGCCAATTCTGGATCCACACATCCTTACACAGTGGGGACATAGGTTTCTGGGCGGGAGACTGCACTGCTAGGGAGTGGGCAGGCTGGTGAAGTCCCCTAGATGTAGAGGCCCTAGGCTTCAGCCTACTTAGCCTATACATAAATCTAGCGCTGGTGGGAGTTGATCATGGTGAGGGTTTGCCAAACGTGCCTCCTTCTTGGCACGTTTCTCCCTTTTGTCCCGAGTTTGAGTGTCTTCAAAGTCCACTTTGATAAAGGCTGTTCTCCAGTTGCAGCGCTTGCAGGCCAGTGTTTCCCAGCTGTCGGTGTTTATACTACATTTTTTTGAGATTTGCCTTGAGAGAGTCCTTAAACCTCTTTTGTTGATCACCAGCATTACACTTTCCATTAACTGCTACTGAATCATGATTCTGAATCTAAACTTTTTATGAGTCATAATTGCCTACTATTCATATTCAGAACAAAATTAACTGCTTTTAGTTAGCTCTGGATTTGAACATCTGTAGGCAGGACATTTTCCGTAAGTGATAGGTTTGGCATGACCCTTAAATATTACTGAAATACAGCTCATATTCTTAACCATAGGTAGCTTATCTACTGGTTGCAGGAGCTACAAAGAAATCTGCTGAGGTTTTATATTCAGCTTGAGCCCATTAATATTAGCTATAGGAACATCTGAATACCAGCAGGTGAATCTCCAGAGAGGCATATTATGCTTGACCAGACATTACATGTGGAATAGTGATGCTTTTAAAGAGGAATAGAAGCCTTTCATTTTGGGGGGGGAGGCATACAGAGTGGTAGCAGAGCTTTTTCCAAGTGCTTATTTCAGAATGGGTCACTATTCTCTCAGTGGAGGGAATTGCTCAGATTTTGTTTCCTTAAACAATTTAAAATGTGATACATACCTTTCCATAAATTACATTTAAATTGGTTAAGCGGATTATCCTTACACTGATAAACCCCGATCATATTTTTTTGGTCAATGCCCCATGTTTTGATGGGAGCTAGTAGCATTAGTTTGGGTGACTTAAAATAACTTTTACCATGAGAAGGGAGAGTAGTGTATGGTACTTGATATATGTGCTCAAGGGAAAATTGCTCTTAAGCAAATAAAAGATTAAAAGATTGCAGCAGCAACAGAGCATGAGGGACAGTAATGGGCCTCCCTCTGATTATCCTGTTGTAGCATTTCTGAGACAGTCTCTCCCCTACTCTTAAAAATGTGTAATAGATCCTTTTTGCCTAATTTTCCGTGATCCGTTCAGATGATAAGCTTACAAAAAGGGCACATGGGAAGCATTTAAAGTGGATTTTCCATGGGGGAAAGAACAAAGGACATGTCAGGTTGCATTTTGATTTGCATTCCAAATCTACTGTGCACTGTTCTCGTGGGTCTGGTCTTTGCTTGCCTGCCATGTGCGCCATTTGTTACTTTGGTTTGAATACTTCTGACAGTCCATAATGTTAATTGTTCTAAGGATCACTTTGTTAGACTGTGAATTAGAAATGAGGTCTATTTTGGTGATTTCCCCCACCCCAGAAACGGAGTATTATTTTCAGTTATTGGTTATACTTAGACTGGCTATTTAACATCACACGCCAGAATTCTAAATATATTTGTTGTTGTTTCTTCAATGTTTGTGTTTCTAGCAAAGAGACTTCAGGCACTCCCGAAATATAAAAGCTTTCGAATTCCATTGTCCTGCTGTACTGCTTTCTTTTTGTTCTGCTTTGAGCCTAACAGCTATAGGTCATGCAGAATGGTTTCAGCTTTGTCTGTGTGCTCATATCAGTTGCAATATTGTAAGGCTGCATACACCCTAACCCGTTTGTAGCGCAAAAATAAAGTTTTTCTAAATCTGTAATCATTCGTGCTCAACCACAACGTAA